GCGCCCGACACGCGACCGTAGCCCTGATGCGTGGCCACGGAGCGCTTGCGCGTCACCTTGACGCCGAGGGCGGCGGCTTCGGCGCGTCTCCTCCTCTCGGAGCGCCTCTTTTTCTCATCCAGCCTCTGTGCTCCCCCGGCGAGCGTGTAGAGGCCGCCGCCGCCCTGACTGCCAGTGCGGCTGGAGAGCTGGTAGAGCTGGTCGTGCTTGCGCTCCTGCACCAGCGCGCTGTTGCGGCCAAAGATGGCAGAGAAGCACACCGTGACGGCGCCGTGGAAGCAACGGTTGGTGAGGCGGACGAGGTGGTCGATGAGCTCGGCGCCCTTGAGGAAGCCGCCTTCGAGAAAGTCCGAGATCGGACGCGAGCAGACCAGGCCCATGTCGAGAAGGCAGATGGGCGGGGGTGCAGGAGACGTCGGACAGGATGAGGAGGAGGAAACGTCGTCGGTCCGATTCGAGGTCGAAGGCGGGGACGGGGATGAGAGGGATGGGCAGGGCAAGGCCCCGGTGGCAGGCGGATGGCGTGGTGGTCGGGGGAGGAAAGGCTACGGTCGGTCGAGTCGGCGGTCTTCCTGCGTCTATATGGCTGTACGAGAGGTGATAAGCAGGTGGACCGAGATTAGACTCGGGGCTGAGGACGGAGAGTTGGGAGTGCCGGGGCTCATGCAACGGCCGCCGGATGTAGAAGTACAGGAGCAGCAGGGCAGGTTGGAGTGGTTTCGTGAGACCGGCGAGCAAAGGCCGTCGGAGGATTTCGTTAGTGTGTGTCGTGAGATCGTTATGGGGGCGTCGTGGCAGTCTTGATGGTCTGTGGCGGGTGGCGGCGGGGATCGATCGGAGGAGGGAGGGGCAAGGTGAGTGTCGAAATCCGAAGGCGGGAGGGGAAGAGGAAGGCGGGGCACAGTGGGGAAGGTGAAGGGCGAGGACGTTGACGGTGACGGTGGTAGACGAAGCCAAGCAAAGGGACATGTAACTTTGAGAGGCCACAGGTGAGGGGCGACCTCGGCCTCGACCTCGACCTCGACCTCGAGGACGGGCCAAGAGGAGGCGGGATGCGGGGCTGGGCAGGTCGATACGCCGCCCTTCAGTCGGAAACGTAGAACGCACGGCCAACACCGCACAGCACCGCATCGCACCACTTGTCGCGTTGACGCGGTCGGGACACGCCAACGAGGTCGAGAACGACGTTCGAGAAATCAGCTGAGTTTCGTCAAAGCTTCCGAGGGGCGGCCCATCTCGCACCACCGTCATCCTTGCTTCATCCTCTTCCATATGCATCCGCTCTGCAGGCACCGCCGGGTTGTGCCTGTTCGTCAGTGTGCGTCACCGCCGGGCTGCGGTAGTGTAAGTAGCAAGCGGGCTTCTCCGACGACGATGCCAGGCAGCAGACAGACACAGAGGTGGCGACATGTCGAAGCAAAGCAAGCCTGTCGGCATCGAAGTGTGGACGCCAAGCAAGCAGGACAGGCGGGCGAGCCTGGCTACTCGTGCAGACGCCAATTTGGCGAGGAAAGGACCCCTGAGCGCCCCTGTCTTGAGATCAAGTCGAGGCTGAAGCGAGGCGGACAAGGAGGTCAGGGCCAGGGGGGGCGAGGCCTGCCTGGCCCGTGTTGGTGGCTCTCTAGGAACAAGCAAGAAAAGCAAGGGTCCACCGAGGAGCGTCTAGGCCTGGCCATGTGATGGGCAACCAGCAGGCAGGCAGGCAGGCAGGCAGGCAGGCCAACCAAGGCCGCGGGATAGGAGCTCGATGCCAGGCGTCAAGGCGCAGGCAGGAAGCACACGTACGTACTTACGCCTACAGTGCTGCGTGCGTGAATCAGGCCATCGCGTATCCACCCACGCAGACGTCGACTCCTGGTCTGCCCTCGTCTCGTCAAGCAGGCTGCCAACGTTTCGTATCGCCTCGCCCGCATCTCACAACTCACATCGAGGCGACACGCTCGTCAGGCCAGAATAGCAGAGATGGGAATGGTCCGACGATGTCGGCGACAGTCGCATCACAACACGCACGGCCTGGCCTAGCCTAGCCTACAGTAGCCTAGCCTAGGCTGCCTGCCTCTGTGCCTGCACTCGCGCACATCGACCTGCATGCCCAGGCCATCATGCTCAGCCAACGCAACGCACACACGTCCGTCCTGCGGCGTAGATTCTGCTTTGAGCCCGAGCCATGGTCGCATCACACGCCCGTCACCAGCGCATACACCAACTCGCCACCTCGTGTCATGCACAGAACGAGTCGCCGCCGCCGCCGCCGCCGCCGCCACCTCCTTCGCCCGCTTCTTCATCCGTCATCACCGACGACTTGCATCGCCACAAATAGAGTCATGACCAGTGCCAGCTCGACGACAGCGCACGGCGGTGGATTGCTGCAGGTGCGGCCTCACGTCGCCACCTTGCGAATACAGAAGACGTAGACGTGGTACCCAATCTCAATCTTGCGCAGCAGCTCCTTGCGCTGCGCGTCCAGGCTAGCCTGCCGGCTCACTCGTCCGTCCTCGTGCGCCTTGACCCATCGCAGCGCATCGCCGCCCGCAGCCGTGCCGGCGTCGTTGTCGTTGTCGTTGCCATCCGCCAGCCGCAGCTCCTCGCACACCAGCACCGACCCCTTCCGCCCTTTGCGGCAGGTCGTCTCGTACACCTTGAGCGCCCGCGACAACGTGCGCTGCTCGGCCGTAATCGCCACGACGCTCCCGCCTGTGCGCAGCACCGCCATCCAGCTCTCGATGAACCTGTGGTACAGCTTCGACAGCGACTGCGCCGACTTTTCCCGTCGACCCCACGGCAGATCCTGTGGTCATGGCAATGGCGACGGTAGTCTCCAGGGTCAGCTCGAGGCACAGCAAGGCCTGAAGAGAGAAGAGATCGCCACCGCCGTGCACTGCTCTACTCACCGTGACGATGGCGTCGATACTGTTGGGCACGCCAACGAATTGCAGCAGGTCCTCGGTCTGCGTAGCGTCGACGTGCTGGATGCCGACCTTGACCATGGCGCCTTCGTCGTCGGCGCTGAAGCCGCTGACCTCGGCCATCTTCTGCGTCCGCTCAATCGTCTCGTGGTCAACGTCGCACCCCAGCACCTCGGCCTTGATCCCTCGGCTCTCGAGCGCGCTGGCCGCCTCAAAGACGATCGATCCGTGCCCGCAGCACGGCTCTAGCACCCGGAAGCGCTCCGGCCGCCGACTGGGCTCCACTTGTCGACCGTCCTCCTCGTACCGCTGCGGCACGGGCAGGGTGAGGCCTAGCGCCGCGGCCCGGTACAGCGCCATGGTCGTGCCGCCCACGATCATATCGCCTCGCTGCGCAGGCCGGCGCGGGTGCTGTTTGAACGGCTCGGGGAGGCAGAGGAGGAAGGAGAGATCTCCCTCGACCCTGGCTTCTGCAGACCCAGCCTGGGTCGAGTCGAGAGCCTTTTCGAACTCGTCGGCGATGCCAAAGCCTGGCGAAAACTTGAGCGTGACGTCGAGCAGCGGCTGTTCGAGATCCACCCTCCATTTCGGCGGCTCGCTGTCGTCCTTTTGCGGCTCTGATCCATTGAGCCAGCCCCACGCCAGGATGCCAACGTGGTTGCTGAGCGTCTGGGTCGTCATGCTCGGCAGCACATACGTCGACCGGTCGACCGAGGCGCGGTAGCTCAGCTGCTCGGGCCGCAGCGACGTCTGACCCATGCTGGCCAGCTGGACGTCGAGCCATGTCTTGAACGCTTTGTCCCGCGCCTCGAGCGATGCATTCCAGGTGTCGTCGATGAGTCGGAGCAGCTCTTGCTCGGATGGCCAGGACGTGCTCGACTCGGACCGCGCGTCTTCTTTGCCGGCATCGCTCTCGCTCTGCGCGTCGGCGTCGTCGCCATGCTCCTCGGGCTCCACTGCTGCTGCTTGTGCCACCTTGGCCGCATCGTCCTTCTCGCGGAAGTCGACGTCATCCGCCACTCTTGGCCCCTCGACGACCTTGCCGTCCTTCTTGCGCGTACCACGCTTCTTCTTCTTATCCTTGCCAAAGTCTCGGCGTCGTTCGGCAGCCTTCTTCTGTGCCCTCCGGCTGTCGCCCGCGGCGAGGCGGTCCCGCTTGAGGTCCTCGTACAGCCTCTCCGGGAAGTCAGACGACCCGGCTAGCAAGTACGCCGACTTGGCAACGCAAAGATCTCCGTCGAGATAGGCGCGCAGTGCCAGCGAAGCGTGCTCTGGATCGCCGAGTCGGACGTGGGCCGACTGCAAGCTTGTGCCGACAGAGGCCACGCCCGTCGTTGCGGGGTCGCGAGAGTGCCAACGAGCCGCCTGGCAATGGACCTGCTGCAGGATCTCACGCTGCGCAAAGTCTTCGAAGCCCCGGAACACCTCAAAGACGAGCGAGGCGGCGAAGGACTGCGGCCGGGTCGCCAGTACTATAGCATCCGGAGTGTCCGACGTGGCGGGAGGCGTCGCCTGGCGGCCGCTGCTGAGCGGAAGATCGATGAGCTGCGTTGCCCGGCCAATCTCGATGCCCCTCACTGCGGCCTCGAGCGGTTTCGGGGCAGCGAGTGCCGCTGCCTTGGCCTGGATGTCGGAGAAATTGGCGGCGTCCGTAGACGAGGATGGAGGCGGACCTGTCACCGGCCCCTGCGCGGCCGCAAGGTCCTTGGGGAGCGTCTTTTCGCCGTTGGTCGTCGAGCCCAGTCCCCTTTGCGGCACCGACCGCCAGTCGTCTCGCGCCCACCAAGGCAGGGCGTCCTCGAAGCTCCAGTCGTCGGACCAGTACTTGATGGCATGCAGGTAGATGTAGAGCTCCTCGGGCTCCGGATCGGGCAACAGCGGACTGCGAATGAGGAACAGGAAGAATGGGGCATGAAAGGTCAGCTATCCCCCACAAGTGCAGACGCAATCTCGGCCAGGCTCACATCTTGCATTCGGGGCAAAAGTCCGAAGACTGCTCGCGGACTCGCTTCTGCCACGCCGTCTCGATATCCTGCGGCCGGTTGAAGCCCTTCGTCGGGACCTCTTCGCCTGCGTTGAGCTTCTCGAGCGCCCTCCGAAGGAGCGCCTCCGACGACGGCTTGCTGCTTTTGCCGTTGGGCCCAGGCACGTAGATGTCGGCGAGGCCCTCCTTCTCGTTGAGATCCTTGAAGAGCACCTCGTCCTTCCAGCGCGCCCAGTCCTCCTGGCCGTCCTTTTCCGACTTGATGGCGTGCACCACCTCCTCGACCTCTTTGAGGCCAATTTCGCCGCCCACAGTCTTCCACTGATCCGGCACGACTTGAGAAAACTGGCTCGTGTCTACGCGCTGCCATACGTCGTGGCCGTAGATAGGGTCGTTGCAGATGGGGTGGCCGAGGTACTGGATGTGGACGCGGATCTGGTGCGTCCGGCCGGTGATGGGCCGGCCTGCGGGATGGATCGAGCAAGGACGAATGAAAGGGCGGGTCAGCAATGGCGATCTTGGCGTCCCGCGCTGGAGCTTGCGAGGCAGCCGCGACTCACAGAAGACGACGCTCGAGTCGTCCTCGGCATCGTACGAGAGCCTGACAAAGATGGTCTCGCAGTCCTTGCCCTTGGGGTGGACGATGTTGACGCCGCTCTGCCGGTCGATGGTGAGGATGGGCTCCTTGCACACCACCTCGCCCTCGGGGAACTTGCCCCGCACGCGGCACACGTAGGCCTTGTTGACGAAGCCAGAGTGGAACTGGGCGCTGATGCGGGTCGCCGTCTCCTTTTTCGTGGCGCAGACCATGATGCCGCTGGTGAGTCGGTCGAGGCGGTTGACGGTGTAGATGCGCGGGATTCCATGCTCGCTCTTAAGCAACTCGGTGAGGGTGTGCTTGTAGTAGCGGCCCGCGGCATGGACGGGGATGCTGCCGGGCTTGACAATGACGAGTATGCCGGCGTCGTCGTCGCGGTGGAGGATGCGGATGGGCTCGTCGGTGACGGGCGGCTCGTGACGGTGGACGTTGTTGCAGATGAGGTCGCCGTCCGAGATGATCTGCCTCGGATCGCCACGCTTGCCGTTGACGCTGCAGATGCCTTTGTGGATGGCCCAGATGTAGTACTCCTTTGTGCGGTCGCGGAACTCGGTGGTGAAGATCTCGAGCAGCTCGCGGCCAAACCACCGCAGCTTGGCATATGTCTGGAACTCGTACCAGTACGACGGCGTCTTGCGAAGGCCAGTCTTGCCGGCGGCGGCGGCGGCGCCACTGTCTTCGATGAACGGCTGCGACATGGCCCAATGCGACAGAGTAGCGAGGGCAGGAGGTGGCTGAACGCGGGGAAGATACCAAGGAGAGAGGCCGGGCAAGAAGGAAAGGCAGGCCAACCCAGGGTCTGCCGGCAAAGACCCGGTGGTTCAGAGTTTCGGAAGCCGGAAGACGGCTGGCCACGCTCGAAAAATAAAATTGAGCTGGCCCAGGTTGCTCGGACCCGAGGCAGCTCCAAAAAGAATCAGAATCAGACGACCCGCGGCAAAGCACCAGGCCGTCCGCGCGGGAGCGACCGGAAAGCGCCATCCGGCGTTTGGGCCGAAGGTTTGCTGCGCGCCGGCCAACCCAGCTGCACAGCAACCACCGACCGCAGACCGACCGGGACCGCCGCTGCCAGGGCCAAGATGTTACCTACGTTGTGTGGACTGGCCCATGTCGATGGGGTCGACTTCTGTGGTCAAGACGTAGAAGAGTTCCTGTGTGAGCCGTGAGCGACGCCTGCTGTATCCCCGTCTTCGAGGCGGGCCGAGGTGGTGGCGGCGGCCATGCCTGCTGCTGGCCCCACACGTCAAAGATCAAGGCGCGGCGGAGGGCCATGCCAAAAAAGAAAGAGAAAAAAAATCTCCGCGGCCGGGAAAAGAGCCAGCGCAGCGCGCCTTCCTGCGGCAGAACGGAGATTTCTCGCTGCCTGACGTCGGCGCGAACCGTCGGGCACCGATCCGGTTTCGCTCGCTTGCTGCTCTGCAGGCGCGCAGTTGCTGGCTGCTGCTTGCTTTCTCGCTGCTCGCTGCCTCGAGGAAAGATTTCATGCACCCATGCAGGCTGATGTCCTGGCCTGGCCTCGTCGCCTCCCCCTCGATGCTGCGCTTTCGAGTCGTGCGTGCCCTGCTGACCTTGCGAGCGGGTTCACCGTCGAGCGGGCAGGCAGGCTGATCAGACATGACGGATGCTTCCGCCCGCCAACGGTCGTTCCGATGGGGATGGCGGTGACGACGACGGAACCAGCCGGCCCCTGACTGCGCCAGTCGCGGGCCAAAAACCGGCGTGTTTGGCAGCGCATGGAGCGACGCAACATGCTGCAGTTGGCGTCGTGGTGCTGACAGCAGGTCAGCTGCCATACAGAGAAGGTGCGGGGATGAGATCCGCAAGGCTCCCAACAGCAAGCAAGAAGGTGACCTGTAGGTAGCGCGGTTCTAGACCAAGACGGCGATAGGGGGCCGAGTCACGGCCGCCGGATGGGCAAGGCCAGGCCAAGCCATAGGCAGACGGGGCACACGACGAGAGCCAAAAAGGTTGGGTTCGCCCGGGCTGCCCTCATGGCCCGGCCTGATGCTGGCCTGGCCACCACCATTCGGCCAAGAGGACAGAGATGCACGCCATATGCAAATCTCAGCTGGCGCGGGCCTTGGCCCTTCCCCCTCCCCGCAAAATCGTAATCATGGGGGCAGGAGGCGGCTCCTGATTGAGCGGCGAGCGTGGCGGGCCAGCGATCCAAGAAGACTAGTACGTGTAGACGGTGCCGCCAGCGTCTCTGGCCACGGTGGGTCAGGGGCAGACGAGTGCGGCGCAAAGCTCCTTGCCTTCGAGCCGAGAGAAGGCGCCGCCGTCGATAGAGGACGTAACGTGTGATCTTGAGCGGAGGAGGCTCTTCTGCTCTGCCCCGTCCTGCCCTGCCCTACCTCGGCCTGGGCCGCAGGCCTCCTCTTCTTCCCTCCTTCCTTCCATCAAACCATCACCTTCCCCACAACCCGGTCCTCTTCCCTGCGACTTCTGCCATCTGCTTGCATCCGTCGCATAACCCCGTCATCCCATACATACATAAGTGGGGCGTTTCGGCAGCCTTGTCCCTCCGCCCTAGCTGCACCATCTCCGTCTTGCTCTTCTCTGCACCATCTTCATAAACCTTCTTGACGGCCCGGTCTCCCGTCGCCCCGTCGCAACACGGAGCGCGTCTCCTTCCACCACCGGCAAGGTCGTAATCAAGCCAATCACAGGCCGAACGCTGACAGCGGGTACATCCCTCTCGCCAGCCGTTCCAGTTGCTCTATCGCACCGCGGAATCCCTGCGACCTCCCGGTACACCAACGTCGACATAAAAAGGCTCGACGCTCGGCGCGTTCGCCACTCAGCCACACGGACCCCCTCCTTTTACCATCTCGATCACCGCCACCGCTGCTCTCTGACACTCGACCACCATGTCTTCGACACCAGCGAGCATGAACGCGCGGGACCTATCGCCCACGAGGGACGGGTCCACCTCTGAAAAGGACAGGCTCGACCATGGCGTGACCGCCGGCGAGGTCGAGCCCAAGGGTGGCGACTCGATCAGCAGCTCGGGCGCGCCGAGGCAGACCATCTTCGGCGAGAAGAAGGAGCAGCACCGCAGCGAAGAGGACTACATGTACGAGAAGCAAAAGATCTCGGAGGGCGACCACAAGTTCCACAAGCTCGGGTGGATCAAGCTCACCGTCTGCCTGATTGTCGAGGCCATCGCCCTGGGCAGTCTCAGTCTGCCGAGCGCCTTTGCCACGCTCGGCATGGTCGCCGGCACCCTCCTCAGCGTTGGCATGGGCCTCATCGCCATCTACACCAGCTATGTCGTCGGCCAGGTCAAGATCAAGTTCCCGCACGTCTCCCACTACGCCGACGCTGGCAGGCTCCTCTTTGGCCGCTTCGGCTATGAGGTCGTCAGCGTCATGTTTGTGCTCCAGCTCGTCCTCCTCGTCGGCTCCCACTGCCTGACGGGCGCCATCGCCTTCCTCAACATCACCGACAACGCCATCTGCTCGCTCGTCTTTGCCCTCATCTCGGCCATCATCCTATACCTGATCGCCATCCCCCCGACCTTCTCCGAGCTCGCCATCCTCGGATACATTGACTTTGCCTCAATCATCATCGCCATCGGCATCACGATCATCGGCACCGGTGTCCAGGCGGGCAGCCAGGCCGGTGGCCTCTCTGCCGTCAACTGGTCCGCTTGGCCCAAGGAGGGCGTCACCTTTGCCGACGTGAGTGTGGCGCGGCACGGCGCGGCACGAGCGGAGCACCCCATCGCCGATGTCTCGAAAGCGCGCGACTGACATCGTCCCTCTGCCTTGTGATTCCGCACCCTCCACTTTTTCTCCCCTCTGCCAGGCCTGGCTCGCCATCACCAACATCGCCTTCGCCTACAGCTTCGCCGTGTGCCAGTTCTCGTTCATGGACGAGATGCACACGCCCAAGGACTACGTCAAGTCGATTTGGGCCCTGGGCATCATTGAGATCTTCATCTACACGGTGACGGGCGCGCTCGTCTACGCCTTTGTCGGCGTCGACGTCAAGTCGCCCGCGCTCCTCTCGGCGGGCACGACGCTGTCCAAGGTGGCGTTCGGCATCGCGCTGCCCGTCATCTTCATCTCGGGCTCCATCAACACCACCGTCGCCGCGCGCTACATTCACGGCCGCGTCTTTAAGAACTCGGTCATCCGCTACGTCAACACCAAGATGGGCTGGCTCACCTGGCTCGTTCTCATTTTCATCATCACCCGTGGGTAGCTCGACGAGCCTCCCCCTCTTCCCCTCGCAATCCGGGTCGACCCCCGCTGACCCCGCTGACCCCGCTGACCCCGCTGACCCCGCTGACCCCGCTGACCCCCACCCCTTCTCCCCATCCCCAAACGCAACCAAACCGCAGTCATTGCCTGGATCATCAGCGAGGCGATTCCCTTCTTCTCGGCGTTGCTTGGACTCATGTCTGCGCTGTTTATCAGCGGTTTTACGTTCTATCTGCCGAGTCTGATGTGGTTCATGCTGATCAAGGAGGGCTCGTGGCGCTCGAAGCACAACCTGACGCTTTCGTTTGCCAACGGCGCCACGTTTGTCATTGGCATCGCCATCCTTGGCTGCGGCACGTATGCCTCGGTCAAGGACATCGTGAGTAGCCCGCTCCGGCTGGCAACAGCTTGCCCGATTTGCAGCGCAACGGAATGCTGACTTGCCTTTTGCCATGCACCCGCCCCTGTCCTTCCCTGTGCCGCTGTTGCGACCCGACAGATCAACCAGAACAACTCGGGCGACGTCCGAGGCTCGTTCACCTGCGCGCCGATTGCGTAGGCGCTCGCACTCGAGAGCGATCCCTCCCTAGACGACCGTGAACGACTGCTCCATGTGCTCCTAGACTAGTAATGCTCGACGATTGCAAAGATTGACTTTGAGATGCCGAAAGGGGACCCCAGCTTGCGATGCGGGCGCTGCTGAGCTGTGGCGTGGCGTTGGCGTCTGTGCAGCCCCCGCCTGCATGTCCCTCCCCACTTGTTTTTTTGAGAGTGGGCCCGCTCCAGGCCAAGCTGGACCCTGGCCTTGCTCGCTGCTTGGAAGCCGGGTGGCGAGCAAGTGGCGTCGGTCCATGGTGGCTCGCTCCTTCTCGATGACCACCACAGCCACTCCATCTACTGCACACGATCGTCGCCATCTTCCTCACCATGCCACGCCCTAGCTTCGCTCCTGCTCCGCTCGCTGCTTTGAGCAGCGCCGATGCGCCGACCTCATACCAACCCACCCTCTTTGAACTGCGCTTCGGCCCACGGCGGAACCGCAAGCCAACCCACGAGGCCAGCCCTCCAGACCGCCTCTCTCCATCTCGGAAACGAGTCAAGCTCGACGACACCGACAAGCAGAGCGAGGGAACCTCAAGCAGCTCCGATGCCTCGTACGACACGCCAACAGTGGCCCCGTTGAATGGCCATCGAGGACCGTTCCACAGCATCACCCGACCCGCATTCTGCGATAGGTACCGCATCGAGGACCTACCGGGCGCCGACATCTTCTACCGTCCCGATTGGATCGACAGCAAGACGGCGGAACGGTGGAGGAGAGAGCTCGACGCCCTGCCGGACTGGTACCAGCCCAAACTCAAGGTCTACGGGCGCGAAATCACCCAGAGCCGAGAGATATGCGCCTACGCCACCGAGCCGGGTCTCGAGCTCAAATACAGGTGCGATGCTGCCGTCGCTGGTCTGCCTTTCAGCTACCCCCCACCGCTAACCTTAGCTTGTCCCTCCCTGCTCGCGCCGCCACCTGTGCGCCGCTCAGCGGTCATCCGGTCGAGATGCACGCTCCCTTCCCCCCACTGCTCAACCACATCGCCTCGCTCCTCTCGTCCGACGACTGCCTCGGCTCAGAGGTGCGCTTCAACCACTGCATGCTCAACCGCTACGACGACGGCAAGGTCTACATCGGCAAGCACTCGGACAACCGCGAGAACAAGGTCATTGTCACCGTCTCGCTCGGCGCGGATCGCAGCTGGATTATGGAACGCAAGCAGGACCGCCGTCGCAACACCCCCGCCGTTACCGCCAGCCAGCAAGGCCAAGGCGAGCAAGGCGAGAGGATCAAGAAGCGGTGGATCCTGCGCAACGGCAGCCTCCTCGTCATGCAGGGAGAGACGCAGAAGCTGTACACGCACGAGATCCCAAAGGAGCTCAAAACCACACAGCCTCGCATCGTGAGTCTCAACCCCCGGCGCTTAGATGCTGGCCACAGCGGCTGACTTGTCTGCGCCACTTCTCTCGATGGGAGTTTGCCTCGCCGCACAGAGCATCACATTCCGGCAGCTCGTCTATGAATGAACGGATCGGATCGGAGAGGTATGCAAGATGGGAAGCACAGATGCCTTGTGGGTCTCTCCCCGTATGGCAGGAAGCGGGGGGAGGGGTATATGGTTGCGAGGCCCACAAGAACGGCGGCGCGCTCTCAGCAGATGACGCAGTCCGAGTCCTTTTTGCCGCCAGAGCCGGTGTTGGAGATCTTGGCGAGCGAAGCCATCTCTTCGGCGAGCTTGGTCTCCTCGGACGACGTGAGGAGGCCCTTCTTTTGCCGCGCCTGCATCGCCTTGATGGCCGAGACTCGTTCCGCCTTGGCGCGTCTGCAGGAACGGGCGGGGAGGCGAGAGGAGGCGTGGATGTCAGATCAGATCGTCCCGACTGGACGGCCGAGTTGGGTGCGCCTTCTCGTCGTTAACCCCGCTGCGATGCAGCGCTCCCGGCCAATCATCCCCCTCGCGCCACAAGCCCACTCCGCGAGCACCCGGCAGCAAAAGTCTCGATTCCCGCAGCCCAGCAGCTGGACAAGCGAAATAGCAAGGACGCATCGAAGCCAGGGCCGATCGCCACTGGCGGCTTTAGGCGAGTCCAAAGACGGATTTGGGCACCCACTTGTCGGTCTTGTCAAATAGCTTGTTGGTGGTGGCCTTGTTGGCGATGGCCGTCATCGGCGTGCGTTTAGGCTGCCCATCCGCGGCAGGCGGCGCGTCGGTCTTGGACCCGCTCTTTGTCAGGCCACCGAAGTTGGGCTTCGAGACGGACGCCGTCATCTTCTTGAGGGCCGAGCTGCCTGCAGCGTCGGCCTTCTTTGGCGGTGGTGGCACCAGCCGGCTCGAAGATGAGGCCGGCGAGGGTGTAGAGCCGCAGCTGTGCTGAGCTGGAGCCCGATGCGATGGACAGAAGGACGCGCGGCATTGCGGGCACTGCAGATGTGAAGGCGAGGGGGAAGGTGGTATGTCAGCCAGATGGATACGAAACACGATCCGACAGCACGCGAGAGAGGACGAGCAGCGTCGCTCACCTGTATCGGCACCACCATGATCTTGGAGCACTTCTTGAAGCGGCACTCGTTTGGCTTCTTCTGCCGAGCGCCGCTCGAAGATGATGCCGCCGATGGACCCTTGCTGTCTGCCTTGATGTAGCCGTTGGAATCGAGAGCGGGGCAACGTCCTGCCGAGAGATGGCGGTCCATGGCGATGTTGGGATCCTCGTCCCTCTTCCATCCCTGGGGCGGCGAGTCGCAGAGCGGGCAGAGCGGGACGCGGTAGTCGCCGGTGCTGTCGTCGTGGACGGAGCAGCGATGCGCGGCAGGGCGGAAGTGGGCGCCGCAGTAGCTCTGGCGGCAGTCTGCGCAGCGGAAGGGGAGAAAGTCTTCGCGGTGGCACTCGTCGAGGGCGCACCGCTCGCCGATGAACATCATGGCGCCGGTGGATCGTTCCGGCATGGCAGGCAATGGGGCGCAGGAGTGAGCAGGCGAGATGAGGAGAGAACTTGGAGGGTTAATGGGGAAACGTCGAGGCGATGGATGCGATGCTGATGCGGTGCAGTGAAAGGTAGCTGTAGCGGGCCGGGTCGAGAGCGTGATGGGGCCGCCGGGTATAAATGAGGTGTGCGTCGACAGGGGGGTATCCAATGGTGGCGTGCTGCGAGGAGAAGAAAGGGCTTGCGTGGCCGCTGAGTCGGGGGCTAGGGAGGAAGAATGAGGAAGCGGAGGGAAGGGTGAGGGGAGGAGGTGGTGGAAAAGGTTTGCGTGGCCTGCCAGGCCATGGAGTGGTCCAGGGTGGGCGGCCAGCCTCGACTGTGTCTTGGCGGTGCGAGGCTGAGCCCTGCGCTCGGGATTCGGCCGCGTGGCGCTTGTCGGCCGTCGTGGACCGACGCCTGCACCGACAGCCATCCTTTCGAAGCAAAGTGGAGGGGCAGCGCCGGCTTACGTAAAACGCAGCTCCCGCCTGGATGGCAGAGTCAGCCGCTGCGATGCCTTCCTTGGCTCCTCCTCGTCGTCGTCCTGCCCCCCCTAACCACGCTCCCGTCTTTCACCCATCCGCGACCCCCCGGCGCACACAACCGACATGGCATCCTCACCCTCTTCCGACCTGGCATACGAGCAGCAGCCGGCGGGCGCATGGCAGGATGGCAACATCGTCCCCGCAGAGCGCCTCGAGTCGACCCGCGACAAGTTCTTTCGCAAGATGAAGGAGCAGCCCCTTGTCCCCATCGGTTCGTGATCCGTGTCGGTTGGGAGATGCCGCGGTTTTTCCCCTCCGTATTGAACCAGCTGCTACGTCTACCTCTCCTCACCCCCTCCTTGGCAGGCTCGTTGCTCACGTGCGGAGCTCTGATCGCCGCATCCAACCACCTGCGAAAGGGCAACCGCAACGAGTTTCAAAAGGCGCTGCGATGGCGAGTCGGCTTCCAGGGTCTCACCATCCTCGGCGCAGTGGCCGGCAGCCTGTACTACAACCAGAAAGTCTCGACGCCCGCACCTCCTCCCGTCCCCTCGTCGTCCCCCGGGTCCGTCGCACCGGGCGTCGAGGACGCGGCAGGCGGCGCGGCGGCGCGGCAGACGAACCTGTGGCAGCAGATGCGCGCCGACGAGCGCGCCGCCAAGCAAAAGGCCGGGTTTAACGAGCGCCTCGACAAGGCAAAGGCGCGCGCCGATAGGGACGAGGAAAAGGAGCTCGAAGAGGCGCTCCTAGGCAAGGAGGAGGACGTCGTCGTGCCACCACCAACAAAAGAGAGGAGCCGGCCCGTCATTGGCATGGACGCGCGGAGGCAGGTTTGAGATAGATAACAGGGGAGGACCATCCGGCGAGGGTCGCGCGCCGAAGGAACATCAGGACCGGCAGATCTCCTGCGCAGACAGCCAGCACCAGCACACCGTGCAGCAGAAAGAGGCTCCTAGAAAAGACGACTTGCAAGTTCACCATTACAGCCTGACCCTGTGCGTGACCGATGGAATGCCCTAACATGATACAAGGTCCCTTCTACGCCCTCGATGCCGGCCCTCAGAAGACCTGCTGGAAGAAGCGCTCGAGGTCAAAGAGGATGGCGCGCGACCCCTGTTGGATCGTCGTCTTCGTGAGATCGTGGCCCTGCGCGAGCGTCGGCGGCACCGACTCGGCCTTGCCGGTCGATTCCTCCTCTCCGATCTCGTTCCGCGACCCTTGACCGCCATCCTTGCCAGCCTGGAGCGCCTCTGCTCTCCCCGGACCATCCGCACCGTCTTGCCCTTCCTCTGCATCGTCCCCGTCATCATCTCCGTCACCCTCTTCCTCCTCCAACACGAACGCATCGTCCCGGTACCGGCTCTGCGCGACGGCCCGGACGCAATCCGCAATCTCATGGAGGAATCCTCGAACCAGAGGCTGGCACGACGATGCCCCACTGCCGTGATTCGCGGAGACAAAGACGACGTCGTGCAAATCCTCGAGGATATCGAGCGTGTCCAGGCCAATGTGGAGCGGCTGGTCGGGTCGAAGCGGCGGAGGGACGGTCGCCGCCGTCAATGCCGTCCCGAAGAAGCACGGAGACTTTGCCGTTGTCGCGGCGGCTGATCTCGACGACATCGATGTCGTCGCGACCGCAGCGGTGGCGGGCGACGAGACGATGAGACCGTGTCGCAGCGAGGCGCGCCAGAGGCGGCACCGGAAGACTTGTCGGATCAGCTCGAGCAGGATGCCGTCGCGGTGATTGAGCGCGGCGGGGCGGGTTGACGTCGCCTCTCCCGCCTCGTCGCCGCCGTGGAGCGAGAGCGAGGTGGCGTGCATCGACAGGTCCAGCAGCGAGTCGTCGATGCGTAGGGCCAGCGCACTATCGAGGCGCTGGCACGTCTCGGCCGCACAGCGACCCTGCCAGCACTCGATCTCGCGCCAGGAAAAGCGGCTCGTCAAGATGCGGTGGAACGGCGCGAAGCCCAGGTCGATGAGCACGGCGAGCTGGTCGCGCATCGAGCCCTGTCCCTGGTCTGGTCCCTGCGTCGGCGCGCACATCGCCTCGTCTTCCGGAGCGGGCACCGCTTCCTCCTCCTCCTCGTCTTCGTCGGGCGGTGGCAGCTGGAGCGAGCCAGCCCGGGGCGTCATCTCCGAGATGGTGGCCGACGACCGGATCCACTCCATGATCGAGGCGCCGGCCGATCCGGGTGCAGTGAAACGCTGCGGCGTCGGCTGCAGCAACGGACGAGAGACTCGGCTTTGCCAGACGCTGGGGGATGGCATCGACTCCTTGGGTTCGGCGCTGAGCAGCGGCGGCGGTTGCACTGGCGATGCCTTCAACGGCGTCGACTTAGACGCGGGTGGAGACCGGGCGTCGGCAAGAGGCCTTGGGACGCGCAGCTGGGGCCGGTAGTCGTCTCTCTGCGAGGCCCACCAACGCTCGCATCGGACCAGGAGCGCCCACGTGCGTATCCGCCGCTCGCGCTCTTCGATGTCGATGCCGTGCGGCGTGGCGGTCGAGCGGTCAGCAACGAGCTTGCTGTCCTGACTCGTCGCCTCGTCGATGGCGAGCTTGTCGATGCCCAAGATCTTGGCCAGCGCCACGCTCTCCGCAAAGCGCAGGAAACTGGCGTCCCTCCACGTCGAGCCAGCGGCCGGCCGCGTGGCGCTGTTGCTGTTCGCTTCCGCCTCTTCCAGGCACCACAGCGCCAGCGAGAGCAGCAAGGACGTGAAGATTGAGGTGCAGCCGGGCTGCTGGCCGAACGAAGCCGTCCCCTCGGACAGCGATCGCGTCGAGAGCGTGTACGAGATGAGCGAGACGACCTGATCCCTCTGGTCGGCTGTGAAGGCTCGCGCGTTGTCGTCGCTGAAGGACGGCAAGATCGGAGGTCGGAAGGGCACGTCGATGTCGAGCGAGTCCAGCAGCGACCGCCTGTCCGTCTTGGGCGAAGTCATCTTGGCGACGGGTGCCGCTTTCGCCTCCTTGGCCACCTCGTCGTCGGCAGGCATCCTCGCTCCCAACAGGCCGAGGACCGACATGCTCAATGCCAGCGCGGCAAAGCTCGGATCCTGCTTCTGCCAGTTCTGCCCGATCTTGGGGTAGATGTAGGCTCTGGGGAAGATGCCGAAGCAGACGTCGCGGTAGAGGTGCTCAAAGAAGAGCGCTGTGCGCTGCGTCAGCAGCTGCGACGACAGCGGGTCTTCGCGCACCGGCGGCGTCTTGGACGAGCTCTGTATTGGCGGCGCCGGCGGCTCCATCTTGGTCTTTGCCGTCGTCGTCGTCGTTGTCGCCGCCGCGCAAGTCGCTGCGGCCGTGAAGCCTGCCTGTTGCGGCGGAGCGAACGCAGAGACTGAAGCCGACCGTGCTCCCCGCGAGGAGCGGCTGTCTATCTCGCGCTTGCTCTCGAGACCGGCTAGCAAGCTATGGATCGAATCGGCGCTGCTGCGGTGGGCGCGATGCGATACCGTCGGGGCTCTTGGCCGGTTGTACGCCAGAGCGGGACGAGCCATCTCTTTTCCCCCCAGCTGATGGACGTGAGGCAGGCTGGCCAGGCCATTGGTGGCGAGCTCGGTGTGGGAGACCTTGAAGCGCTTGGCATCGTTGGTGGTGTCGGCGTGCTGATTCTCCGCCCTGAGCGTCCTAGTTTTCGAGCGCGGGCGCTTCGAGCTGCCCGAGGGGGTCAATGACGATTCTCTCGTGATCAGACCATTGGCAACGGCGGCGAGGTTGTACAGGTCCGTGGCTGTTGAGTACTTCTGCAAGTTGGAGGCGTTCGAAGCCGGCGTGTGAGCGGGGTCCTTGCGCGCGGATCGCACGAAGCCCGGAAAGACGTCAACCATGTCGTCGTGCCGTTGCTCGGGCGTAGGGATTCCCATGTCCGATGTGGGGAAGGTCGACGAGAGGGAGGGAAGTCGTCGCTGCTCCGAGTGCTGGGCCAGCGCGCTGGATTTGGCGGACCCGGACAGGAGCGGAGGCAGCGGCAGGTGCAGGTCGTGAAGTAGGGGCGTCCGGAAGCCGGCGGTGCTCTCGGTCGTGTAGCCCGAGAAGGTGCTGTCGAGGCTGCCGGAACGCGTCGACAGGTCGCCCAGGTGCTGCTGCTGTTTCTGTGTGTGCGGATATGGTGGAAGAGGTGCCAGCGAGCCACGCCGAGTCGAATACATGACCGAGGTCAGCGGCTGATGATCGGGTGGCAGCCAGTCTACCTCTGCTCGATGTTTGGTCAGGTTTTGTTTCGACCCAGCGGTGCGTACGGGCGAGGACGAGCTCCGAGGCGGTGACGGAGAAGCAATGGACGTCGCTGCTGATGTCGTGATCGTGCTGGCCGCCAGCAGTCGTCGTGGTTTACGATGGCTCGGCGAGCCGGCAACCAGAGGCAGAGTCGAGATGTCCGATCCGATATGAACAATGTGCTCCCAAGATTACCGAAGGCGTGTGCAGAGCTTGTTGGCCCCGAGAGAGCGGCGGACCGATAAGAGCAAGTAGCGCGCTGCGAGCGTGTCGAGGCGATATGGTGGTTTGTGGTGGGAGCAGAGAGAAAAGGGATAGCGAACCTCGCTCGAGGCGATGGTGACGAGTCCAGAGCGGCTTAGTCGGTATACTTGACTGCAGGCAGCGACACCTGGAATGGCAGCAGCATCGAGAGGGAGGAAGCGGCAGAAGGTCGAGCGGGATGGGGCCTGACAAGTCGCCGGTCCCATGCCTACTGGCCAGGCCGGCTGTATGGGGGCCAAGACGCGCGCGGGGGGACGCGGCCGGAGAGGGAGGGATGGGCCGGATAAACGAGGGCTGCGGCGGTCAGGATTGCGGCGGGGCGGCGGACGGAGGCCAGGACCGGGGGAGCCGTTCTGCACGCTGCTCGTGGCTCCGTATGGCGTATCGAGCGGAGCGGGGAGCGGGGGGGAAAGCGAGGAACGGCAAAGGGCCGAGTTCGGTCGGTGGGGTCCGCGAGATGCTGCCCGCGACGAGGTGAGTGAGGGTTGGTGGTGCTTCCCCGTGCCTCGGCGTGGGGGGCGTGTGGTATGGTTCGCGATCTGATCCCCACTGCCCGACGGCAGCCGCTGTCCGGCGTCTTGAGCACCGGAATGGCCGGACAAGATGGGTCGGTTGCCTTGGACGACTCTCCATCCATGGCCCACCGGCAACAAAGGAGCAGGTAGGAAGGCAGGCAGGCACAAGGCTTGGCATTCGAAGGTGCCGCGCCTTTTCCCTCATCTGCTGTCCTTCGCCCACGTTGTTGGTTGAAAGTCGAGCTGCCGCCGCCGGTTTCGCAGACGACAATTGGACGGCAAAAGACGGATAGCCAACAGCGCGAGGGTCGGCGAGTTGCTCTCCGGTGCGATGCCTGCATCGGGGCGAGACGAAGACAAGGCAAAGGTCGACGCCACCCTGTCGGCCACACGAGGATCAGGCGTCGGTTCAAGCGGCAAGTGTGTGAAGTGAGAACAGCGAGGGCCGGACCGCGACCTCCACGGGCCGCCGTCGGTGCACCGTCTCGCCGCGTCGTAGCCGTGTCGCTTTCGTCGGCGTCACTGTACTTTAATGGCACCCCATATGGTATATACGATGACTTGCAGCTGTGCCAATGTAGCTGCGGAGACCGCTTCGTACACAGGAGGAGGAGTGGGGTCCGGGGAAAGGTGGCGGGCAGAGTTTTGCCGCCCGGTGTGGAGAGCCAAGTTTGCCAGGGTCCGCGGGGACAGTTGCAACGCACGACACACCGCACCATCCCATGTGAAATCGAGCGGACGGACGGAGGGGCGGGCCGGTCAACATCGCTCCGTCCTTGTCGCGGGTCGCCGAGCGTCCTTTGTCGTCGTCGTCGTCGACATGGCGAGGGGACCCGGTTTGGCTGCCCGTCTCGCTGCAATTTCGGACCTCGTCGGGGCGCCGTGGAAAGCCCCGCCGCTCAGCCGCGTGCGCACCACCATCCCGCCGCTTCATTCCGAACCGAGCCGACCCTGTTTGGCCCACTCTCCATCAATCTGCCGCCGCACTTCTTTTGATGGGGTCATCAGTCCGTCTCGTCCGCCCCCGGTACATTCAGTCAAAGCGGAGCCGTCGTGGAGCGGTCGAGGCCGTACAGTGCACAAATGCAAAAGATCGGCGGTGGTCTGATGAAGTTCAGCAATGCTGCACGGAGTTGGCCGACACTAAGCGTGTAGAGGCACCGCTCAACATCACCGGCTAGGCCGTCTAGACCGCTGAGAATGATGCGACGCTGGGATCGCAACCAACAAGCGAACAAAGCTAGAGAAACTCGTTTGTTGCACTTCCGCCTCGACACCATCGCTTTGCTCGTGCCAGTGCAGGACGAAATACATAGCTTCGGACATCTTTGCTCGACCGCCGGAGCCAGAGGATGGCCTTGACCCACATGGTGCAAAGGAGGCCGCGGCGCTTTGCGCGCTTCATCGTCCTCGCTCGGCATTCTTGTTCTTCGCGCTGCCTCTGAACCATCGAACCAGCTGGCCGTTGGGATCGCCTGGGCGATGCGGGAAACTTGGGCCAGTTCGACTCACGACGAATGCTGCCAGCAAGGGGCGAGCTCACCCGCACCGACACCGCGTGCTCTAACATATCCGTATTGCGACTGTAGTTGCTGCGCTGCTGTGGCCTCCGCGGCCGTGCGGCGCCGTCTGGCATGGCCTGATGACCTTTGCTTGGACAGACGCGAACGAGCAAGCGTCTTGTCTGCCAGGTCGCCGGTCGGGTGGGCTGTCAGATTTTCAGAGACGGCAGAGCCTCGGTCCCTCTTCGGCAGAGGCGGCGGCAAGCTCGGTGTCATGGGCCACGCCTTCGTTTGTCACCGACCTCGAGCAGCGACAAGAAGCGCACACGAGGTTCTGATTCGGTCCTGCTTCGTTCAACACCCGCTGTCAAAGCAGCTTGCCGGCAGGCCCGTCCGCTCGTTACTCAAGTCGGCGAGGGAATTGGCCGGGCTGCGTCTCGCAACCGCGCCTGTGTACAGTTCCTCCGTAATCGCCGCCGACGCCGGCGCCGCTGGAGCGCGTGTCACCACGTCTCGCCGAGACAACAGCATGGGCGTCAAACGCGGGGGCGGCGTGGGGAAATACAGACTTGCCTCGGCCCTTTTCTCGCGCCGCATCGACGTCTGTTCAAGCATCTCGTGCTGGGCAGGCCTGCGCATCGGTTCCGAGAGCAAGGCGCAGTGGTATGATACGTGGTAGACGGTCGCTTGCGCAAAGTGCGGCCGCTAGTGCGTGTACAAGAAGTAGATGTTCTTGTTGTCGGTCATCTGCGCGAGGGGAGCAAGTGGCGGAGCGGAGGCACCAGGCTTCGTCAGCTCCCTCTTCGACAGACGGATGAAGCGAGGAGCGGCAGCGAGCTACTCACGTCGAGTTCGCCGTTGATCTTGTTCTTGAGCACCCGCTCTTCTTCCGAGACGCCCATGGCTCGCAGCACCTTGCGACGGCGGGCGTTGGCCCACACCAGGTAGACTAGCCATGCGAGGGTGAGTCTGCAAGAAGCGGACCGAGAGACCGGGACCACGTCAGTTGACGGCTTCGAGATGAGACGCCAGGCAGGACTCGGCCGGAAGTACGGCGCACTCACACGAACGTCAGGCCTAGCATGGCTGCCGTGACGATCAAGCCGGTCGTGTACTGCGGCGCCTCTTCGTCCCTGAAGGCCTGTGGCCCGATCATGTTCTGCCAGGCTCGCAGGTCGACATGAGGCAAAGTAGAAGGGGAAGAGGACGAGGCCGGCTTCAGTTCGACCTCGATCGACAACTCGCTTGCCGCAACGGTCCCCGGACAAGACTCACGCCAACGCAGTACCCGATAAACGTCGTAGTGCTGACGACGGACTTCTTGGTGCGCCCGCCGATGATGCTGGGCATCAACGCCCAGGTGAGGAAGCCGTTGATGGAGAAGAGCACGCTCATCATATACACGCCGTACTTGATCCACTTGTACGTCGCGTCCGTGGGCAGCAGCCCGGCCACGAGCACGGCGGCCAAGGTGGGCAGGACAGTGACGCTCATGAAGAAGAAACGTGTACCGGGGAAGTAATGGATCACAGCCTGTTGCCAAGAGTCACGAGACGGTGCACGGCCTTGGTCAGCTTCAACGTCGGGTCAGGAGCATTCCGGTGCAGCGTCCAACTTACGATGCAGAAAAAGATGCTCAGGCACGACGTGGCGTAGAGGGGGAGCTGGTAGATGATGCTGTCGAGGTTGCTGAAGCCGAACGAGCTGAAGATGACGCTCTGGAACGTCGTCAGGCCGCCATTGGGGATGCAGCTGATGAGCGTGAGGAAGAAGAGGAAGCTGTCGTCGAAAAAGGCCAGCAGACATTGTCGAAGGCAGGCATCAGCGTGTTGCCAGAACCCGCCTGCCGGGACGCTACATGGGAGGCTTGTGTCAATGTGTTCGTGATGCTCACTATGTGTTAGGGTCCGTGAAGGCGTCCCAGACCTGATCCAACTTCCAGGCTTGCGTCTCGCCGCCTCCGGTACCGTTGTTGATGGTACGTGCATGGGCTGCCTTCTTCTCCCTGTCGTTGAGCCACCACGCGGTCGAGGGGAGGCGTAAGAAGACGCATGCGATTAGACCGACAAAGATGGTGACGCCGCCGAGGAAGAGGTTGATGGTTCGCCTGCGTACATCGAGTAGGAGCAGCAGATGAGCAGTACGCTGATCAGTCGGTGCGACCTCAAAGCAAGGACGAGGAGCGAGGGGGAGCGGGAGCGTCAAGGGGACTTACCAACCGCTCAGACCGCCCTGCTGCTCCGAATGCTTGCCCAAAAAGTAAATGACGACGGTCGTCCACAGCGAGAAGCCCGTGTTCTGCGGTCGAGATGCGAAGGAGGCCCGTTAGGCGTCGTGGCGGATCCGCTGCTGGATGGAATGCAAGTCGCCGCACACTCACCATGGCGAGGTACATCATCTGCCTGCTGTTCTGCTCCGAGGTCTTGTACCAGCTGCCGACGATGAGCATGAAGCCGGGTGTGATGCCGCCCTCCATCGCGCCGAGGAGGAAGCGCAGCGCCACTTTGATACGCGATGCGGTTTAGGCGGGCAAGGCGGAGGGGCCCAGAAATACGTCAATCGAGAACGCTTCGACAATCGATGCGAGGGCCTGTAACTGCTCACTCACTGAGGGAGGCAAAGTTCTGGCAAGCCGCTAGACACATGACGACACCGCCCCAGACCACGATGAGGATCGAGAGGAAGCGCGCGGCATTGACGCGCTGCATATAGTAGTTGAGCAGCGGCTGGGCGACGAGGTACCCGAGATAGCTGTTGTCGCCAGGCGAGGCGACGTGCTCTGGTCATCAGCGCTTCCAATCCTGCACAGGTCTCGTCGACGACGGGTCGGCTCCCGCCGGCTAGCTCACAAGATGGTCGCGAGCCAGGAGAATTGATTGTCGGCGAGACTCGTATCTTCAGCCAGGTTGAAGAGGATGCCGGCGCTGAGCGAGATCTTGTCCGCGAACTGCATGCCGTAGATTGACATCATGAGCGGGAGCAGGTACCAGTCGATCTTGCGCTGCGATGCAAAGTCTCGAGAGCGCGAGGATGTCAGAGAGGAATCTGCAACACTACCGTGCTGCGGACTTCAACAGGCCGACTCACCAGCAACCGCTTGTCCTCCTCGGGCGTGATGAGCTCTTCGTCCTGGAGCACTCCCTGCACCTTTTCTGCCTGCTGTGAGTCCAACTGCGAGCCGAGTTCGGTCATACCGACGGATCCGCCCTGCTTTTCGCTGTCGAATGCATGTTTGCCCTGGCCTTCCGAGGGAGGACGGGAAAGAATCGCGTCCTGGTCCTGCTTCTCGCTGGACATGGTGGCGGTAGATGGCGTCGAGCGTCTCGAGAGTCAGGAGCGGACGGGTTGAACGAGGTAGGGAATCTGAAAGGTGGCTTGTCGAACTCGCAGGCGGTTGCATTTGGCGCCACGTCGTGGTCGTTATCGTGACGGTTGTATATGTGGAGAGGGAGAGAAGGTGACTCGTTGAGGTCCTCGAGGACACAGACAGCACCTGTCGCTCAGGATGTCGCGCGCTAGATGTGCATGGACGCAGACAGGCACAGAGGAGCGATACGGCGGGCAGAGGTCGGCCGGCCGTCGTGGGGAAGAGCGAGTTTTGCGCCGGGGTCACGCGACGGCGGGGGAGGCCACGCGACCATGGTGCTGCAGAACGAGTGCACGATGCCGAAGGCTTGTTCTGAAGCCCTGCTCGGGTGAGTATGCGATGCGGCGTCCTGAATGGTCGTCCGTGGAGCGTTACAGTATCAGCACGCCGTCGGTCTTCCCCGCGCTGCAAGCTGGGCGAATCAGAGAGGGCCCTTGAAGGGATGCGGGCGGGTCAACGTGTGAACCGAGAGCGAGACTGTGCTGGCCTTTGGTCGGGCCAAGACCTTGTTGAAGCGGGCCGCCAGGTGCGTCGTGTGGCTTCACAGAAACTCGCGACGGCAGTTCCTGCCAAAGGCCGGCAAAGACGAACGATGGGTGGAAGGGCGGTCACGATGCTGTCGAATGAGTCACCGCGCTCGCCACCAGTACTGTACTGTACAGTAGGTGAGTTGCTAGGTCGAGACGGCGGCGCAAGCGTGAGCGGCGGGGCGGCGTCGATCTTCTACATACTTACCTGATTTCGTGGGATGGCGGTCAATTCCGGGCGCCACCTGTCCCTCACCGCCGGCATCTTTGCTTTGGAATTCACCGCAAGCCCGGGGGTCCCTAGTTGCCGACCTTTTGACCGAGATCCCGACTACTCGTACGCCTCTTGCGCTTCCTCGATAGCGGTACCGCTAGCTTCTGTCGTGGCAGCCCAGGCAGCAAGCCAAGACCCATCTGTCCATCTCCTGATACACTTCACAAAGACCCCAAACGACTGCAGACGGCCACGGCCACAGATCGAGATTCGGTCAGCGTCGTTGAGCAGAGTCGCTCGTCGTAGAGCGCGGTCACATTCGAGAGCACCCTTGATTTGGAGATGCTCGAGAACGGCTAGATGAGACCCTTTTTGGCAGCAGTCGATGTGTGCCGTGCATTGCCTGCCCACCTCGTCGTCTGATGAAGAGCCAATAACCGTTGCTGGTCAAGCCGTCTTGGCACATATGTGCGACATCAGTTCTTCGCCCTCCGTTCCGGTCCCTTCGTTCGTGCCGCTGTTGCTGGCCAGCTCGCCTGGATTGGATGCTTTTGCTGTGCGAGATTGGTCTGTCGGCGCCCTCCTACTCGTCCGAGGGCGTCTTGTCGATCGGCACGCCTTCGCTCTCCCTGCTCGCCCAGCCCGTCCAGCTCTGTGGGGTCCGAACGCGGGGTAGGTAAAGCGCCCAAGTCAGCGGATATCCAGCACGGCCTTGCAGACACCTCAACGTGATGGCGACAGATCAAATACTCGATCGGCAGCGTGCCGCTCTTTCTAGAGCCTTACGGCCGACACTCACCTCATCATAGATGCTGCTCTGCACGCCAACCTCCTGGAGCGCGAGCCAGATGCACGCAGCCGTCATGCCGCTGCCGCACGTGTTGGTAGCCGACAGCTCGCCGCCGCTCGAGCCCTGTCGCAGCTTGTCGAGCGCTTCCATGCCGCCGGCCGCGTCGCTGAGCACCCTCCACAGCTCCACCTGATCCTTGAGCGTCGTGTACTTCTTCCCCGCCTCCTTGCTGCTGGTCTGGGTGTTGAGCAGCGTGGAAAAGGGGAGCGAGAGCGAGTGAGGAATGTGGCCTGACGACAGGCCGGCGCGGGGCTCCGGGTCTGTGCCGTCGAATCGTCCCTTTGGACGAGCGTCAAAGACCGTCTGGCCGCGTGCGCCCTGCCTAGCGTTGGCGACCATCTCCTCGAATGAGCGCACCATGCCCTCAGTTAGGGTTGGCACCGGGTACTCGACCGGCTGATTGGGCGCGAGAGGATGCAGCGGTCAGCTTGCTGCGCTCTTGTGCTGCCAAAACGTCTTCAAGGGACGAGCGCTCACCGTAGTCTGCTCCTTGGCCGGGCCCTCCTCGACGGCAAAACCAGCGTCGATCCAGGCGGGCAGGCCGCCGTTGAGCACCGACACCTTGGGGTGGCCGAAGGCCTGTGCGAAGAGTGCAACAAAGGGACCAGGATCAGCCGAACAGCTCTTTTGAGGTTGTCCAGAAAGCATCAGCTGCTCACCTTGAATGTGAAGGCCGTCCTTGGCGAAGAAAAGACGCTGCAATGACTCAAGACGACAGCGATGAAGGAATGTTAGCCGTGCACTGAAGGGCCCGCTACATCATGATGTTGACGCAGAAGAACGTACCCATGTGTGTCCTGACGAAGACGAACGAGATGGGGTTAAGAGAGCGAGGACGAGGGGCCAAAAGCGAATCAGCATTCCGGCAAGACGCGAAGAGCATGCCGGCACACGGACGCCTGCACTCACGTAAACGACGACGTGAGTGTCCTTCGAGATGCCGTGCTCTCCCGCGGCCTGTGCAAATACCTCTGCTGTGGGCATCATGTGCGGGAGGTTTCTGACGGTCTCGCCGGTGGTGGCGACCTTGTCCACGTCCCAGAATAGGGCTCCCGGAAGGCGTGGGCCGCGTTGGAACTCGTCGCGCGCGTTTCTCTGGACGTTTGGCATGAACCAAGTGGCATCGAGCACCCTCACTGCGTTGGAGGACGAGGCATCCTGGAGAAGCGGCGAGAGATACTTAGGCGATACCACGAGCGGCACCGGCGAGGGACGGACCGTGTTGCTCATGAGGCGGGTGCTGCTGGCGGCGGCGGCGGCGGCGGTGGATGTGCTGCTGGACAGGGTGGTTCGTGCTGTGCCGAGGTGCTTGAGAGCAGTTGCCGAGAGCATGATTGGTGAACAATTCGGGAATGTGTTCCGTATCAGTGAGTGTGGCAAGCAAACAGCGATGGTGGTGGTGGCAAAGGTGGGCGTGGTGAAGGCCAAGTTCAAAGCCGGCCTTCTTGTTGCTTGTCCTTCTTGGGCCGCTGCGCCGTGGTCCGAGCAGCGGCAGATGTGGAGGCAGGAAGCCCGCTCCGCCCGTGCCCGTCAACTTCTGCAAGGGTCTGTGCGTCAAAACCAGCCAGGCCGACTTTTCCCGTGTGCCCGACCCATCCTCTCTGGCTGACGCGAGCAGAGTTTTGCCCCTCTCCCCGCGGCGACAACAGCCGCATCGACGATTGATCGTTGGCGACCACCGTCGCAGCCAGGCCAGGTCAAGCCACACCCGTACCAGTTTCTCACCGAGCTAGGTCAAGTCACACCAGCTTCACACACACACAGGCTACCTGCAGTCTGCAGCCACGGACAGAGAGGCGGGTTGGGAAGACAGGTGCTAGATCCTGCATGCCACGAATGCCTTTTGATATCTTACATCGAGCAACTACGACGACAACGGGGCGCGCGACACCTAGTTCTTCTCAATGTCCTGCTCGAGGACAAAGCGGTAGCGGATGTCGTTGTCCTCGACGCGCTGCACGGCCTTGGCGCAGTCCTTCATCGGGATCAGCTCAATCCACGGCTCGACGTTCTTCTCGGCGGCCAGCTTAAGCATCGCCAGCGCTTCAGTCTTGGAGCCAATGTGCGACGAGCCGAGCAGACAGCCGTTGCCCGCCAGGTTCTGGATCCGGATCTTGAACACGTCCTCGGGCATTCCGACGGCGATCAGCTTGCCCTGCGTCTTGAGCGTCGAGAGGATGGCGGGCAGGTCGATGGCGTTGGACGAGGCGGTGTTGACAATCAGGTCAAAGGGGTCGTCCTTAAACTTGGTCGTCCAGTCGGGCTCCTCGGCCGTCGAGATAAACTGCGAGGCGCCCATCTTGAGCGCGTCCTCGCGCTTCTTGGGCGAGTGCGAGATGGCCACGACGTCCGCGCCGAGGGCCTTGGCAAAGAGGACGCCGCTGAGGGGGTGGACAAAGATGCATTCGATAGCGATGGAAAGGGTCAGCTTGGGAAGCGTCAAGGAGTGCGGCAACGGGCCACGGCAGCCACTCACAAGTGTCCGAGACCGCCGATGCCGACGATGCCGACCTTCTTGCCGGGACCAGCGCCGTTGCGGACGAGGGGCGAGTAGACGGTGAGACCGCCGCAGAGCATGGGTGCGGCGTGCTCCGACTTGATGCCCTCGGGGATGGGGAAGACAAACTGCTGGTGGGCGCGGATGGCGGTCGAGTAGCCGCCCTGGGCGATGCTGCCGTCGGGGTAGGTGGCGTTGTAGGTGTCGACGACGCCGCCCTTGCCGTCGCCGGTGCAGTAGTTTTCGTTGTCGTTCTTGCAGGGCCAGCACGACATGCAGGAGCCGACCTGCGCGCCTACTCCGACGCGGTCGCCGACCTTGATGTCCTTGACGTTCTTGCCGACCTTTGTGACGTGTCCGACAATCTCGTGGCCGGGGACGACGGTCTTGACGTTGAGGGGGCCCCAGCCGCCCGAGATGGTGTGTACGTCGCTGCCGCAGACGCCGCAGTGGGTGATGGCGATGTCGACGTCGTCATCCTGGGCCGTCTTGAGCTCGTACTCGTGGATCTTGAAGTCGGTCCAGTTCTTGGTGTCGCTGATGCCGTATCCCTTGGCGCTCATGTTGGGCAGAGTGTGTCGTGCGGTGGTGGTTGAGTGGTTGTGCGAGAGTGTGTGAGGTTGGCAAAGAAGGGAAAGACGGAGATGATATGAAATGGGCGTGGGGAGGGGAGAGAGGGGCCACGGATGTCGTGTGCGAGGTTCTTATACCGAGGCGAGCGGCGGCCCAGTCCCAGCACGGCGGCGACGAGGTCAGCGGGGGGTGGAGGAGGCGGGGGGCCCCCAGCCAAGGGGACCAAGAGAGGCCCAGCCAAAGGCAGCACGGGCGGCAACAGCGTGGGCGCGCTGACGGAAGTTTCAGAAAGAGGCCCCAGCTCCCCGACCTGCTTGCTTCTTCTCGCTCCCCCGCGCACATCGGCCAAGCAAGGACAGGCAGGGAGGAGCTGCAGGCCAGCCAGCCAGCCAGCCACCCACCCGTCGTCGACGTGGGTGGAGCAGCCAGGCTCTGCGCACACCTTGGTTTGGCCCCTCTCCTCGCCGTCGTCGTCGCCGACGCAAAGCGACTCTGCCAACGCCACACGTCTATCGACCACCAATAATCTGGACCAGCAGATCGACAGACCCCTTGACCGGCGACCACCGTCGTCATCATCCGCCTGGCCACTCGCCTCGATACCCTAGCGAGCGAGCACCTGCATCCGAACGGGCCAACCACGCATCGTCCCGGCCTGGCCCAGGTGGTGGCCACGGCTGCCTTGCTTGGCTGCAGCGCCGCTTTGCCGGTGGTCAACAGAACATCGGATCGGCTGCAAAAACCGTCGGCGCAGGTCGACATCACCGCCGGCTACCTCCGCCAGGCGTGGACCGATCACCCAAACTCGCCACAGAGGAATTGCAAATTGAAAGAGATAACCGGGCGGGGGAAGGCGACTCCCAATCGGCCATCGGGCAGATTACAAGATCGGGCACCCGTAGCCTTTGTCCGATTTGGCCGCCGGCTGCACGGCCGCCATCCGAGCCAGAAACGTGGACGGCGCGGTGCGGCGGCGTCGAGAACGTGCCCCTCCCAACGTCTCTCTTGCTTCTTCCTCGCAGCCGTCATCCTCCCGGCAACCGAGCTCCGCTTCGCCTCCATACGGTCGCCAGCGTAGGTATCGGATCCATGGCGCACGCCATCATGCGACCTCACGATGGCTTTCAATCAGCGCAATCAGGCGCCGTGCCGAAGCATCGGTCCGATGCGTTGCCGGAGCCGTGAGATGGTGCCGCCACCCTGCTGCACTTCAAAAGGGGTGCCTGGCCCGACCATGCCTCTCTCTCGGCTACGAGCCGGCACCATGGCGGAACCTTCGCATTGATCGACTTCCATCGGAGCGATATGGCATCTTCTCGTCCTGACTTGCGGCCCTCGACCGCGCGTCCTTCGAGAGCAGCCCATGAAAAGGCAATCGACAAACCGTGAGAGGCTATATAACCATGAGCTTCTTCAGGTCTCTTGGGCCATGGTCCTCGCCGTATACGCTCGTTGCTCCCTCTCTACCATCCCCTTCATCGCCTCTCGCTCACCATGCATTTCACGAGGGCCCTGTCTGTGCTGCCCCTGGCGGCGCTGGCTACTTCGGCCGCCATCTGCAAGCGCGCCATCGACCCTTCGTCGTTCAAGAGCGAAGGCCTGGTCGCCATCGGACGCTTCCCCGCCGACCTGCGCGACAGCAACGGCGAGACGCTCGGCGGTCTGGGATCGGCAGCCGGTCTGGTGCCTGGCAAGTTCCAGCGCAGGGGCAGCCGCTACTCGGGCTCCTTCTACCTCCAGCCGGACCGTGGGTACAATGTCGATGCCACCATCGACTACGCCGCTCGCCACCACCGCTTCGACTTTGAGTTCGAGGAGTACACTGGCAGCGACGACCTCGCCTTCTCGGATGCCATCAAACGCTTCGACCTCGAGTACAAGGAGACGCTCATCTACCACGAGTTAACCCAGGGACAGAGGCAGACGACCGGCCTCAACCCCGCCATCGTCAGGCAAGGCGGTCTGACGGGCACCGAGGCCAATGCCGCCCCGCTCGGCGCCGCCAACGGCCAGATCGACGCAAGCAAGCAGAAGATCTCGGTCGACGCCGAGGGCTTCGTCGCCAACCCGGACGGCACCTTCTGGGTGTCGGACGAGTACGGGCCGTACATCTACAAGCTCGCCGCCGACGGCACCCTGCTCGCCTACATCCCCCCTCCTGCCGCTGCGGTGCCGCGCATCGGCGGACAGGTCAACTTCACCGCCGAGACCGACCCTGATACGGGACGCGCCGCCAACCAGGGCCTTGAGGGCCTGTCGATCTCGTTTGACGGCAACACGCTCTACTCGATCCTGCAGGGCGGTACGATCCAGGATGGCGGCAAGGGGGCAAAGTACCTGCGCCTGTTCGAGTACGACGTCTCGGCGCTGTCGAGCGTCACGGCCTTTTCGGCCTCGGCGGCCAACCCGGGCGAGCGCGCCAAGCTGGTGGGCGAGTACGTGGTCGAGGTGCCCACGTCCAAGAAGGGCAAGGCCCGCGGCGTGTCGGAGCTCATCTACTTTGGACCCAAGACGCTCGGCCTGCTGGTGCGCGACGGCAACGGCTTCGGCGACAGCGAGACGGACGCGAGCTACAAGCACGTCGACGTGATTGACCTTTCGTCGGCCACCAACCTCGCCAACAACGCCAAGTACGACTCGGCCACGGGTGCCGTTGCGCCCGGCGGCAAGCTGGCCGCGGGCATCCAGACGGCCGGCTACTATCCGCTCATCGACTTCCTCGCCGACCTGCCCCGCTTCGGCATGCACGCCCAGGCCGAGCCGGTGGACGACACCCTGGTCGCCGCCAAGCTCGAGTCGCTCATCCTCCTCCCCACGCTCCCGCCCGCACCCACCGCAAACGCGCGCAGCTTCGATGCCGACGAGTACTTTATCGTCTCGTTCAGCGACAACGACTTCCAGACCAAGAACGGATTCATGCGCGCCCTCGGAGCCTACTCGGCCGCCTACCCTGTCGACGTCCAGACTCAGGCCTTTGTTTTCAAGGTCAAGCTGCCCGGCGTGGACAGGAAGGCGCTCCTGGCCCACCTCGGGCTGCAGTAAACAGTCAGAGTCGAGGGAACGCATCGCCGAGGTGAAAGTAGAGCGCGCGCTTTTGAAATCAAAAGAGTCGTCGAAGTGCATGCCTGACGAAGGACGAGGGTCCTCTGAGAACGGAGAGTGCGGCATAACGTAGACTCGAGACGACACACGGGCAGGGAGAGGATATCAAAGTAACTCGATCATGGGGGAGTTCCTGGATTGCATGCTACCTCTCAGGCGGACGCGCGCGCACGCGCCTAGGCGAACCAGCACATCATCTATGGACCTACAACCCCTTCGTACTCGTTCGTGAGTGGCACATGCCCCCAGCCGTTCAGGCAAAGGCGGTGCCGTTCCACTTCTGCTTGGCATAGTCGACGACCTTGCTCTGCAGCGCGCCGCCCTTGGGCGCCTGGCCGCCGTTGATGGGGCGGGTGAGCTTGTTGGCGCCCTTCTTGACGTTGAACGAGGCGAGGACGATTTCGTCCGAGTTGGGCATCGTGTTGTTGACGATGCCGTAGAAGTAGGCGTTGGCCTCGCGCTTGGTCACCTCGAGCTCAAAGTAACCGCGGTACTGGCCGTCGGCGAACTTGAGCGCCGGGTTGATCGAGACGAGCTTGGCGGCGGCGGCCGTGTACTGGGCCGGGGTGAGCTTCTGGCCGTACGACGACGGCGACGAGACGGCGGTGCCGGCGAACTCGACGGCGATCGAGCCGCGACCGCTCTCCGGGTCGTAGGCCGACGTGTTGTTGACGTACTCCTCGTAGATCGTGTCCGACACCCACGCCGCGTGCGAGTCGCCGGCGAGCAGGATCGTGTCGTCGATCTTGTTCTTGGTGAGCGTGTCAAAGAAGCGGCGGCGGTTGGCATTGTAGCCGTCCCACGAGTCGCGGTTGACGGGGAACGTGGGCTGGCCGTACGAGGTCGGGTTGACGATGATCTGCTGCCCGACAATCTTCCACGTGGCGCCGCGCTGCTTGCTCTTGATGAGGTTGTCGTAGAACCACTTCTCCTGCTTGCCGCCCATCAGGCTGCGCGCCGTGTCGTTCGAGACGGCCGTGATGGCATCCGTGTTCCAGTAGACGTCGGTGATGTCGCGGTCAAAGTTGCGCGTGTCGAGCAGGAAGAGGTCGGCGAGCTTGCCGTAGTGGAACTGGCGCCAGATGCGGAGCGAGTCGGTGGTGTCGACCTGGCGGATGGGCATCCACTCGAAATAGGCCTTGACGGCGGCCAGCTTGCGCTCGGTGAAGCGCACACCCTCGACCTCGCCGCTGGCCGTGTTGTTGCCGTCGGCCGTGCCGTGGTTGTAGGCGTTGTCGGCCACCTCGTGGTCGTCCCAGACGAGGAACCACGCCTTGCTGGCGTGGAGCGCCTGCAGGCTCTTGTCCTCGCGGTACGAGGCGTAGCGCTGGCGGTAGTCGTCGAGCGTCACAATCTCGTGGTTGGGGCGCGGAACGCGGTTGAGGGCGGTGCCGTTGCCGTACGTGTTCTGGCCGGGCACCTTGACGCCGTCGCCGCGCGCCTCGTAGATGTAGTCGCCCACGTGGACGGCGTAGTCGGTCGCCTCGCGGTCGCTGGCGTGCTGGTAGGCGTTGAAGTAACCGAAGGGCAAGTTGGAGCACGAGAAGACGGCGAGGCGCAGCTTGTCGACGTGGGCGTCGTCGGCCTCGGGGATCGTCTTGAAGCTGCCGGTCTGCGAGACCTGGGACTTGTCGTGGCAGGCCTGGAAGCGGTACCAGTACTGGGTCTTGGGCTTGAGGCCGGTGGTCTCGACCTTGAAGCTGTAGTCGACCTCGGACGTGGTCCAGGCGTAGTTGGTGTCGACGACGCTGGCGGCCGACCAGTCGTCGGGCTTGGTCGAGGTCTGGTAGCGCAGGCAGATGGGCTTGTCGGTCTCCTCGGCCGCGACCGGGTGGGTCCAGAGGATGGCCGAGTCGTCGTAGGGGTCGCCCGAGGCCACGTTGTAGGGGAACGAGACCTTGCCGCGGTAGGCGGCCTTGCCGTCGCTGCCCCACTCGCCGTCGTAGTCGGCGGCGAGCTGGTCGGCGGGGTTGTAGCCGCCCTTGCCGCGCGCGCGGATGCGCAGGGTGCGCTGCTCGTCGAGGTGGCGCTTGCGGATGTTGCGGCCAATGTGGCCGACGTCGTGGGCGAGGTCACGGCTGAACTGGATGCGCGAGGGCGAGCGGTAGGCAATGTTGCGCTCCAGCTGAGGCAGCGCCGACACCGAGACGGCCACCGCCGAGAGGAGCGCGAGGAAGGGGAGGGTGAAAGTGAGGCCCTGCATCGTGAGACGACGGCCGGGGCAGTGAGGGGCAAGGGTCGGAGGAGGGGTAGACGTTGGGTTGAGGACAAGAGACGGGGAGCAGACGAGTCTGGAAAGCGCCAAGGTGGCGGAGCCTTTTATCCTCGTCGAGAGGAGGCTGTGGATGCGATGCTCTTCTTCCCGACCAGGGGTCGCCCCAATAATCTCGCTAAGGCGACGAGGACCACGAGCAGTGGTGGCACGGTACCCTAGCCTGAGTCAAGGGTCGAGGCTAAAGGCTAGGCAGAGAGAGCCCCGCAAGAGCAGGCGAGGTGCCTGGAAGTGCGGCGATACGGTGTCCGTCGATGAGAGGCCAAAGGCAGGGCCATGGCGGCGCAGAACTTCCGAGGGATCGTCCAGCTTGAGCTTCGCTTGGCTTTGACGGCGAGAGGGGGCGTACACCATCCTCGATTCAGCAGCACCTACGGACGTCGGCTACCCGAGACCACCTCTGGTGCCCCCCTCTCGCCTGCGCGGTGAGGACCTCGACGGGTCGAGGAACGTTGCCATCGGCCGTGCAGGCACGAGGAGCCGTCTTGTCCCGTCGATGGCGGCGGATGGCCTCGATTCGACCCGGCGCTGGTTGGCAGGCAGCATCCTCGCTCTACAGGACAGCCGCCGGAGCGGGCAGGCCATGCCCTTCCCCCACCCCACGAGGAGGCCAGATGGAGTGGGGGCGTCCCGGATGCTCGAGCGTTGAGGGAAACCACGAGGTCGACGGACCAATGGCAGCGTCGTCGATTGACAATCGCTGCTGCTGCTGCTGCTGCTGCTGCTGCTGCTGCTGCGCCGCCGACGATCCCAGGGCGATCCCTACGATGCTTTGAAAGCAGTGGCAGGACAGATGCTGAAACGTGCCAGGGCAAAATGTCGCGACGCTGCCTGGCCCGTCGAGATGGACGATGGAACGTGGACCATCTCGCTTGTCACCTCTGCATATCCCCGAGCTCAGCGCGCAGAACAACGAACAAAAGGCGGCCTGGCAGCGGGCCTTTACGCCTCAGAGGCACACACATGCCCATCAATCAGGAATAGCTTAGGAACAACAGCGCCCAACGTAGGCGAGCATCACGGAAGCTGCGGTTCCGCTCAGTCGGTCCCTCAGAGCCCCACCACGGCCCGACAACGGCCGATGGTGCGGTCCTCTCCCATCCTCAATCGGACAAGAGGCCCATCGTCTTCGACCATCCCGATCCAACGCTCTTCTTAGATGACCACGGTGCCGGTGATGCAGTTGGCCACTTGTCCTCCAACCCAGATCTTTGCCGTTCCAGCACCACTATCACCGCCACCCTGCGCCTCCTCAGTGACAATCGAGATGCGACCCCTTCGACCAATAGCGGTACCTTGCGAGTTGACATAGGACTTCGACGGCGCCTGACCCGTGGCGTGCAACCACATCGCGATGCCGGCGCTGCGAGAACGGGGAGCGAGACATTTTCGGCCCGTTAGCACTCGTTGCAGTCAACGACCTTAGCCGGCAGGATGTCGAGGGTCCTGGGACTCACTTCAGCGATCCGGTCACGGGATCCTCAGGGACGCCTTCGGCGAACGCGAATCCCCTCACTTCGTACGCCACCTCTTCACCATGCTCGTTGCGTCCGCCTGGGTACGGTCCAACGAGGCCGACGTCGAGATCGCCACACTTCTCCTTGTCCCTGACCGTGACGCTCTTGACCGTCTGGGCGTCCTTGAGGCGGAGGCAGAACCACTGGGGACCATTGACGATCCACTTTGCCTCGAGCACGTCGGTGCTCGGGTCGAGGCCAAACGTATGGCAGGCCCGAGCCACCGTGTCAGCGTCGACGGGCTCGAACCGAGTGAGGGGCGGCGCGACAAAGCTGATCGTCCCGTCGGTCGGTGCGATGCGCAGCTCGACCAGACCAATCTGGCACTGCTGCACCACCTTGCCGCCCGTCTTGTCCAGCAGCGCAGAGGCGGCCTGCTGGCCGATCTGGTCGAGGAAGACCCGGCAGCTGCCCACCGTCGGGTGCCCGGCAAACGGCAGCTCCTGGGTCGTCGTAAAGATACGCAGCTGGTAGTGCGCCGATGCGTCGGTCGGAGGCAGCAGGAACGTCGTCTCGGACAGGTTGGTCCACACTGCGAATCGCTGCATCTCTTCCGTCGTCGGCGGCGCGGGTGCAGACGCAGAGTCCGACGACGTGAGGCAGTTGACCACCGCCACCGGGTTGCCCAGGTACGGCGTCGAGGTGAAGACGTCGACCTGCTGGAACGGGTATGTCTGCGGCATGGTCTTAGTTGTTGAGAGATGGAATGTGTGGTGGCGATGTTGTTGTCGAAGAAAGAGAGAGTGCGAGAGGGGGTGAGGAAATATGGGGGTGGCTCGTGCTGCTCCTCTTGTAAAGCCCTCCACCATGGTTGACTCTGCTCCGAGTCACGGCTTCGGGCGGTCCTCATAAAGCCGAAACCGTTCCCGAAGCGTCTCGCCGGGTCGTTGCGGCTGACTGCATGGTATTCTCAGCACCAGGAGCCAGTCGGCCTCCGTATGACTCGCTGCTGCGACTATGTACAAACGTGACGATGACGGAAGGGGACCGCGGCCAGCCTACTTTTCGGCCCAGCCCTGCGGAATACTGCACTTGGCCACGCCCCTCTCGTCGTAGGCGCCCGCGACAATGACGAAGCCCCTCTCGTGGTCCACGGCCATGGCTGTCGGAACAGTGGGCAGGAACGTCTTGCCCTTCTCGACATCGTCGCCCGTGCTCGACTCGAGCTCGGCCTCGGTCTCGGCGCGCTGCCTGAACACGGGCGACGTGTAGAACTCCTTCTTGGTAAAGTAGCCGTTCCGTTTGAGGCGCTCCAGCTTCTCCGTGTCCCACGGGTGCAGCGGCGTGCCAGCCACGGGCCGGTAGAGGAATGTGGTCTGGTCGATCTGCGATGCGGGGCGTGGCGGTGCGCTGCTGAACTCGCCGGCAGCCGGCTGGCTGCGGTGGCGTGTCGAACCCAGCTGGCGTCGCTGCTCGTTGCGTCGGTGCTCGATCCAGGCCTCTGTCGCCAGCGTGTCTGGCGTGCCCGCCGTCCATACACGGCCGATGGCGTCGACGGCAAGGGCGCGGAGCGGGAAAGACATCGGCTTCTTCCAGAAGCTGACAAACGAGGGCGTGTACGTGTTGATCAGCCGTTTAACGGTGCCCTCCTTGTCGGCGTTGACCTCGTGAGGCGTGATGCCGAAGCTGATGCCGCGCACCCAGTGTTGCTCCCACTCGCTGAAGCCGGCTCGGTTGGTGTCGACGCGCGACAGGAAGAGCGAGCTGGCCGACGAGTTCGATGCACCGCGCTCGCCATTGGCATCCCACGCCTGGATCAAGGGCGGCAACCCCGTCCAGGCATCGACCCGGCCGCCGTCCATGCGCACGGGGACCGTCTGCGAGACCGAGGCGTGGTGCAGCCAGACGCGCTCCGCGGGGCCATCCATGTCCTTGAGCTGGCTCGGCTGCAGCAACGCGCGCACGTAGTCCATGTACGAGGTGAAGACGGCCGACGAGGCCCGGCCATCGTCGGTCGCCAGCTGGTTCGCGGTCGGAAGCGAGGTCATAAAGAAGCTGGGGATGCGGATGTGGCGTCGTGCGGATTCGGCGTCGCTGAGCTTCTCGTCGGCATCGCTGTCGGCAGTAGGCGGAGAAAGCCGGGGAATGCTGGCAGAGTGCTGCTCGTCGAAGACGGCGATGCGGAACGGGTTGATCTCGATGGTGGGTGTCCTCTCTTCATCATCTATTCCCATGAGCTGCTCGCCCTCGATGCGCTTGATCCAGCGCAGGACCGTATTGTCTCGACCGCCGACGCCATCGAGGTCGTGGACAAAGACGTCGATGACGCCAGATTTGCGGGGGCGCGGGTGATTGGCGACCAGCACGACCACTGCGGGCACCTCGATCGATTCGCTCTCGTTGGCGGCGCGCAGGTTGTCGGGGAGGTAGTAGGGGTGAGGCACGGTGACGGCCAGACCGAGAGGGTGAAAGGAGGTGTGCAGGTCGGCGGGTGCCTGCTCTTCGGCGCTGGGAGGCGGGAAGGAGATGAACATCTGGCGCGGGTGCCTGCTCTTTGTCGTGTCCCACGCCCAGATGGCACCGACGCCCTGCTGGCCAGGTTGCGCCCCGACCAGGTCATCGTCCCATATCCCGGCACGGGCGTCCCAGGTCAGCCTGGAAGGGTCGCAGCTAAAGTAGGCCATGCCTGACTGGCGGTGGAGGGTGACATCGTCGCAGTAGCTTGCCTCTGCAGGCGTGGCGGGCGTGCGGATGTCGCGGGCGAAGATTGAGTGGCAGGAGTCGAGGTTGAGGCTGGTGAGTGTATCTGCACTGGCGGCTTTGCCGCTTGCCTGACGCCCGTGGAGCTTGAGGTGATCCTGATCTGCGGAAGGGCGATGGAAATGGGGTCAGCATTGTATTGGCGCCGCCAGAGTCCGGAGGCAGGGGAGCTGGTCGCCTCACAAGGATGGTAGGTGAGGGCGCCAAAGAGGATGGCCGAGACGGCCGAGATGATGGAAGGGACGAGCATCTCGATGGAGGGATGCTGCGAAGCTCCCGTGATGAGATGTCGGCAAGGGAGCGACGGCGATGGCGGTGGTGGCGGGACGGTAGGGTCGAGAAAGATGAGGGTGAACGCATGGCGCGAAGGACGTCGGAAGGGCAGCCGCCGGCTCGCTGGGCGGAGCGAGCTCTAAACCCTGGCCTGGCCCATGCGCCATCTTTTCGGCCGTCATCCGCCCGACCGACGGCGTTGCCCCCACCGGCTCGGTCGCGTGGGGCAGCCCGAGAGTGGGGGGCAGGCCGGGCAGAACGGGGCAGGGCCGGCCAATTGGCTTGACCAAGAGCCGGATTTCGGAGAAGAGCGAGGTGCGGGGTCCAATCAAAGAGGCGGCCAGGCCAAGCACGGCGCATTTTCCGGGCCTTTTTCCGCCCACCCGCCCGCTGGCTTCTTGCTTTGGCTGGCTTGCAAGCTTTCCCCGGCCAACCCGCTGCACCGGATCCCCTCGTCCGTCGACTCTTCTTGGCAGTCCGGCGCCCTTCCGGCAGCTGCGTTCCGCTGGGCCCCATCTCCTCTTTCCAGCACCACCATCACCATCCTTGCCTCTCTTTCCCGTCGTGTCGCCGTGCCGCTGTGTCTAAGGGGAATCGCCAGCATGTTCCGTCCAAGCGCTCGAATCTTCCGCCAGGCGGCCACCGCGACAACGGCAGCAGCTCCCCTCCGACGAGCACCGCACCCCTCCCTCCACCTCTCCAGCGCAGTTGCAAAGGCCCTCTCGCCCACCGCTCCGCATCCTCTTGTCGCTCTCGAGTCGACCATCATCACCCATGGCCTGCCCTACCCGTACAACCTCGACGTCGCCCTCGAGCTAGAGGCCGTCGTCCGCGACAACGGCGCCGTGCCCGCAACCATTGCGCTGCTCGACGGAAGGCCGCTCGTAGGCCTCGAGGACGCAGACCTCCAGCGACTTGCAAAGTGCGCAGAGGACCCGGCAAAGAATACGGCCATCAAGGCAAGCAGGAGGGACATCAGCCACGTCCTCGCAAAGGGTCAGGGAGCCGTAGGCGGAACCACCGTCAGCGGCACCATGGTCCTGGCCCACATGGCTGGCATCGAGATCTTTGCGACTGGCGGCATCGGTGGTGTCCACCGCGGCGGAGAGGCTTGTGAGTTCCGACGCGACGCAGCACAGAGCCGGATCCCACGATGACGCTGGCATTGACTCTGATGATCGCTGCCCTGCTTCTCCTCACTGCCCGCCGCCAGCGCTCGATGTCTCGGCCGACCTCACAGAGCTGGGCCGCACGCCCGTCTCGGTCTTCTGCTCCGGCCCCAAATCGATTCTCGACATCCCGCGCACGCTCGAGGTCCTCGAGACCAACGGCGTCTCGGTCCAGACCTTCAACCCGTCGGGCGAGTTCCCAGCGTTCTACACCTCGTCTTCGGGCCTCCACGTTCCCTACGTCGGCAGCACGTCGCAGGCGGCCGCTTCGATCCTGATCAACTCTCAGCTCGCGCTGGGCAGTGGACAGGTATTTGGCGTGCCGATTCCGTCGTCGTTCGAGGCCGTTGGCAACGAGATTCAGAAGAATGTCGAGATCGCCGTTCGCGAGTCGGTCGAGCAGGGCATCGACAGGCGCGGCAAGGAGGCCACGCCCTGGCTGCTCAAGCGCCTCGCCCAGCTGATCCCCGAGAGCAAGGAGAGCAACCGGGCGCTCGTCGTCAACAACGCCAAGGTGGCGGCCCAGGTGGCGGCCGAGATGGAGCGCATGCGCGCCGACTTTGAGATGGGACGGAACACCTACAGCTTCGGCGGCGTCAGCGGCAGCGTGAGTGGTCAGTAGACTGCACGATCCTCGCGCGCCGACGGTAACGGAAGGATACGCAAAATAGACAGGGGAACCCTCAATGAATTCAATCTTGCCTTGCCTTGCCTTGCCTTGCCTTGCCTCGCCCTGCCCTGCCCTGCCCCACCTCGGACAGTCTGAAGCTTCGGCTGGCAGCGGCATCATGATCTTTGGCGCGGCGGCCATCGACGTGACGTCGCAAGCCTCCTCGTCAAGCTCGCACACGCAGCGCGCCGCGACGACCTACCCGGGTCGAGTTGGCGTCTCTCTGGGCGGAGTATCGCGCAACGTGGCCGAAGCGGTGCACAAGGTCCTGGCATCGCCCGCGTTGCCGTCTTCGAGCCGAGCGGCGGTCAAACTCGTCTCGCCGCGGGGCGACGATGCGTTTGGCAGTCTACTCGAGGGAGGGATGAAGGAGCTGGGGATGCGCACCGATGGGCTCTTTGTGGTCCGCGATAGGGACGAGAGGACGGCGGTGTGCAGCCTCACGCTCGATGATCAGGGGGACCTGATGAGCGGCGTGGCGGACATGGATATCGGTACGAGGTACCTCGTCCCCACTTCATCTGCGGCGCATGGGGACAAGGAGCGCGAGGTGGTCGAGTACCTCACGGCGAACCGGCCTCGCATCGTCGCATTCGACGGCAACCTCGGATCGACTCAGATCCACCGCCTACTGTCCGGAATCGAGGAGTACAACAGCCGGAGCAGCAGCCCGTCGTTTCCATCTATCACGACAGTGTTTGAACCCACCAGCCTGGCAAAGTCGACGACGGTCCTCGACGCCCTTTCCCGCCTCTCGTCGCCGGACTCGTCCTCGGCACCTTTGGTGGGGATCGCGACGCCCAACGTCCTCGAACTGTCCCACATGCATCGGCGCGCCCTCTCGCTCGGTCTCTTTGCACCTCCGACGCAGGAAGACATTGAAGTGACGAGCCAGATGCGCTCCTACCTCGCCCTACCAGCCTTCATCACGGCCGAGGTGCTGGACCAGGCCATGTCGTTCCTTTCCTCCTCGCTCTTCAACACCCTCCTCGTCAAGTTCGGATCCAAGGGTGTCCTCTCCCTCTCCAGGGCAAACGGGATCGTCAACGTCAAGCACCACGTCGCCACCAAGCTCCCGACCTCGGCTGGCCTCAACACGACGGGCGCGGGCGACAGCTTCGCGGGCGGCGTCATCGCTGGGCTGCACACCATCCTCGCCCAGCGTGCATCGGCGAGCATCGAGACGCTGACCGAACAGGACCTCGACAAGGTCGTCCTCCTCGGCCAGATGACGGCCGCCCGGAGCCTCGTCTCCCCCAACGCCATCGGATCGCAGCTCGACACCCTCATCGCAAAGGCTGGGCTCGTCGATGCTTAGAAGGTCGCGTACATGCTCGAGAAAGGAACAAGAAGTGCTCGAGGAAGGACAAGAAATGTTCGTGAGGATACGGATACAAGTGTTCGAGGTGCTGCGGAGGTGACCGGGGGTATGTGGTGATACAATGACGACGAAGAAGAGAGCGAGCCGGGTCGCGAGGGCGACAATGATGACGATGACGATGACGATGACGACGAGGCCAACGACGACAAGCTAGACGGTGCGACGGGAGAAGGGTGCAAGACATGGCGCTGAGATATTGTCCGGGTCGTTCGACCCTACGAGCAAGGCGATGGCGAGGAGGGGAGACAGAGAGAGGCCCACGGCGATGTCGGGTCGTTGCCCTGATGATCGGACCGAGCGGGGCGGCGCCCCGTGCTTCACTTGAAGACCGACTCGACCAGCTTGTCGAGGCCGTCGCGGGCCCTCCTGGCGTGCTGCACGGGCACCTCGGCGCCGGTGTCCAAGAGGCTGCTGTTGAACACCTCGATGCTCCAAGGGCCTCGATACCCGGCCCACTTGACGGCGGCCGTCATAAACTCGTCCACGGGAAGAAATGCGCCGAGGTGCTCCTCGCCGGGGAAGAGGCGGTTGCCGCGCGACCAGATCATCCTCGCCGGCCTCGGCTCGTCGTCGTTGGGCGAAGGTGGCAGCGGCTTTTGCATCCTTCTGGCGTCACCGATCTGGAGGAAGAAGATCCTCTCGGCGGGAACGTGGCCGATGTCCTTGAGCGAGGCCATCAGGTCGCCGTAGGGGTCCGCCGTCTCGACGATGCCGGTGGGGGAGCAGGGATCGGCATACTGCCTTCCCAACGTGTTGAACGAGTCGAGGATGAGGCCGAGGTTGGCGCGGTCCGCGGCCTGCACCGCCTCCCAGGCCTGCGACCAAAGGTCGACGTGGGCGCCCCACGAGAGCGCCTCGTACCCGACGCGGATCGGCTGGGGTCCGCCGTGGATGGTGACGACGGTTCCAAAGGCCGTGGCGAGGTCGGCCAGCTCGGCGAGGTCGCGACCGATGCAGCCGATATCGCCCGTCGTCTTGGGAGCCGGCTGGTTGTTGGAGCAGATGAGCAGCAGGTCGGTGCCCAGCGCATTCATGACCTCGAAGCGCGAGCGGGCCCTCTGGAAGGCGAGGCGGCGGTCTTCGGGGCACGTCCAGCCTTCAAAGTCCCTCAGCGGCTGGAGGCTGTAGATGGCCAGGCCGAGCGACTCGCAGAGGCGGCGGACATGGCGAGCCGCGGCCAGCTCCAAGGCAGCGTCGGTGGCGCTGCAGGTGCCGTGGGCGTTGAAAGTCATGGGCAGACCATCAGAGCCGACGAGGAGGCTGCCGTCGTCCTTGAGGGCACGCAGGTGGTCATCGCGGCCGTCTTCGGACGAGGCCGAGAAGGCCGTCGAAGAGGAGGAGGACGAGGCCGAGGAGAGCGAGCGAGTATAAGTGGCAAGGTCCATGGGGTGGACGACCTTCTTGGGCGCGCCAGGGGGGCTGTCGGGAGGGGTCATGGAGGGGCAAGGGGCGCCGCCCTTTCCCTCGAGGATGCGCTGGAACTCCTCGGACCTGGCAAAGGCGTCGAGGTCGTCCTGAAACAGCTCCACGCCGTCGAAGCCGGCCGAAGCGATGGCACGGAGCTTGTCAAGAAGGGAGTGGCCAGCCGTGTTGGCGCCGACCGAGTGGGAGAAGACGGAGTAAAGGGGACGGCTGGCTGGCGAAGACATGACGGACTCCGGATCGGAAGCAGGAGGGCGGGCGAAGACAGTGCGACACGGTTCCCTATAGGCTCAGAGGCAGACGGCGGTAGAGTAGGGGAAGAGCTGGAACAGACGACGGGGATGGGGGATGGTGAGGTCGACAACGGTGAGGGCGAGGGGGCATGCATATATACCTCCCCAAGGCCCACGGAGACTCGAGGGGGACATCTGCCTTCCACGGCTGCCTGGCATCTGGAAGGGATCCTTGGCCGGGTCGTTCTGGCTGTGCCGCTCTGGCTGTGTCGCAGACATGCATGAGCATCGCCCTCGCCGTGACATCTTCCAAGGAGGCAGCGAGCAGAGAAGGGGGAGGTGTCGACCGTCGAGGCGCCAGCAGACGGTCAGGGTCAGACCTGACCGCCGGCAGTGTTTGGGCGCAATCAGGGCGTGGAAAGACATCTCCGACGCTGGGCCCCTGGCGACGTACGGCTATCAGTCACCAGCATGCCACGGCAGCTCCTGATCGTCCCCAGCAGGCAGGGAGCACCGGCTAGGGCGATCCTATCCGCAGGGTTTCTGCGGCGACGATAGCCCGACCCGGAGACTGCACATAACTACTGGCTCTGCTCTTCAATGGCGGCGCGCGCTGTGATCAAGCAGAAAGAAGGACCCCATCGACTCGATCCACCACGCGGACGGGCATGCGTAGCGTTCTTTCTGGATCTTTGCTTCGCTCCCGCTGCAGCTGCGTGTTGGCCGTCCAAGTGCATGCCTCGCGCCCCGAAGATCGACCGACTTGGACGGGGTTCGCCGCCTCGCCTCATCCGAGACAAGCAAAGCTTAGCTTCTATTCAGATACAGCTGCTGGGCAGCATTTGTGCCGTGAGACGCCGGCCCCAGCCTGACCGTGACCGCCGCAGGGACATGGCTTTGGCCGACGGCACGGCCCGTCACCGAGCTTCGACGTACGATGGATATGCTAGAGGTCGGGACGTCGGTCCGAGAGGGATCGGGGTCCCGGACCATCCGGACAAGATACGGATACGGTGTTGCTCTCGAGCTTATCCAACAGGGGCTGCTTGGCAGCATGAAAGACGCTGCCAGACAGGGGACCACGCACGTCAAGCTGCGGACCGGCCACGCATGCAGAGGAGGCGGTGGGCAGGAGGAAAGGTGCTTCTCCTCCTGTCTCTGGCTGCTGACGTCCAGACCGCAGGCTCGCAAACTTGTCAGCCGTCAAGGCAGTACGTACGTGTGCGCGAGAGCTGGCGCCGCACCGCACCGCACCGCACCACACCGCACCGGCGTCGGGGTCGCGTGGATGCTGTGGACTGCCAGCCTAGCTGTACCCTGGAAACTTGAGACGTGCCTTCCGCCGTCGGCCTCCGGCCCGTGGGCCCTCCTGGCTGACGTCGAGGGGCCAAGACCAGCGGCGAGACACGCCTGCCTCTGATAAGGCACCGATGCTGAGCCGCTACCGGGCCAGCGGGCCATGCACGCTTGATTCACGTTCAAGAAGGTCAAGCTTGCTTTCCTGCCTAGCCACCGAACGGTGTCTCAGCGTTCGAGCTCCCCTGAGAAAAAGTCTGAGGCAGAAGCAAGCAGCAAGAAGCTCGACGGACTCTGCAGATCTCTTTGCGACGTCGTACGTACGCTGCGTTTATCCTAGCCGGAAGCTCAGCATGGCGTACAGTCACCCCGGACGGCCCGTCCGAGCCCCTCTGCTCGATCACGACATGTACGAGAGCGGTGCAGCCTGGCCTTGACGCGGGCATCGCCGAGAGGTGGCTGGACTTCAAGCAAAGAGGATGCCATGATGGCGCGCCAGTCCAGAACCTGGTGTGCAGCCCAAGCCGGATGTTGGAAAAATTCGACAGGCAGGAGCGAGGGGGTTCGGCCCCTTCCCGAAGCAAGCGGGTTCGGACTCGTACTGCCGAAGCCGCACCTGCAGCAGGATGAGTCCGCGCCCACGTCCGAAATCCGAAGCAAAAGCGCTGGCCTTGCCTGGCCTGGCCTGGCTGCGCGCGAGCAAAGGGGCAGGCGATGGTCCTCCACCTTTGGGCTGGCGGGCTGAGCTCCAGTCGAGCGAGCACGGCCGTGCGTCTCGACCGATCCAACCTTGCAATCACCACCTCACCATCACCACCCTCTCCACTGCTGCTCGCTCAACTCATTGCTTCCCTCTCTCGAAATGGCACGAGGCGGAAGCAGCATTTGGGCCGACCAGCTCGGTCAGCTGCTCGGGCTAGGTGAGCTCGATGCGGCGGCAAAGGAGGTGAAGAAGCCGCGCGGGAATGGACGTCGCTGACACCCCCATCAATACTGGCCACGATGACAACCCCTCTTTCTTTCCCCGACAGACAAGGAGACTGTCACATCTCAGGTGCTGCCTTTCCTCGATTCGTTCGATGACCGCCAGGCTCTCCGATCTCATCTCGAGGGTCTGCTCGGCACGGGCGATGCCAAGTCCAAGACCTTCATCTCCAGCTTTACCGATTCGCGCTTCCCCGCCCCCGCACCCTCGCCGACTCCAGCACCCAAGCAAGCCGAAACGCGACCGCCCACCTCCTTCCCTGGCAAGCCAGCTGGCAAGGGTAAGAAGAGCCTCGGTGCTCGTGCCGGTATCGGGAAACCGCTGCCGCCAAGGCAGATCGACAACCATGACCAGAGGATGGAGGAGCTGAGCGCCGCCTTCGGAGGTATGGGCACCGTCTACATGAAGAAGAGGGAAGACGACCTGGACATGCTTGGCTACAAGGGCAAGGGCAAGGGCACCGGCAGCAAGGGCGCGTCGCCCGCCAGAACTCCCGTTTCAGAAGCGCAGACGCCATCGAAGCCAGCGACTCCCGAGCCTCCGTCGCTCAGCTCTTCCATGCGGCAGGCCGTAAAGGAAGCCACGGCTCCGCCAAAGCAATCTCCATCACAGTCGTCCACGACGGGAGCTCAGTCGCAAGGCTCGACCCTAAAGCCTCCCAAACCGATCGAGAGCCACCCGCCCACGGCTGAGATGCTCGCCATCGATGCTGTGATCCAGGAGCTGACATCCGATGACGGCGTGGGCTCCACGTCGAGAGATAAGATACGACACAAGCGGTGCTTCTGCCAAGGTAAGACAGCGCTCGAAGATCTAGCCAGCTTGCTCGCACTTACGCTAATCTCTTGCATCTCTCTCCTCGCTCTGCCAGGCCGGGAGCACTCGCTCGCGCCAAACGTCCCCATCTGCTACTCGTGCGGCCTCGTCATCTGCTCGGCGCTTTTTCCGAGCCCCCTTTCACCGCTCTCGGGCTGCCCATCATGCGCCGCATCTCCGCTTCTATCATCGTCGGCACGCGGGGATCTGATTGCCAAGCTGGCAGCCGAGAGGGAGGAGCTGGTCGAGCAGCAGAGGATCCACATCGAGATGATGCGAGAGCAGAAGAAGCTGAACAAGGAGAAGCGCAAAGAGGAGCAATCGATGTTCCCGCAGCTCGGCGAGGCCAGCTTGTCGGCACCGTCGCCCTCGCACATCCCCGCCATCGGCAAGCACGGGGGTATGGCCCGCGCCAAGACGCTGGCTCAGGATGCACAGCGCACCGCCAAGGTGCTCAGTCTTAACATGAAGACGCACAAGCTCACTGTGCCCAAGAAACCCAAGGTCAAGGCGCCCAAGACGGAGGCTGCGGGCTCTGGTGCAGCAGCAAAGGTCGTCGAGGCTCCAGAGGAGGCAGAAACCGAGACGCCGGAAGACATCTACACCGCCCTCGATGGATCTGCCCTCGTGATCGATCCGGACGACGACGGGTTCGCGATGCACTTCCCCATGGTCAAGAGCGTCGGCGCCACCGGAACGTCCAACGGCTTCAATGGAACCCACGACTCGAAGGCTCGGGGCGGAGAGGGTGCCCTGCGCTGGTCCAACCGCACACTGCTCGAAGGCCAGAGGCTCGATCGCGATGAGTATCAAGGGGATGAACCTGCTCGCCTTCGATATATGGCGGCCGACGAGCGAGCCGCCCTCTTCCCAGATACAGGCGAGGATGGCGAAGAGGATGACAGCGGGGACCACAGCCAGGTGCCCGGCAGCGGCGGTAGCTCGACGACGACGCCCAAGGGCAAAGCAGCCGAAGCCCGTAACAAGGCGGTGCCGGGATCTGCGACGCCCGCCGCTACCAACGACGGCAACCGGAGGAAGAAGAAGAAGGGAGCCAAGGGTGGAGGGCCATGAGCCATGAGCCAAGACCGTCTGCGTGCTCCATGTCCCCCTGCTGATGCCAATTTGATTGAGACCACGCTGGGTGATCGGACCGTGCAGGCGCTGCGAGCGAAAATTTGCCCGGGGCTGCGCTGCTGGCCTGCGTCGGGCGAAATTCCACCTTTTCCTTCTCGTTCTTCTTCGCGCCGGCGCAGGCTGGCGGCGTGGCGCAGCGCGGCGCTCCTTGCCCTGGGATAAAGGCCTGGACCAGCCGTTCCCCCCTCCTCTCCACCATCACTCATCCCTTTGCATCCGTCGCATCATCCTTTGCCCGGCGCCGCTCCTTAATTTCCCCTCTCGACCTCCCGCACCGCCCCGCCACACGCTCACAAACATGGCTCAGCCGATTGGATTCTTCGGCCTCCGACTGACGCCCGGCGAGGCGCACCAGATGGAGGTGACGCGCGACTTCCGCATCACGCAGGTGGCCTTCGCCGACGAGGCCAAGGACGGCGCCAAGGCGCTGGTCAAGGTGACCTACACCTCGTTCCCGGACAGCTACGACGACGAGGAGGACGAGGAGGACGACGAGAAGTCGCTGCCGGAGCCCGAGGAGAAGACCTACACCCTCTGCACGTTGGTCGCCGGCAGGACCGACCAGGAGCGTGTCGACGTGCACTTCTCCGAGGAGGAGATCGTCGGTTTCTCGGTCACTGGCGATGTCCCCGTCGACCTCGTCGGCAACTACATCGCCCCGCCCAGCTTCTACGACCAGGAGCCCGACTCGGACGACGAGTACGACTCCGAGGACATGGACAGCGACGAGGACGACTTTGACATGGCCGAGATGGACGAGGACGACGAGGAGGCCGAGGATGCCGACCGCTTTGAGGAGATCGTAGACTCGACCCCGGCCAAGAAGGAGGCCAAGAAAGCCATCGAGGCCGCCGCCGCCGATGCGACCGCCTCTGCCCAGAAGAAGCGCGCCGCCTCCGAGATCGACAGCCCCGTCACGACGCTCTCCAAGAACCAGCAGAAGAGGCTCAAGAAGGCCGAGACGGCCTCGGCCGCCTCGACGCCCACCAAGAAGTCGGACGCGGCCTCTGCCGCCGCCTCGCCCGCTACCGCCTCGGCCAAGAAGGAGAAGGTCACCGAGACCAAGGCCGAGGTTACCAAGACGGCCAAGGACGGCAAGGCCAAGACCGAGACGGCCGCCAAGAAGACTGTCGAGAAGCCCTCTGGCCAGAAGGTGAATTGAGCTGCCCTGCCCTCGTCGCCTCTCCCCTTGCCTCGCTCTGCGCCCTTATTCTGCATGCCCCCTGTCCCCACCTCCCTTGACACTGACACCTCGCGCTCCCCCATCTCATTTCGCTCGGCTCCTCGGCAGCTCTCCAAGACCAAGCTCCCCTCTGGCCTGGTCATTGAGGAGAAGAAGGCGGGTGAGGGACCGCAGGCCAAGGCCGGCATGAAGGTGGGCATGCGCTACGTGGGCAAGCTCGAGAACGGCAAGGTGTTTGACCAGTGCGTCAAGGGCAAGCCCTTTTCGTTCAAGCTGGGCCGCGGCGAGGTCATCAAGGGCTGGGACGAGGGCGTCAAGGGCATGCAGGTCGGCTCCGAACGCCGCCTCACCTGCCCGCCCAAGCTCGCCTACGGCAACCAGAAGATCCCCGGCATCCCCCCCAACTCGACCCTCATCTTTGACGTCAAGCTCGTCGAGATGAAGTAGTCGAGCTAGACCGCAGACGATGGCCCTAGCCGTTCTCCCTTCCCCTCGTCATCTATCACGCTACCCCTCAGCCTCGACTCTTTTGCTCCATAGTCATATCAGCATGCTTCCCATCCGAACCCTCCATGCCGTTCCCGTCAGCGTCGCACGCGCAACAACATCGAAGCTGCGAGGAGATCGTTTGCTGATGTGTTAATTGGCTCAGCACGGCCAGGTACGATGGCTCTCCTTGTCTAATTGTACAGATGAGGTGGGACAGGGCGGCGAGAGCGACGTGGTAGTACAGGGGCAAGCAAACGACGGAAGATGGAACGATGCTACGAGGGGGAGCGGAACCGGGACCGGGAAGAGGAGAGGAGGGGCGGGGCGGATCGCTGAAGTGTTAAATGGCTCAGCGCGGCCTGGTATTACACGGAAAAGACTTGCTGCGGTTTGCGGTTGCTGTCTGCAAAGGGAGAGGGAGAGAGAGAGAGAAATGCTGGGAGGCGGAGCGCATGGTGCGCCGGGTATGTTGTGTGGAATGTGCCGCATCCAGTGTTAAGGGCAGGATGCCGTGCCGTATCGTTCCCTTGTCGTTTGTTGTGCCTTTTGAAAAAATAGAGTCGAGGGATCAGGAAGCAGAGACTGGAGCGAGGCCCGTTGTTGGCGGACAGGGCGGACTGAACGCCTACAGTGTCGGGCGCCGATTGGTCGCCTCAACGCTTGAGGCCGATGCGGTGGAGAATCTCGCTGCGAACCAGCTCCTTCTCGCGGGCCGCACCGCCGCCCATGACGCTGGCGTTTTCGACGGCCCGTCGGACGAGGTAGGGCATGACCAGCTTCAGCGGGCCGTAGGGCACGTACTTGAGCACGATATGGGGGCCGGCGCCTCCCGAGTCGGGGTCGAAGGCGGCCTGCATCCGCGCCGTCAGTGCCGAAGCCATGCCGTACAGCTGGGCAAAGAAGATGCGGCCACGAATCGACTCCTGGAGCTGCAGGTTGACCAGCGGCAAGGGCTCTCCGCTGCTCTCGGCGGCGGCGGCGAGACTAGCGTCGGGCTTGGCCATGCCGAGCTCGACCATCTTGCGCGTCACCTTGAGCGCCGACTGGGTGTTGTGGCTGGCAAAGATGACGGCGAGCCGGGGCGCGGCGCCGCTCTGCTTGCCCTTTTCGATGTCGCGGTGGATCTCCTCGGCGAGCCGGACGGCGCATCCGTCAAAGCACCGGTCGGTGAGGTCCTTGGTCGGCCAGACGGGGCTCTTCCAGCCCACGTACTCGGGCGGCGCGGCCTTGCTCTTGGTGGCGACGGGCACGGGCGGCGTGTCGACGCTCTTGTTGGACCAGGTGGCGTTCTCGATGTCCATGTACGCGCCGCGGACCAGCTTGACGCCGAGCGTATAGCCGTTGAGCCGGGCGCGCTCGAGCGATGCGGCGAGGTGGGAGGGGGTGCGTCGGAGGTAGGCCTGGAAGGTATTGTAGATGAGCGGGCCAGTGACGCGGTTGGCCGCTGAGGCGCCGTCCTTTGGCTTGCCAACGGGGCGGTTGAACTCGGCGGCGATGGCCTCATACATGGCATCAATGGCCGGCTGGTACCAGCTGTACTCGGCATCGACGGCGATGCGGACGTTGCCGTGCTTCTGCGCTCGCAGGGCCACCTCGCGCAGAGCCTGCCAGAGCTCCTTGAGGGCCTCGACGTCCTCGGGCTTCAGCGCAGCGACCGGAATTGCCAGGGCGCCGCAGGGTCCGGAGGCGTTGATCGACGCTGGCGGCGAAGGCTCCGGAGGCGAGCTGAACCACTCTCGCGGGACAATGGCCGCCGAGGCTCGCTCCAGGACGGACGAGTCGTACAGCAGGCCAGAGAGCTTGATGGCAACAAAGGTGCTGCCTGATCGGTCCGGACGAGCGGCCAGCTGCTTGGCCTCGGCCTCATCGGCGGCGCCAAAGGTCGAAGGCAGAGCGGAGAAATCCGCGGCCACGTCGACGCTGTGCAGCAGCTCGTCGACAAACGGCCGGTGGATGGCCGAACTGCGGCCGGTGCCGGCCTTGCCCGATGTCGACGACGAGTGGTCGTCGCCGTTGCCCTGCGCGCCGTCCTTTGTGACCTCGACAGAATAGACGAGGAGCGAGCCCAGACCATCCCTCGAGAGGTCAGAGAGGACGGGGAGCGAGCCCTCTGCCGAGTCGTCGCTCACAAAGCACCGGAAAAAAGTGCGTCGAGCGAACCACTCGGTGATGGGCCATACAAAGGGCAGGCTGGTGCTGGCGCTCCAGTCGATGAGGGCCGGCCCAGCGTTGACGATCCAGGGAAACGAGCAGATGGTGAAGACGACGTAGCTGTTGATCAGCCTTGAGAGCGAGTGGTTGCGCAGCGGCCGGTGGGGCTGGTAGGACTCGTCCTCGCGAGCGACCTCTTGAGCGTGCGACTCGGCGATGCGGGTTGCGCTGTCGTCGAGGAAGAGGACGCCTCGGCCCTCGCGGGCGAGGAGCGTGTCGATCGCCAGCAGCGCAAGTGAGACGCTGCCTACCGTCGTGCCATAGCGAAGCAGGTTGTGGGTGCGCGTCGAGCCGGCGCCGCCGCTGCTGCCGCTGCTGCTGGACCGCGCCGACGAGGAAAGGGCGCGGCTAGGCAGGCGACTGCCAAGGCGCATGCATTGCCTTGGTGACTGGCGGAAAGCGAGAGACAATGGAAGCCGGGATGCTGCGTAAGGACTGGCCATATCGATACTGCTGCTGCTGTTGCGATTGTGGTTGAATGAGGGACGGGTGGAAGAGCAAGGCCGTCGTTTCGATGACAACCGAGTGAGCAGGGCGACGAGATGGGAGAGGGAAACAGACGTCTGCATAGACTCACCTGGAGGCGGGGCTCCTCGATTGAGGGGAAGATGGTGGGCGACGACAAAGAGGGGCCGAGCCAGGCCGACGACGCCGGGACGTGAGAGCAAGCCCTTTGAGCGCTGCTCGGAGGAACATCGGCCATCGTAGAGGCAGGCAGGCAGGCAGACCAGCAAGGCTTAGGGAGCGGGTCGGGCCGTCCCGCCTCTGCGGCCATGCTCCGGCGCCATGCATGTGCCAGGCCTACCAGGCCGCCAGAACATCGCCCGGCTGCGAGTCACGCGGGCGGGACGGGGCCGCGGGTGATTTGTTCGGCTTCGTCTTCGGCCTCGGCTTTTCCCCGAAGTGGGCGAGGCAGAGGATTGCGCGGCGAAAACGACGAGCGGGCTCGGGGAAAAGTAGAGCTGCAGACCGCGTGAGTCGAACGACGACCTTTGGCTCTGATCCCTCATCCGGGTCTGTCTCCCGGCCGAAAGTTGATGTGGAGGTCTAGGAAGCCGGGCAGGTTGTGCGGGCTGTCAGCACGCGAAGAACTTGGTTGATTTGGTCTGGTCTGCGCTGCCTCTTGGCCGCCTCGCTTCCCTTTGTCCATCTTCGTTCTCGTCGTCGCCTCGACCCTGGTCAGCACACCTCGTTCGGCACACCATGGCGGCCGTATCCGACACTTGAAAACTGCCATGCTCAAAGGACCCCCCTCCATGTCGACCGTGAGCAGGGCGCTCGTGGCAAGGCCGGCTCGAGCCTGGCTTGCCCCTCTGGTCCGACATGGCTCGACGGCCGGCTACTTGGCACACGCTGCGGCCACCTACTCGATCGCCTATCCATCTTCGAGGTCAGTGCACACCACAGGGGCGAGGCGAGACCATGCCGGCAGCAAACACACCTCAAAGCGCCCCACCCGCGTCAAAGACACCAAGCACAAGCACAAGCACAAGCCTAAGCACTCGGACCGCACGCATCGCACCACGTCCCAGAGCCGTCGAGACCGGACCACCGCCAAGCGCGTCCTTCTTAGCGAGCGCATGCAGAAAGAAGCACGCACCGTCCTAAGGCGGATCGATCGCGATGCCGACCGAGCAGCAGAGTTGCAACAGATACCCACAGAATCCGTCTTCAAGAGATCCTCCGCCACCAGAGTCAAGGATTTTCTCGCCGCCCGAAGCCAGCGTAAGCGCGGGTCGGGGTTCGGCAACTCAGCACAGAAGACGACAAACGATGAGGGCAAAGCTCAGTCTTCAACGTCAGCGCCCTCAGCATCACTGGCGCCAGACTCGCAGCAGACGGCAGCAGCGGCTTCGACGCGCTCCCCCCCGACAGCGACACAGGCGCAACCACAAGTGACCGACAACCCGGCGTCTCAGATGGGAGCCACACAGCCCAACACGAGTATCAGCGGCGCCTTGGGGCGGATCTTTGCTGCTGCAAAGGAGAGGCTGGCGGGAGCACTGCTGGGTGGACAGATGCCAACGCCGCTGACGCCCCCACCGGAGGCGGAATCTACGCCGGCACAGATCGAAAAGGCGCGGCAAGAAGCCGAAGCGGCCGCGTTTGCTGCTTTGTCCAAGACCGAGCGCCTCGAGTCGCAGGCGCGCATCATCACGCAGGCCATTCGACGAGCGCGCGAGAGGGGCAGCGCCGAGGACGAAGAGACCTTCTTCCACCCTTTCCCAGACGCCAGCGCGCCCGCCGACTTCGAGGGCCAGGACTACATCTGGCTCTCACTCGGTCCCGACCCAGAAAACTGGGCGCGCAACGTGCCACCTGTTAAGGATCGCTGGCTCGAGACGCTCAGCCTCGGCCTGACCAAGAGCATCGTGGTGGACAAGGAGGGCGAAGAGGCGTACGAGGACGACTTCCTCGACAGCCTGGTCGACGACTACGACCTCGAGGACCACGAGCGCCTCGAGCAGCTCGGAGACTCGATCGTCAACATGAGCGCCCGCCTGCTCGCCTACCAAAACTACCCAGACGTCAACGAGGGGACGCTGACGAGGCTGAGCAACTACCCAACGCAGAACAACATCCTCGGCATCCTCTTCCGCGAGTCGGGGCTTGCTCAGAGGCGCCATGCGTTGAAAAACGAGCTCAAACAGCTGACGCAGGGAACAGCCGCGGCCACGACAGACGCCGACTCCTCTGTCGATGACGGACCTCGCCGGCCCGTCGCAGAGGACCCTCACCGCGTCACCATCCAGAAGCTCGACGACACGGTCGATAACAGCATCACGCGCGGCCTGGTCAAGAAGGACGCCGATGTCTTTGAGGCCTACGTGGCGGCCATCTTTCTCTCGCATGATTGCGACTTCAAGCTGGTTCACGACTGGCTCTCGGAGCTGTTCCGCCCGTTCCAGGAGCAGGCCTTCCGCTTCATGGTGCAGCGCAGCGAGAGCATCGCCCGCCTCAACCAGGCCATCGCAGACCGGGCCGCCGCATCACCGGGCCTCGAGGTCGCCGATACCGGCGGACAGGAGCAGGAGCAGCATCTGCCACCGTCGCGCAACGGCCGCTTCGGCCTAAAGGGCATCTACGCCGCCTCGATGGACCCGACCATGACTTTTGGCACAGTCAAGGCGAGCTACAACGTACCCACGTTCAAGCCCGTTGCGGGCCTCGGCAGCACGGGTCGCAGCGGTTCGGCGCAGGACAGCGGGAGCGGCTTCATCACCGACGAGTTCCTCACGGTGGCGGCGCGGGCCCGTCGGCTGAGAGAAGAGCGTCTGACCGAGGAGGCGCGGCTGCGCGACGAGGAAGAGCTGATGAAGCAGGGCTGGTTTAAGCGGGGATTCCTCAACCTGCGGCAGGGCTTCAACAAGCTCGTGCTGGGTCAGGAAGAGGAGAGGCGGAGCAAGGAAGAGGTCCTCGCGCAGGCCAGGACCATCTACGGCAGGGGTTCGACGGGACGCGAGGCGCTGCGGATCGCGGCTACCGAGCAGGAGAAGAAGGCCGCGGCCAAGAAGAAGAAGGCGGCCGCCAGGGTGCAGCGGTAGCCGGCGTGCGAGCAGAGAGGAAGGGCCTTGTTGTCGTTGTGATCCTTTCATAGATATGCAACCACCTAGACGATGCATCCAAGTCCGAGTTGTGATCCTTGAACCTGCTCCCGCAGAACCATGCCCGATGCGGATTCTCGTGTAGTCGGCCACCTCCGATCCTGCCGAGGCCGAATTCGGAGGCGCTTCCGACCCTGCACCTTTTCCTCCTACCTCCACTGGACCGCCGCTCGCTCCCTCTTGCACGCTGCTCTGTTCCAGCAATCCCGCTATCCTCTTGTTCAATCCCCCTTCGACGTCGGATCTACGCCGTGGCTGCCTGATACATGGCAGCAGCCTCCGTGCCTTGCCATCGAGGATGATCGATCCGGCCGACGGCAGCGCCGGCACGTCCGCGGTAGGAGCCACGCTTGCTGCCCCATCGTCGCCGTCCGCCTCCGATAGCCCACATCGGCGCACCAAAGCCAAGTCCTGCCGCGAATGCATCAGGCTCAAGCTCAGATGCTCGAGAGGACCAAACTGGCCGTGCGCTAGATGTGTCCAGCGCGGCACGGCCGACATCTGTCCCGAAGGCCAGCTTGCCACCCGTCCCTACAAGCGTGCAAGGTAGGTCTCAAGACAGCAGCCTCTCCATCGCCTTAGCGGCTGACAGCTTACTTCCCTCTTTGCAACATCGGTACATACGTGCGCAACAACACAGAACCAGCAACGGCGCCAACGGCGCACGCCAAGGCACGCATCGGGCCAACAGCGAAGCCCACGGCAACGCCACGATTCGCGGCATCGATCCGCCCTCAACTGCGCGCGACCCGCTGCAAACTCCGGCCCCTTCACAGCCATCATCGAGGCTCGCTTTCGAGCACAGCCCGCGCGATCCCCTTCCGGCCCGTTCGCGGCCAAGCCGGCCTCCCGAGAGCGGCTTCGAGGCGTCTGCTGAGCTTGAACAAGGGACTCTCCAGCTCGGCCGAGCAGGAAGGTCGCGATGGGTCGGAGCCCACGGTCATTCCTTTGCCTTGGCTCAAGACGATGAGCGCGAGAGCCTCTACTCGCGGGCCACATCGCCAATCGAGTCACAGAGACGCTCGCTCAGCGCGCTTGCCTCGACCGCCGAACTTGCGGCCGAACAACGAGGGGATCGAAACAGGCCAGAGGCGACAGGAGGCTCACCACCAGCCGATGAGGTCGACATCCTTGCTGCAATACTTCGTCGACCGGCCGTCTTCATACCAACACCTGGCATCCGCTCGCCCTTCTCCGACCGGATGATCGTCGGCGAGCTTTCGCGCTTCCTACCGCCCGTCGCGCAGGCTCGCCGCGCCTTCCACGTCTACATCTGGAACGTGAGCTGGATGTACGATCCTGTCCAGCGGCTCGCAGACCTCTGGGACGACTTCTACGCGGAGCCGCTGACATCGGCTAGCGCCGAGGACGCTGAGGTTATCGGACGGATCAGCACTCGTCCATCGACCTCAGACGGCGCCAAGCACCCGCACCGCCTGGCGCTACTGTTTAGCGTGCTCTCGCTCGGCGTGCTTTTTGATGTGCTGCCGGGCGCCGGAGCCGGGCGCGCAGAGGAGCTCTATCAGTGCTCGTGGGCCGCTCTGTCCTTGTCGAGCCTGAACGATTCAAACACCCTCGAGAATGTCCAGACGATCCACCTCATCGTGAGTACCAGTTTCACGTCGCTGCGCGCCAGGCATTGGCTGACGCTTCTGCTCGCAACGCTCGATCCACGTCGCTCAGGGTCAGTACCTGTGCAATGTCAAGAATGGCCGGAATGCCGAATCTCTCACCCCGTTACTGGGCTCCGCGGCGCGATCAGCCATTGCCATGGGCCTGCATCGCGAAGCGCAGGCTTGGAACCTGCCGCCACATCAGCTCGAGGAGCGGCGACGAGCCTTTTGGGAGCTCTACGCGTGCGATGCCTTCCGCTCTCTGGCCTACGGTCGACCGTGCAACCTACAAGATCACCACGTCAATGCCTCGTTCCCGGAGCATCGCCCCAGCAAGCGGCTTGCCGATCACTTCCACACGCTCAAGTTCCACGTTGTCAGGATCCTCAACCGCAGCCTGGATTCATGCCACGGCCGCCCCGACGTCGACTATTCGACGGTACTGGCCTTTGACAAGGAGCTTCGGGACCTGTGGGCCAGGATCCCGCCTGCTCTCGGCACGCAGAGCTGGACGTCGGTGCCGGACTCGGACCTGGAGCGCGTCTCTCGCGACCTCGACGATGCTGTTGGCCTACGCGAGATGCACCGGCAGCTCCAGGCGCATACGCTCGCCGCCAACATCCACCAGACCTTGCTACACCTCCATCGGACCTGGTTTCTACGAGCGCTGCAATCTGGGCAGGATGCCTTCCAGTCCGCTTACGTACGCTCCGTGGTGGCGGTCTCGGAGAGCAGTCGCACGCTGATCAGCATTGGCTCCAGCATCTACCACAAGGCGAGGAGCGTCAGCCTGCGCTGGAACTTTTTCTGGCAGCACGTCTTCAACGCTGGCATCTGCCAGTGTCTGCACGTGCTCTACTTGCCTCATGGCATCACGAGCCTCAGTGCATGGGAGGATGTCGGCAAGGCGGTGAGCCTGCTGCAGCAGGTGCGTTCGGGCAAGGGCGATGGCATCTGGGCGGGCAAGATCGATCTCCTCGAGAGGATGAAAGCCAAGTCAGCCGAAAGCCTCAAGAATGGGCCGCCCGCGACGGTACGAAGAGGGTCCGAGGGCGGTGCTCACCCTGTACTTGATCAACAGCTCAGGTTAGTCGGGGCGACCCTGAGCGTCGACCAGCGCAGGGATGGCAGGCAAGCGGACGGTGTCGAGGGTGCTTCCACCCCAGAGTCGCGAGGGACTCGCGACGACGCACACGGTCTCGAGTCGCATGGGCAGCATCAACCCGCCGGCGCAGAGCCCGGCCCCACATCTCGCCGCCGGGGCGGCGAGATGGACTGCCTTCCGACATCCATGGCTCGGCTTGATACGGCCATGGACGAGGGCTGGCGCATCCAATCGCCTCGTCAAGAGCTCGCGCCTCTACCGTTTGCCGCGCTGCTGGATGCACAGCCCGCTCAGCCCCTTGGTGGCGGCACGTCTCAGCTGCTGGATTGGAGCACGTTCGATGGCGGCTTGCTCTTGACCGAGATGCTGCAGGATGGGTGCGAGCCCGACGCTCGCTTCTGGGAGCAATTCTTTGGTGCTGCAGCAGCAGCGCAGCCAAACGGCCAGCAGCAGCAGCAGCAGCAGCAGCAGCAGCAGCAAGAGCAGGCTTCAGGGCAGTTGTCCCTCTTCGACCTAGGTCTTGGAACGGGGAACGATGGCATGGCTGCTTTGCCGTGATGGACACGGTCGGCTCATGTTCCTACGATCCGGTGTCCCGGCACATGAAAGTGCGGGCCGCAGCAGTTTTGTCGTGGGCGAGCCGACTCCGACATTCGGAGTAACCCTTGAATTCGGATGTGCACCGAAAACGGAGCAGAAGTGACCGGTGCCCTTCGAACGCACCTCCCGGCCCAATCGGAAGCAGCACCGTCGGCCCTTTTGTCCTGTCGTTGTCCGGCAATGCCGGAAGACCAGCTCCATCATCCGAATTGGGGATGGCAGGACGGTCAATTGGTCGGCGACAGGAGATTGAGAAGCTGAAGCTCGCAGTCGGTCCACTAAAGTCGCCGACCCCTAAGACCACGCCTCATCGACTCGGTCCATCTTCGACCACGACCATCACCTTCAAGACCGTCCCGAGCATCACACCATGTCACATCAGCAGTATTCGCCCGCGCTGACGGCAGCGACGACATCGGCGACGGCGCCAGCTCGGCGCACCTACCTCTTCGGTGCGGGCATCGGGTCTTCACTCTCGCCTGCCTTCCACAACGCTTGCTACCGCGCCCGCGGACTGGATTGGACCCTCTCCCGGCTCGACTCGACCGATATGCCTGCCTTCCTCGAGCGCGTGTACGCAGACGACTTTGGCGGAAGCGCCGTGACCATGCCGCACAAGTCAGCCATCCTCACCCATGCGGATCACGTCGAGCAGCAGGCCAAGCTGATCGGCGCGGCCAACACCATCTTCTTTCGGACGGATGCTGATGGCCAGCGCAGATTGGTGGCTACGAATGTGAGTGCCTGCGGGCATTCTCGTTGCTCTACTGCAGAGCGTCATCGTGTGCTGACTCTTCTCTCACCCCTTGCCCTACTTTGAGACGATAGACGGACGTCGCTGGAATCCGTGACTCGATTCTCACCTCGCTTCCTGCATCGTCACGACCCACCGCGTCGGGCGCCGAATCGAGCTCGCACATTGGTCTCGTCGTCGGCGGCGGCGGAACGACCCGCACCGCAGTCTACACCCTTCGATACGAACTGCACTGCTCCGACATCTACATCGTCAACCGCATCGACGACGAGGCTTCGGCCATCATCGATGACTTTGCCTCGCAGGGCGTGACGGGTATCCACCAGCTCAAAACACCCGCCGACGTCGCACAGCTGCGGGCCGTGCCACGCTTCATTGTCAATGCTGTGCCTTCCTTCGAGCCACAGACGGACGGCGAAAAGCTGGCTCGCGCCACGCTGACCGCAGTGTTGGAGAGAGGGCAGGCGCAGGGCCCAGACGGCGAAAGGGTGGTGCTAGAGATGTGCTACTTCCCGCACACGTGGACCACGGTCTGTCAAATGGCGCAAGATAATGGCTGGGAGGTGATCCAGGGCATGGAGGCCATGTACCACCAGGCGGTGGCGCAGCAGCTGCTGTGGATTCCTGAGACGGGAGGGGTCGATCTGCTGGCTGTCGGACGAAGAGGAGCCGAGGAGGAGATCGAGCGTAGAGCACAAGGGCTGGCGCCCCTATAGCCCGTGCACCAGCGAGTGCGTCCGTTCATCGCGGCTGCTGTATGTAGGTACTTCCTCTGACTCTACTCTGCATAGGTGACTCCCTCCCTGTTGTAGTCGAGACCGCCCTGGTCCAGCGCCTTCCACACGCCCCTCGCAACTCTGCGCTGAGCCTCCTTGGCCGTCTCGCCCGTCTTGTCGTTGTCGCAGCAAGGCCTGATGCAGAGAAAGCGCCTCGCTCCCAACGACGCGGCGGGAACATCTTCGTTGGCGTCCCAGAACCTCGACCCAGGTGGTGGTGCGTTGGCGTCGGTGGCCATGCCGCCCGCTTCGTAGAGGATGGCGAGACCGGCGCAGACATCCCACTCCCAGCACCCTCCTTCCCAGAACACGTCGACGGAACCGGAGGCGCAGTAAGCCAAATCGAGCGCCGCGCTGCCCAGACTGCGGATACCATGCACCTGCACTCCTCCGCCCTTCCGTCCTCCCTGTCCGTTGTCGATACCGCTGCGGGACGATGCCAGATTGAGAAAAGTGTTCGCCTTTCGCATCAGGTTGCCTTCTGGCGAAGGTCGACGATCTTTACCCCATTCCGAAGCGACCAGCAGTCCGGATGGCGCCGTCTCGGAAAGAAGACGTAGTGGCGACAGAGGAAGACGAAGCGGCCTCGGATTATCGCCGAGGTCGTCTTGCGCCTCCGGTCCGGTCGATGGCGAACGCCGTAGCCCGTGCGCATGTCGCTGCAGCCAGGACAAGGTATGCGTCGTCGGGTTATCGGTGCGAGGAAAAGATTGGAACGCTCCAAGACCTTGACAGGAGGACCACAGCGTGCCCCTCGATGCCCGTACGTCAAATCCGCCGAGCAGAGGAGCGTAGATGGCGCCGACAACGGGATGTTTGTTGATCGTCAATCCAATCGAGATGCAAATGAGCGGAAAGAGGTGCACGTAGTTGACGGTTCCATCCAGCGGGTCAACGATCCACGTCGGCTCCTGTTGCGGCGACGGGGCAGGCGGCAAGCTGAAGCTATGAGGTCTGCCTCTTTCTCACGGCAGTAAAGACCGGGATCAAGGCCATCAGGCTCACTCACATCGCCCAGCTCGAACTTCTTGCTGCCGCCCGCAGCATATGTCTCCTCGGCCAGGATACGGTGCTCTGGGAATCGTCGCTTGATCTCGCCGATGATGAAGTTCTCGACGGCGATGTCAGTGTCGGTCACGACGTCGACGCTTGAGTCCTTGTCCTTGATATTGAGAGCTGCCGTGTTGTCCGTCGACGAGGGAAGAGACGTGGTGGGAGAGGGAGGGCAATATCCGGCCTGAGCGCGTGTGAATGCGCTCTGGCATAGCAATGCGCCTGCTCGCACCGCCAGATCGGTCGCGAAGTCGTGATACTGCTCCAGTGACATGCTGTCGGCGAAAGGGACGGAGATGGAGGACGGGGTTAAGGAGTGAAGTCCAGAGGAAGGCACGGGCCTTGAGCGCCTACGATTTCAGCCGTCGGTGCCGAGGAGACCGATGGCTTGAAGCCAGATGGTCTCGGGAGGCTCGGAAGCCGAGGAATTGACCGACCGCCACAGGTCAAGAACGACCTCCGATGACCTCGCTGCCGCTTCTCCGAATCTGCCATCGTCCCGAATTCGGTGGCGGACCCTAGCGTGGCGGCGATTGTGTAGACAGCTCGTCATTGTCGAAGTCAGGAAGATTGGTCACAGTGGTTGGGTCGGGACCAAGGCATCCCCGGACGTCTTAATAGCCCGGATGAAGAGACAAAGCGGGGCCACACGCTATCCACGACCATGACGGCTTCCCCTGTCAAAGGCAGTATCCTGCTCATCAATGGCCCTAATCTCAATCTCCTCGGGACGAGAGAACCTGACAAGTGAGTCGCGACACTTCAGACATACCCCCTTTCGCCGCTCCGATGGGCCTTGACGCCTCCTTTCGCGCAGGTACGGTACCACAACCCTAGCAGAGGTTGAGGCCCACGCCCAATCGCAGTGCCAGGCAGCTGGCGCCGGATGTCAATCCTATCAATCAAACCACGAAGGCGCAATCGTGGACCGGATTCACGCCGCAAGGATCGACGGTACGACAAAGACGATCGTCATCAATGCCGGCGCCTACACCCACACCAGCGTAGCCATCCGAGACGCTTTGGTCGGCGTCGGCTTGCCATTTGTCGAGGTCCACGTGAGTTCATCTCCCCGCTAGAGAACTGTACTTGCGGACGGAGGCAACCTCGACTGATGTTGGGAAGATGCTCACGACAGATCACGAACGTCCACGCAAGAGAAGCGTTCAGGCACCACTCATACCTCTCTGACAAGGCAGCAGGCGTCGTCGTAGGCCTTGGGACCTTGTGAGTGCCAGCGATGGGACGTCCGTCGATGAATTCGCCCCCGCTGACACGTTGGCACGGCTCTGCATGGTCGGAACAGCGGCTATACGGCGGCCATCGACTTTTGCCTCCGCTCTTTCATGTCGTAGCTAGCTAGACGAGGCGACGACTTGATTAGCGCTTTGCAAAGTAAGCCGTCGCGCAAAGGTAGTCTACATTCTCGCGCTACTCCTGCATCGCCTCGATGAACTCGTCGTGGCCCTTTCGACATCTGCACGCTGCCTGCGCCGGGAACGCCGCATCGTCCGTGAAAGTGTCGGCGTTGAAGTACTCGGCGCTGACCCAGCCTCTCCAGCCGCAGTCCTGCAGTATCACCTGGGCGATCCTCTGTGCCGGCATGTATCCTTCGCCGGGAAAGAGGCGGTGCATGCGCGCCCAGCACATCTTGACGTTGGCGTGCTGGGACGCATCGAAGATGTCGCTCTCCTCGCTCAGAGGCGGGTCCATCTTTCTGGCGTCGCCGAGCTGCATGAAGAAGATCTTGCTTCGATTGGCCGCATTGGCAGGGCCCTCGAACGTGTCGCGAAGCTTGGTCAGCGTCGCCTCGACGGCCTCGTCCGCACCGACATGTTTGCCGTCGACCGACGTCGGGTCAGCGTAGATGGCGCCGAGGATCTGGAAAGTATCCATGACGATGCCAAAGTTGGGACGGTCGACTCTTTGGACCTGTCGCCAAGCCTGCTCCCATGTTGTCGTGCAGTGCCCGAAGCACATCGCTTCGTAAGCCCAAAACTTGGGTCTCGGCCAGCGCAGTCCCATGTCGGCAAGGATCGTCAGGTCTTCAACGATCCTCGACTCGTCATTCGAGACGAAAGGACCGCCGAACATTGCCGAGGCGACCTGGATCATATCCGTTCCGAGCAAGTCGGCGAGCGTGAACCACATTGGTACCTCTGCGAGCCGTTCGTCCCGCCTCGAGGTTGGCAGTAGTCCCGGATAGTGCAGGAACGGCTCGAGACAGATGATTTGTAGCGAGGCGGCTTCGCACCTGGCTCGGACTGATCGAGCCGCCGCGTAGAGCTGTTCCGCGCAAGGTGCGACGGCGGAATCGAGGCTGAAGAGGCGACGCGCTTCGTTCTGAAGGCACTCGAAGTGGATCTCGATGCCGTGGTATCCCGCTTCCCTCAAAGCCGCGATCTTGGCTTCGAGACCGTGCCGTGCTGCATGCCGTCCTAGGGAGGCCGACATCATTGCCTGCGGGAGCTTGTTTATCGGCGTCGAGTCCGGGAGGAGATAAGGGCAGACGAGTCTTCGCAGCGGAGGCAATGGAATGGTAGTCTTGTGCCTGGGTACCTGAGAGGACTGGTCGGCCATTGAGCGCGCCTTGTTAGTTCGAATGAAAGCCTCATTGCACAGCCTTGAGGAGGCGTGGGAGAGACCGAGGGTCGACATGTCGGGCGCTTGACTGCGGAATGACAAGGTTTCGCGGGGGAGAGATGATGGTGGGCGCAACGAGGTGTGATCTCAAGCTGTCGCTGTCCAAGGCCGTCACAGCTTGTCGTACGTCGAACGACTTTATGGCAACGCAGTAGAGAGCAAGTCAGCCACCCTGCTGGGAACGATTGACGTACGTGACGTCTACCTGTGGGCACACGGGAGCTTGGCTGTCATGTTTCGGACCGGACATGACAGGGTGCCGAACGACATCCGAACGTTGCATGGATCGGACGTCGTCAATCGGACGCCGAGTTGTCAATTCGGACGTCGGCAAAGCGCATGGCTGGTCGGCCAATTGTTGTAGCCGACCCCACATACCCGTCCGCTCTTCAGCCCAGGGGGTTTGGCCGTCCCTCGTTTGCCGAATGCCCGCTCCCGCCACGCCGCGCGATGTCCCGTCGAGAGCCGTTGAAGGGTGAAAATCTTTGCTCCCGCCACGACGTCGCTCCAAAGCAGCATTTGCTCGAGCACTGCCGGGACCGCTGTTCCTCGAGAGCAACTTCAAGTGCCCTACTGTCCGAATTCGGCATCATCCGTCCGCGTCGCGGGTGACTCGTCCTGTGGGGAAGAAGGGCCTGTCCTCGAACCTCGCCCTCGAGCCTCTCTACCATCATCGTCCCCCTCTTCCCCGCCTCCTTCCCCGCATCGCGTGGCATCAGCCCTTCCCCTTCTCCCCTGGACTCCACGGTATCCGCGAGCTACACAAGCTGGAGCTTCAGCCGCACTTGAAGGGCTACAAATACCTAGACCGTCGTCGCCCTTGCCCTCTCTTCCACTTCCGGGGCCCCACAAAACCACTTCTTCCCCTCCCTCACAGTAGCCACCTCCCGCTTGCAGACCCTGTCTTGCTCAACATCGAACCATGGGCTTTTTCAGCACCCTCGTGCGACCGCCGCACGACACCTCGGCGGTGCCCGCGCCGCCGGAGACGCACAACTGGCGTCTCTATACCATGGCCTTCTCTGCGAGCATGGCCTCGGCGATGTTCGGCTACGATAGCGCCTTTATCGGCGGAGCGCTGACGCTGCCGTCGTTCAAGCGCACCTTTGGCGTCACTGCGGAGCACTCGACGGCGCTCTCGTCGCACATCACCTCGCTCTTCCAGGCCGGCTGCTTTTTCGGCGCGATCCTCGTCTACCCCATCACTGAGCAGTTCGGTCGCAAGCCCGCCCTGCTCCTTGCCGGTATCGTCTTCAGCATCGGCGCCATCATCCAGACCGTGTCAGACGGCAACCTCGGCATGATGTACGCCGGTCGCGTCCTCACCGGGCTCGGCGTCGGCTCGAGCTCTCTGATCACACCCGCCTATATCTCGGAATGCAGCACGCCGGCAACAAGAGGAAGGCTGGTGGGCATCTTTGAGTGCTGCCTGCAGGCTGCGCTCGTCGTGGGCTTCTGGACAAACTACGGTGTGGCGCAAAATATCCCCGACGACGGCAGCAACAAGCAGTGGCAGGTCCCCTTCGCCGTCCAGCTCATCCCGGCCGGCCTGCTTTTAATCGCCATGACGTTTCAGTCCGAGTCGCCGCGATGGCTCATCAAAAAGGGGAAGGACGACAAAGCGAGAGAGGTGCTGGCGCGGCTCCGCGACCTCCCGGCATCGCATGCCTACCTGTCCTACGAGATCGAGTCGGTCCGTGACCAGATCCACGCCGAGCTTGGTCCTGCCGGGCAGCTATCGCTCTGGGGCAAGCTCAAGGAGTGCGTCGCGCCTGAGAACCGCGTCCGTCTCGGTCTCGGCGTCGCTCTGATGTGGCTGCAGAATCTGTCTGGCATGTGAGTGCACTTCCTCCGGACGGTCATCGTATCTCCTCGCCGTTGCTGAACCAGTTGCCATCACCTCTCTCCAACGTCCCCGCAGCAATGCGCTCAACTACTTCTCCAACACCCTCATCAAGAGTATCGGCTTCACGGGCACCAGCGTCTCGCTGCTGGCGACGGGCATCTTTGGCATCGTCAAGATGGTCGTGACGATCGTCTTCATGTTCTTCTTCGTCGACCGCGTCGGGCGCCGGGTGCCTCTGCTGGTCGGCAGCGTGGGAGCGGCGGCGTCGATGTACTACCTCGGCATCTACTCGACGGTCACACGCTCCTTCCAACAACCGGTACCCAAGGACGGCGCGGCCTACTTTGCGCTCGTGTGCGTCTACCTCTTTGGCGCTAGCTACGCCTTTTCGTGGAACGGCATCCCCTGGATCTTCCAGTCCGAGGTCTTCCCGCTCGCCGTGCGCGCCCTGTCCATGGTGGTGACGACGGCCAACCAGTGGTTGAGCCAGTTTGTCATCGTCTACTCGGCGCCCTACATGATCGAGTCGATGCGGGGCTACACCTTCATCTTCTTCGCCCTATGGACCACGGCCGCCTTTGGCTTCGTGTGGCTCCTCGTCCCAGAGACGGCCGGCATCTCGCTCGAGAACATGGACGTCCTCTTCGATGGACCGACGTTGGCCCGGGACAAGAGGCGCCACTATGACCAGGTCATGGCCAGCCAGCGCGCCATGCAGCTCGAGAACGAGGCCGAGGCCCTTCCCCGCGAACGACGGCAACAGGAATCGGCGGCGCCGGCCGATGTTACCATGGACAAGGAGGCCAAGTCGATGGCCTAGCTTGCTTTGCCCCCCTCTGATCAACGCTTTGTATTCTATCGTCCCGACGAATAACATGACGCAACGACCGTATGTGTCCTGCATCTCTACCTTAGCCCGAAGCCCCTCCAGTGCTCGATGGCCTTTGCCACCTTGACCTGCATCGTCTCAACGTCCGGATAGTCGGGGAGGAAGAGGGTGAGAGTGCACGTTGACGACCACGGCAGGGGCATGCGGTTAGTCCGTCGTGCGGCCGCATTTCCCTCGCTGCCGCCGTCGCACTCTTCCTCTGTGAGACCGAGGATATGGTCCAGCTCAACCAAGTGGATCCGCAACCCCAACGCCTTTGCGCCGGCGACGGGCAGCTCTTGCGATCCCGTGATGAAGGCGAGCAGCTTGCGTTGGTCCGCGCCGTCGAGCGCCTCCCAGACCGCCCAAAAGTCGTCGATGGCATCCATGGTCTGACGGCCAGAGGCAGACAGTGAGTCCGAATCGCTCCGTGGGAGGATGTGCTGGGTGTGCGACCGGAGCGCTCTGACATCGAGCTTGCCCTGCTTGCCTTGTGCGAAGTCTTGTACCAAGGTTTCGCTGCAGACGATCGATCTCAGCTCCTCGGGTTGCAGCAGACTCAGCGCCAACCCACCGCGGACAATGACATCGCGACCTCGGCGTTTGCCGTCGGCGGCGGTGATGGGTTGATGAGCGGGCATCACCGCCGTCCAGCCCCGACGGAAGGCATCCACTTGGTGCTGCACCGCATCGACAAGATGGTAGCGGATCAGCCGGCGCACGTACCGCTCGCGCTCGGCAAGACGGACGGTCCGGTGTCGGCCGCCGGGCACCAGGTCTACGGTTGCGACGGCCTCGGTGTCGCTCAGGTCGTCATGCGACGCTGTAGCCAGGCTCCAGGTGAGACCGAACGTGGCCTCGAACTGTTCCTCTGCGAGCTCGCCGGATTCGTCAGCGTTGACAGATGCAGGCTGCCACCCCAGGAGGTGTCGAAGGGAGCCCGATAGCTGCCCGTCGGCTTCCGCGAGGTCTTGTAGATCCAACGTTGAATCGTTCTGGCCAGCACCCGCGGCGATCTTGAACGCGAAAGCAGGCGGCCGAAATGGCAGAGCCAACTTGACGCTATGAAAGGTCGCTAGGCCGAGGAACAGACCGAGGAACTCGGCCGAGGCAAGGTCCGTCGATGGGGAGAACCACCGCTTTGCGCCCATGAGGCCAGGTGGGAAGTCCTTGGCGACGGCTGCGAACCACTCGCGCGTGGGCCCACCGCCGTCGGCAGCGTCTTCGCCTATGAATTCGACCCGAAGCGGCCTGGTGATGTCTTCAGTCGTGGCCTCGATGCTATCGGCGTCCCCAAGGAGATGGCGAAACAGCTCTGCGCTCTGTGCGTACGCGTGCTCGCGTTGAATGGAGAAGCTCAGTCGCTGTGAGGACACCGAGAGGCTGGCTCGACCATTTGCGGTCCTGAGTATGACGGCTGGGCGCTGACCAGAGGTGCCCCTCGCAGCGATGCTTGCCCGCATACCATTCTCGAACTGAAGGATACGGGCTTTGGCGCCGAGGCTGAGGAGGAAGGGATCGTGACATGCGTTGAAGCGCTCTCGATCCGGCTCCGGACGATGCGCGAAGGCGACGAAATCCTCGAGGAAGGGCAGGGTGTCCAGCATGAGGCAATAGAAGTGATCGACCGACAGTCCCGCCTCTCCGTGCGCGCGCACGCCGGCGTTGTGCTGCCAAAGCAGTCGAAGGAAAGCGCAGCACTCGAGAAGCGTTGGGTCCACCCGGACGCTGGCGAGATTGGAGCTCGATGCCACGTCTGCAATTTCGGCGGCCGGGTTCGAGAGGCGTCGGCCGCAGATGCCAACCAGATCGCTCACGAGTATTTCGAGCATACCAGCGTCTCCCTCGAGAGACGACGAGGCGGAAGCGGCGAGCGTGCGGCCCAGCAGGGCTCTCCCGTCGGGAGAAGCCGTGAACAGAGCGAGTGTCTGCCTGAGCACGCCTTCTGCCGCTCGAGAGCCGTTAGGATGCGCCTGCATGAGCCTAGCAGGCCTGAATCGCAGCAGCACTGCCAACGCAGACACCGTTTCGTCGCCGATGGAAGTAGCATCCTGTGAGATGGAAATGATGGACTCGAGCGTGTCGATGGCAGCTTGCAGATCGTTAAGCTGCGATGCTGTGATCAAATCGTCGGACTCCCTATGGTCACGCAGGAGTCCGTCGAGGGTGCGCCGAGCGTTGCGTATCGCTCCGACGTCCGTGATACCCTTTCCGTGCCCTTCGTTGTCCTCGCCGGTCCCTGCCGGCGGCGACGCTCCAGCGACAACGGCGGCAGGATCGAGGGCCGCTTGCTTGGCGGGGTCGAGCCGCTGGGCCTTGCCCTTCCAGCGACCCGCCTCGCTGCGAACCTTTTCCGGCGCCTTCGGGTTCCTTGCATAGATGCGCGGACCCATGTGCGCGGCCCCGAGCTCGTGGTCCATGTTGTCGAGCACCTTGAGCGGCTCTCCCCCGAAGCTGCCGGCGCCGAAAGCCATCAAGCCGGCGGTACCAAAGCTCGAGGCAGAGCGGCCGTTGCGCGACCGACCGGAGCCGGTAGTCAGGTCGCGAAAGATGAGAGAAGCCATACTTGCCCCCCTGGCGGATACGGGGCCGTCTGCATCCCCGTCGCCGTCGCCGAGATAGTCGTCTTCGGCTTCGCGGGCATACTGATCGAGCAGGGCGGCCAGTGTCTGGACGCCGCTGGGACCGACGTGGCGCTTCTTTGGCGGCGTAGACCTGCCGTTGGCGTCCCTGCTGGAGCTTTCGCGGGTGCGCCGTACGAGCTCCTGCCGTCGCGACGGATACGGATTGAAGGGTTGTCTGGACGAGCTGGCGTACTGCGACCACGGAGAGGCCTGGTTTCGCTTCCTCGTGGACGATTCAGCGGACGCCGATGCTAGCGAAGGGAAGTCCGAGGGCGAAGGGGCGGTCGCTGCTGGGCTGGCGGCTGACGCATTCGGCCAGGACACTTGTCGTGGTGGCGCCCATGCCTTCTTCCAAGGCGAGGCCTTTGTCGTCGAGCTCGAGGCTGCTGGCTGCGGTTGATGCGGGCGAGCGCCAGCCGTGGCGGTCTCGGACACCTCGAGGCTGTCTAGAGCGTCGTAGAAGGTGGCGGCGTCGTCTTCGGCATCGCTTGCGCAGTGGTTGTGGGCTTCTTTGTCCACAACATCCTGCATGGTGGTGCTATCGAATGGATAAGGGAGGTCGAGGTTGAGGTCGAAGCGGCTGTGGCGGGGCATTTCCTCTTAATTTCGAGAAGCAAAATCGCTAGAAGCCAGCCCAGGCCTTCGACGCGCCGGCGGCGGTGGCGGCAAAGCTCCACATTCGTTTTGATTGATAAAGATAAATTAGAGCTTTATAATGTCATAGTTTGGATGCCTTGCATACAAAGGCAGTCTTAGTATAGTGGTTAGTACGAGTCGTTGTGGCTCTTCCACGCCGCTCCTTCGCCGGAGTGGGTCTCCCGACTAGACGGATGTTCGATTCCTCCAGACTGCATTCTCTTTTACTTTTTTTTTCTTTCGCACCCGAGCCGGATCAACGTGTTTATGCGGCTGGCGTGTGCAGCAGGATGCGCTGCAGGCCCATGTCGAACGGCGGAACACCGGGGGCGACGGAAGCAACGTCGGGCCGAGCTAGGGTGCGTTTCGCCTCGACGACGCGACGGGGTGTTTCGCAAGGTGTGCATGGATGGCTTTGAGCGGGCATGCTGGCTGCCGTGCCTGAAGCTAGGCTGGTGTAGGAGCTGGAGTGGCGGTCATGCCGAGCAGGCGTGGCTCGGTATGCACAACGCAGCGAGCACCGCCGATCCCTCCTCGCTTGCCTGCCACCTTGGCTCGGTGCGCTCACACCCGCCGCCAAGCCGAGTCGCCTCTAGTCTATCTCTGCCTCCCGTCGGGCAGGTCTACGTCGTTTGTCCAACTGGTAGGGCGAGAAGGGTCGGCGCGTGCTTGGCTCAATCGACGATTCGGCACTCTATATGTACTTCGGCCAAGGGAGGGCGCCTCGGGGGTGGTCGGCCGTTTGCGCAGGCACGCCGGTGCGGTTGGTCTCGGCAGCGGCGATTGGCACCGGGCCCAAATGGAAGACAGCGGCGGCGGCGGCGGCGGTCAAAGGGCGCAGAGACGTCGATCCTCAGTTGCCACTCCGACCTCGCACCTGGCGCCCCTCTGCTGCATCGTACCCTCTCTCTGCCGAACCCAAACTCCGAAGCAGCATGTGCTTGGCTCCCTCTGCACCGCCGGCCAGAGCGGTCCCTCCCGTGCCTGCAAACAGCAATCCCCAGCCCTTCTTCCCCTAGCCTCTTGTCTGTGTTGCGGCCGATGATATAAACCCTCGAGCACTCGACATGACGCTCCCGTCCTCGCCCGCCTGTCCGCTCCGCCCCCCCGCCCTTGCCGCTTCGACGACCATAGACCTTCCTTGATGATGCCCTCCCTCTCGCGCACCCTCGCCCTCTCGGCGGTCACCCTCTCGTCGGCGCTCCTGGCACAGGCCGCCACCTGGAGCCGCACCGCCGACATCCAGGGCAACGGCTTCTTCGACGCCTTTGACTGGTTCAACGAGCGCGACCCCACAAACGGCCTCGTCACCTACCAGACCGTCGACGCCGCAAAGGCCGCTAAGCTCAGCTACGTCGACGACAACGGCGCCTTTGTCATGGGCGTATCGACCGTACCCGTCGCCCTCGAGGGCAGGCCCAGCGTCCGCCTCCAGTCCAAGCAGAGCTACGCCGACGGCCTCTACGTCCTCAACGTCACCCACGTCCCCACCGGCTGCTCGAGCTGGCCCGCCTTCTGGACCGTCACCGAAAACATAAAGTCCTGGCCCGTCGGCGGCGAGATCGACATCCTCGAAAACGCAAACGACCAGTACGCCGCCGGCCTCGTCTCGGCCCACACCCAGTCGACCTGCCTCATCGACCAAAACATCCCCGACGCCTACGGCCAGGTCACCTACAGCAACTGCTCCGCCTACACCGAGGCCAACTCGGGCTGCCGCGTCGAGATGAGCAACGGTCCCGCTCCCACCTGGGGCGCCGACCTCAACAAGGCCGGTGGCGGCGTCTTTGCCATGGAGCGCTCCTTTGGCTCCGAGGGACAGGGAGTCAAGGTGTGGTACTTTCCCAACTCGGACCCCTCGTCGCTTCCAAAGGACCTCCGCGCCGGCAGCACCTCGGCCAACAGCGACAACTTTGGCAAGCCCTACGCCCACATGCCCATCAGCGACTGCCACGCCGACTTTGGCATGCACAAGATCATCTTTGACATTACTCTGTGCGGCGACTGGGCTGCCAACACCGTGAGTGGCGTCCCCTCAGCCTGGCCGCCCAGTTCGAAGCAGAGCGTCGTCCGCTGACCTGCTATCCGTTCTCCTCACATGACAGTACGCCGAAAGCGGCTGCCTCGCAAAGTACTCGGCCTGCAGCTACCAGGTCGGATACAACGGAAGTTCCGTGAGTCGCACCGGGTCGCTTTGGCCTCTTCGGTCTCCTTCGTCGCGCTGACGTCCGTCTCGACCGCCTCCCGGACCTCGACAGTACTCCGAGACCTACTGGGCTGTCGACTCGCTCCGCCTCTTCACAGACGGCGGCGACAAGGCCAACGCGGCCAACTCGCCCAACACCGCCAAGCCGTCCACGGTCGCCGCCTCGAGCCTGGCCACCAGCACCGCCAAGCCCTCGTCGGGAGCCGCAAAGAGCAACTCTGCCTCCTCTGCCGCATCCGCGTCCGTTTCGACCCCGCTGACTGCCCTCGCCGGTGCTGCTGCACTCGCGCTCGGCCTTCAGCTGCTGCTCTAGTCGTACATAGACCTTGACCATCAGGACATGAGGAATTGCAACGTCACGTACAAACTCCACAGGGGTCTGTGCTGCCCTTTGAAGGCTAATCTTCAACAGGCCGAGACCAGCTGAAGCGATAGTACTGGTGCATGACGCACCAGCCCTCATCTAAACGTCAGGCAATGGCCCTCGACTCCTGCAGTGCACTTCTTGTGCAATCGAGGCATCACCTCATGCTTTTGCACCAGCAGGGCCAGCAGGAGCCTTGTCTGTGCATTTCCCTGACTCCAGCATCAGTCCCCCTGTACTCTGCAGGTCCAGTGTCCCTTGATGTTGTTCAGTCTGACCTCAGGGAAGCTTGCATCTTGCCTGCTTCCAGTTTCTGATACAATGATGGCCATTCAAAGAAAATTCTGAGGGGATCCACAACCCCAACCCTCAAGATGTTGTTGCCAGTCCGGGTTGGGAGTGGGCTGGCACGGCGGCCGCCCTCGGCCAAATCTCTGAACTGAGCATGGACGACGTTAGGGAGTGTTCTAGGGAGGCAACTGCCTCTGCCCTAATATCAATGGTGGCAAGGTACTGCGTTGAGTTGGTGGCCCTGCACCTGCCTCCCTTGGTTACAATGATGTTGCTGGGATGGCTCTTCTCCTCAAGCTTGATGGGCTTGACACTTGCAGCCTCTGGAATGTCCAGGTGGTGCAGCAAGCCAAACCGCTTGACGATGTAATCTTGCCGGGCTTTTCGCGCCTTGGACAACATGACATACTTGCCAATGCAGTTGAGGCCATATAAAGCCTTGAAACCCTGTCTGCAGGGCCAATGCTTTTGATGTCACTGATGCTGCGGTTGGCACATGAGTGTAATGCCCTTGGGGTCTTGCAAACAATGCCTGCTGCACTCTTGAATGTCAGCCATTTGCAAATCAATGACTGAATGTAGTGTCTGTAGCAGACCAGCACAGCCAGAGAGACACATGATGCTCTGCTGAGCAGCAAGCCCACACAAGGGTACAGAAACACAATAAGGAATCTTGAATTGAGGCATAGCTAACGGGCAGCAACCGGCTTGCGCTTTCAGACTCTTGTCGCAGATGCAGCAGCAAAGCTTGGGGAACCCAGCCGCGCGGGCCCTGACTGCTGGAGGGTATGCGAAGTGCTCGGTGGCGATTGCGAGGCATGCTCCAACAACGATGACGGTGATCACCAAGACGGCTTCCTTCTTCCGCCTCGCCGCAGCCATCGTCACAGCCATCGTCACGGCAATCGTGTTCACATCTAGGGTTTCGCTTGGTACCTGTTCCGCTCGGCGTGGGAACTCTCGAGGAGCGATTTCGAGCGACGGAGCGATGGGTTTCGCATGCTCACGACCGAATGGGGAAATTGTGATGCATAGACAGCACGACCGCTGCTTCGTGACCAGTCTGGCACACTACGGGAGTCTCTCAAAGCTGTCAACCCCATCTCGGCGAGGGGCTGAAAGCTCCTCTGCTCCGCGGCAGCGGAGGAGGTCTGGCAGGCACGTTCGTCGATGGCTCGGCTTCGACCGAGGCAGAGGTACAAGTGCTCCGGCCGCATCGCTCGCCGCTCGCCGAGACGATCATCCAGCGACGAGGGGGTCATGCTAAGCGAATCTGTCGCTGAACGCTGTCGGACGAACTCTGGAGGATGCGGGGCATCGCTTGCGACAACGCTGCGGGCGATCTTCGAGAGCGTCGAGCGAGCGGCATACGGAACGAAGACGGCCGGCGGAGGATTTCTGCGAAGCGGCCGACGCCCTCGCGCGGCGCCCGCCGGCTCTTTTTGTCCTCGCCCTTCCCCGCACTTCGACCCCGCACTGTGCGACACGTCTCGTTCCGGCCCTCCTCGACAGCCCTTCTTCGAGGCGGAGAAACCCTCGTCTCGCCATGCGCCTGACCCACCAGCCGGGTACGCGCGCACCGGTGCTGAACGGTGTGCACTCGGTGTACGCCCCTCGACTGCAGGGATGCGGGGCCCCTCTTCTCCCTCTTGTTCCGCTCGGCATGGCAAAGTCGAGCGGCCGGTTCATGTATATAAGCGGTGCAACGAAGGGTCGAGTTCGTCTTGCAATCCACCAGAGCCCGCTCCCCGACTCTACTACACCGCCGCCATGAAGCTCACCGTCGCTTCGCTGCTCCTCTCGCTCTCCCTGTTCGGCACCGCCCTCGGCGCGACAACCGATGACTGGAAGACGCGCACCATCTACCAGATCATCACCGACCGCTTCGCCGTCAATGGAACGCCCGGCAGCTGCCCCAACGGCAGCCGCGACTACTGCGGCGGCAGCTTCCGTGGCATCATGAGCAAGCTTGATTACATCCAGGGCATGGGTTTCGATGCAGTCTGGATTTCGCCGATCGTCAAGAACGTCGAGGGCCAAAGTTACCACGGCTACTGGGCCCAGGATATCAACCAGATCAACCCGCACTTTGGCACGGCCGACGATCTGAAGGCGCTTTCCGCCGAGCTCCACCGTCGCGGCATGTATCTCATGGTGGACGTCGCGCCGAACCACAACGGGCCTCAGTCGTCCGGCGCCGTCAGCTCGGACTCGTACTATTCGCTCTACGCTCCATTCAACCAGAAGGCCTACTATCATAACTATTGCACTATTAGCAACTACAACGACCAGAACAACGTCGAGCAGTGCTGGCTCGGCAGCACGCCCAGCGACGCGCTCCCGGACCTCAACACCGAAAACTCGTTTGTGACCAGCACCTACTACAGCTGGATCAGTAACCTCGTCAAGTCGTATCAGATCGATGGTCTGCGTGTGGACACAGTTAAGCATTGTCCACGGGCCTGGTGGCCAGGCTTCAAGAGCAGCAGCGGTGTCTTCAACATCGGCGAGGTCTTCTCCGGCGACCCCGCCTATGTCAAGCCATATCAAGACGCAGCGATGGATGGGCTTCTGAACTATCCTGTCTATTACCCCCTTCAACGGGCGTTCCAGTCCACTAACCGTGGCTTCGGTGAGATGAAACAGATGGTCAACACGATCCGTTCGACTTACCGTGATCCGCTGGCGATGGGAACGTTCCTGGTACGTGATGCTCCCGACCCGCGATTTTCCGAGACGCGTCTGGTTGCTGACCTCTTTTGCGCGGAGCGACACTCCTCTTCAGGATAACCACGACAATCCCCGTTTCGCCTCGACGGTCACGGACAAGATGCTCGTGCGTAACGCCATGACCTATATCCTGGTCGGCGACGGTATTCCTGTACTTTACTACGGCCAAGAGCAAGATTACTCGGGCGGCCAGGACCCGTACAACCGCGAGGCGCTGTGGACCTCGGGCTACAACACGAACACGGACAGCTACAAGTACATCGCTGCCGTGAACAAGCTGCGCAAGTTTGTCAAGAACCGGGCCGACAAGCCGCTCACGACGCAGCTCACCTCGCTGTTCGACAACAGCGGCAGCTGGGCGTTCAACAAGGGCAACATGCTCGTCGTGCTCAGCTCGGCCGGCCAGAACGGCGGCACGCAGATTGTCAGCATCGGCTCCAGCAGCCTGCCCGCCGGACAAATGACCAACGTCATCAACTGCGCCACCATCAACGTCAACAGCGGCGGCAGCGTCACGATCCAGCTCAACGGAGGCCAGCCGGCCATCTTCTACCCGTCCAGCAGCCTCGGCGGCTCGGGCATCTGCGGAAAGTAGATCGTTCACTCGCCGAAGCCGCACACGCCGCACAGACGCCGGAGAGTAGAACAGCACTTCGTCTCTATTGTATCCGTGTCTCTGAGAATAGTTCAAAGGAGTGTGAGGCTCGCATCACTTGCGGGCCTGCGCGACGAGCCAGTCGCCCTGTCATACGAAGAGGTCCACACGTTTCGAACCTGTCAGTCTGATGCTGAGTGCTGCAGGCTTTTCCGCTCAGCCCAGGCCAACTACTCACGATTTCGAAGAGCACCGCGTCGCGCTTCTCCTCGTCGGCCTTGCTCATGCCCGCAACGTTCTTCATCATGACTGCCGATGCGGAAAGTTGGTAGGGAGATCAGCCTTCTGGGTCGACCACCGAAGACAGGTCGGACGCGTCGCTCACCATGCTCGTAGCCCGGCCAGATCTTGAGGGTCTTTTCGCTCGGCTTGGTGCCGACGCGGTCAAAGAACTCCTTGCTGCCCTGCGGATTGGTGGCGCGGTCGTTTGCGCCGTGGTGGATGACGAGCGGGCAGGTGATCTTGCTGGCGAGGGCCGAGAGCTCGTTGATGCCGTCGAGGATGGCGAGGCCGGTGCTGATGCGGAGCAGGCCCTTGTAGGTCATGGGATCGGCCTGGAACTCGGACTCGACCTTGGGATCGTCGCTGACGTTGCCCTTGATGGCCTTGGCAAAGGGGAGACGGCCGGCGAGGAAGCGCAGCACCTTGGCGGCGTACTCGGTCGCCTTGCCCGGCCGAGACTGCGGGCTGATGGTGATCATCGGCGCAGCGACTGCCACTCCGGACAGGCAAGGGCGGTACGGCGGCGGGTCGAGGGACTTGGACTCGGGTCGGACGCCGTTGGACGCGGCTCGGCGGGCCAGCTCAGCCTCCTCCTCGGCCGAGGGGACCTTTTTGATGGCGAGGTCCGGGCTGCCGTCCTCGGTGGGGTCGATGGGCGCGTAGAGGGCAGCGTAGTAGAGGGCGGTGAAGCCGCCCATCGAGTGTCCCTCTGCGAACAGCTTGCGCTCCCGCCCCGCCACACCGATGAGGCCCGCCTCCTCGTCCCACCTGCGCACGTCCATGATGACGGCATGCATCGCCCTGACATTGATACGCATGCTGGGTACAAACCCGTGCAGCCCGGAGCTCCTGCCAAACGAGGGGAGGTCGATGGCGATGACGCGGAAGCCGCGCTTCAAAAAGTGGTGGGCATGCGGGACGAGCTTTCCAGCGTAGTCGTTGATGCCGTGGCACATGACGAGGTCCGAGTGGAGTCCCTCGCGCTGCTCGATGGCCTCCATGGTCCACACATTGTAGCTGACAAACGTCCACTTTTCCTTGTCCCAGGAGCGGCAGTCGGCGAGGGCGTGGGCGGGGAGGGGCACCTTTCGGCGGATGACGGTGACCTCGGGGTTGTCGTAGATGAGCCGCTTCTCGGTCGCCGAGTAGGGCAGCTGCGCGCGTCCATAGGTCGGGTCGCCAAAGCCGGGGGTGACGAGGTTGAGGTGGCAGAGGACCGGCTCGATAAAGACAAAGTAGATTGTCCAGAGGAACTCGAGCATGGTGGGCGGCGAGTCTATGGCGGCAGACGAGGGTTCGCGGTCCGGATGGTTGTGAAGAAGTGTCGGTGAAGGCGAAGAGGTGTGCTCATTGGAGGAGCGAGCTTACACAGCGCACTCCTCGCCGCCGGAAGGGTCGCGTCGAGGTCCCTTGTCCTTCCGGCCTCGTCTTCTGTCCGGCCCGAAGGGGGTGAAATGCATCCCTCACGTCACCCAGCCGAAGGCAGCCGTTTTGGCCATGCACGCACCGATCACTCTTCAGCTCTTTCTCACCACCACTACCACGACGTGAAGCGGCAAGGCCGTTTGACTGCGCTCTCGCTCTTCGTCACATTCCTCATCTTTCGAATACCCCTCTTTCCCGAACGCAGACGAACGCTCGGCTCGCTCTCGACATGATGCGCACGACATCGCCGCTCTCTCGCGGCCTCCTCCGCCAGCTAGCCCTGGTCTCGCCGGCGCAGGGTGGCACCCGCGCCGCTGCCATCTCGACCTGCGCTGCTGCCGCCCGTCCCCGTGCCGATGCAACACGGCCGCCAGCCATCGCGGCCTTTCAGCCGCTGCAGACGCGCAACAAGTCGCGCAAATCGTCTGCGCAGTACATCGACGAGGATGCCGCGGCCGACGACGACGTGCCCGTGATGCACACCAAGGGCAAAAAGTCAAAGGGCGCAAAGGGATCCTCCAACGCGCCCCGGGGAGCCAAGTCGAAGCGCGGGGACGCAGAGGCGAACGACACGTCCAAGGGCGCACCGGCCTACAAGACCTCGGTCCGCAACCAAGACCTGCCCGATGAGGCTTTCGACTTCGACGCCCTCACCGAGAACATGAAGCGGGCCGTGGAGCGGTGCAGGCAGACGGTGTCCACCCTGGTCGGCAGTCTCGGTCGCGCTGATCCCGGTGAGTTGCGGCGAGGCAGGTGCTGCCTATCTGCTTCGGCCTTTGCTGACCCGCTCGACTTGTCCGTGCCCCTTTGACATCCTGCGACGACCCCAGCGCTGTTGGACTCTGTCAAGGTCGAGTACCCCGGCACTTCTGGAGCGGCCAAGACGTCGCACCCTCTCCGCGACTTTGCAACCGTCGGCGTGCGGGATGGCAGCCTGATTGTCAACTGCTTCGACGCCGATGTGAGTGGAAGCTGCCAACATTTTGCTCTTAGACCCCTACGGGCGACGTCCATGCGGCGCTGACACACGACCGTGCTGTTCACCACTCTCTACCTGCCTCTTGGCGCGCACTCCCCGCAGATGGTCAAGCACGTCGAGCGTGGCATCTATGCCGCCGACCTCGGCCTGACGCCGCAGACACAGGCCGGAGAGGACGAGAACATCATCCGCGTCCCCATCCCCAAGTAAGCCTTCATCAGCAAGCCCCGCCGCCTCACCGCTGGCCCTGTTCTGCCTGCTGACGCCCTCGATCCTCTCTCCCGCTTCGCAGGCCGACGACAGAGACGCGCCAGGCCATGGTCAAGGACGTGACGCGCATCTGCGAGAATGCGCGCGTCTCAATCCGCTCGGCCCGCCACTCTGCCCAGAAGCAGATCAAGAGCGACATCGATCGAAAGGTCATTGGCAAGAGCGAAGGCGACAAGGAGATGAAGAGCGTGAGTGCCCTCCGGCTCTCAGCTGTTGCTGTGTCTTGTCCGAGGCTTGACGGCATCGCTGACGAGACCATCACCTGCGCTTGATCATCTTCACCCTGCCTTGAACAGATCGAGACCGAGACCAAGAAGCACTCGGCCGAGGTGGATGCCCTCTTTGAAAAGACCAAAAAGAATCTCCTCTCGACGGTCTGATGAGACGGCAGCGCCGCAGGAATGAAATTCGGTCTCCCCATCTACGATCCCGAGGCGACGCTACTACACGGTCGCGGCCCTTGCGGCCATCGCGGCTGCGACTCTGCTGGGCACGGCCGCCCTCAGAGGCCAGAGTTCTTGCACCACCTTCTAACTTGCCACCTCGCCGACGCTCTGGCCTCAAGATGATCGCCCATCACTGGCTCTTGCCGCCCTTGATGACGCCAGCCTCGCGCTCGAACGGCTCGTCGTCGTTGCCGCGCACGCCGACGCTGACGCCCTGCTGGCCCCTGAGGACCTTCTTGGGGTCGATGGCGCCGGCCTCTGCAGGCTTGGGCTTGGCGGTGAACCGCTTCTGCACCGCTCGCACCACTGCAAAGGATGACAGATGGGGGCAGCATAAGAAGAGGGTCAATCTTGGCATTTCAGCCCGAACTGGCGCTGCGAAAGTGGCCTCTGGCGCCGGCTACTCACTTGCGCGGAACCAGAAAAAGTTGAGCGAGTTGAGGATGACATTGCCGGTCATGTAGAAGTTGGCAATGTACCTGGGGATCGGCGGATGGTGGGGCGTCGGCGGGCTCACGACAAACTTGAAGAAGCTGATCGACTGCGATACGGCCGGCCGGCGGTGGCGGCAAAGAGAAGCGGAGAGGGCCGATTGGCGGGTCAACGGTCTGGCCGCGCATGCAAGGGCGCCTCGCCGCGGCTAGGGCAACCACTCACGTTGTAGACTCCAAAGGTGAGACGGGCGCCGACGTAGGTGCCGAGGAGAAAGACGGCGTTGACGAGCTGGAGCGTGGTGCCAGTCATTCCGAGCTTGTCGAGGAACCAGTGGATGTTGAGGAACGGGGTGCTGAGCTCCCAAAGCAGGAAGCCCAGCCCGTCGTACATGAAGACGGGGTAGTAGACGAGGATGAAGGCGGTGAAGGCGACGAGGCCGTGGGCGACGAAGCCGGGGCCCTCGTGGCGGATTGAGATGTACGAGTCCCAGATAAAGTACCCGAGCGCGACGGCATACACCTCTCCGGCCTCGTAGTCGTAGCCGTAGAGGCGGTCGACGGCGAGCGGGTGGGAGTTGCCCTGCTGCCTGACCTTCCACCAGATGCGTGCGCAGAGCGGGGTGATGACGACGGCGTGGCAGAAGGCGACAAAGTGGATGTCCCAGCTAGTCCTGGTCTTTTTGCTAAAGGTGGCAAACGTCTTTGGGAAGAGGCGGGGCGAGAGTCCAGAGGAGAGGAGCTGCAGCGACGTCCAGAGCAAGACGGAGCGGAGGATGGTCTGGAGGTGCGTGGGCATGTGCGGCACGTTGAGCTGGTCGGCGTATGGCTGCAGCCATGGCGATAGATCGGTGGCGAGTCCCATGTTGTACGTGCGCGAGTGCGTGCAGAGTCGCCTCTCGTTGTCGAGAGAAGGCGAGCGGTGCAGAGGAGCGGGTGGTGGTGGTTGTTGAACGGACAGGAAGAAGGCTGGCAGGCAGCGGAATCGTGGCTGGTGCGGGGCTCCCCTTTGGCGCCTGGCGCGTGCGACCGGCGCCGGCCACAGGGGAAAAGGCCGAGTGACAGGCAGGGTTGGCTGCCAGGCCAGGCCAGGCAGGTTGAGGCAACCGAGCCGACATCCGCGGATCCGCCCCAAAGGGTCGGGCAGGGCAAGCGGGCGAGTCGCCAAGCCCCCAGTCGAGGGCTGGCCCGCGTGAAATCCCGATTTGCACCTGCCTGAACCGTAGCCTGCCGATTTGATTCGTGCGAGTGAGGCAGGTCAGATCTGTGATTTTCCAGAAAGTGGAGGGAAGGGCGCTGACTGACTTGATCTGGTCCCAAGCCGGCGGTCCACCCGATGCGATCCAGGCCAGGCCTGGCCTGACCGCTGCGCCTGGCTTGTCGAGCCCGCGCTGTCTGCTGCCCTCATCCCATGACGTTGGGGCCAGATGCAGCGCAGCGTAGCGTGCCATGGATGGCCCATGCCCCATCGGACCCTGCAGGTGCCAGCCCGGCCTCGCTCATACCGCCTATGTATGGCCTCCCCCGCCTGCCTGGCCACGCAACGGCACGCACGCGGCCGAACGTGCAGCCTGCCTGGCCCCCAGCGGCATGCGGCATGGCCGGCCGGCCAAACCAAACCTAACGCAAGCACAGTAGTGCAGCGAGATGCTGGCGCAAGCAGGCGGCGTCGGCGGGGCTGGCGCTGGCGCTGGCGTTGTTGGCCTGGCCTGGCCGCTGGTGATGAGCAAAGCGCGATCCTTGATTGGGCGCACGTCCCGTTGGGCCTCGCTCGATGCTGGCTGGCTCCTTATAGCCCTCGACCCCTTGGAGCCCAGCCCTCTCCTTCCACCACCCCCATCGCGTCGATCCGCAACCATCCACCTCTCTCCCTTCGCCCCACCTTAGATGCTCTCGCCCCGGTTCGCGACGGTCCAGGTCTTTGCTCGCCTCTCTACGCAGCTGCTAGTTCGACGTTCACCCCAGGCATCGTTCCCCTCGGTCCGCCTCTTCTCCTACACCTCGTTCGCCATGGGTCAGGAACGCAAGCGTGTGGCCTCGGCCAAGGACGTCAGCGTCGGAAAGATGAAGGAGTTCGTCTTCGCCGGCGAGGGTGATGACGCCGTCAAGGTCCTCGTCTCCAACGTCGGCGGCACCCTCCACGCCACCTCGGCCAAGTGCACCCACTATGGCGCGCCCCTCGCCAACGGCGTCCTCACCGGCGACGGCAGGATCATCTGCCCCTGGCACGGTGCCTGCTTCCATGCCAAGAACGGCGACATCGAGGACGCCCCCGCGCTCGACAGCCTCCTCAGCCTCCAGTGCGAGGTCGAGGGCGACGACCTCTTTGTCACGGCCGACGCCGAAAAGCTCAAGGGCAAGCCCGGCGTGGCTCCCAGCTGCAAGGGCGGCGCTCAGAGCGTCAAGCAGGGCAAGGGCGTCGTCATCGTCGGTGGAGGCGCCGGCGCGATCAATTGCGTCGAGGAGCTCCGCAAGGTTTGTACCATCTCGCGCTGCCCCGAACCGCTGGTCCGGCGGCCTGAAGCGATCGCCCGCTAACTATCGGCCCCCGTGCGCGTCCAACTCTTCCCTTCCGTCCTCGCAGAACGGCCACCTCGGATCAATCACCATCATTTCGCCCGAAGAGGCCATCATCGACAGGACCAAGCTGAGCAAGGCGCTCATCGCCGACGCCGACAAGGTTGCGTGGCGCAGCAAGTCGCACCTCAACAACGTCCTCGGCGTCCAGCTGCAGAACGCCACCGTCACCTCGGTCGACACAAAGGCCCAGTCGGTCACGCTCGACAACGGCTCCAAGGTCGAGTACGAGTCGCTCGTCCTCGCCACCGGAGGCACGCCCAAGAGGCTGCCGATCGATGGCGCTAAGCTGCCCAATGTCCTCGTCCTGCGCCAGCTGCCCGACACCAAGGCCATCAACGCCGCCGTCGGCAACGAGGATGGCGACGAGTCCAAGCGGAAGAACGTCGTCGTGATCGGGTCGAGCTTCATCGGCATGGAGGGCGCCATCGCCCTGACGAAGCGCGCCAAGGTCACCGTCGTCGGCATGGAGGAGTTCCCGCTGGAGAACGTGCTGGGTGCCGAGGTCGGCAAGGGCCTGATGAAGGCCCAGGAAAAGAACGGCCTCAAGTTTGAGATGAAGGCCTCGGTCTCGCATATCGAGGGCGACGAGGGCAAGGGCCCCAAGGCCGTCGTTATCAAGAACTCGTCTGGCCAGCAGGTGTCGCTGCCCGCCGACGTCGTCATCCTCGGTGTCGGCGTCAGCCCCGAGACCCGCTACCTCAAAGACTCGGGCTTCCAGCTGGAAAAGGACGGAGGCATTGCCGTCGACTCGAAGCTCCGCGTCCCGGGCCACCAGAACGTCTTTGCCATCGGCGACATCGCCGCTTACCCGACCTCTGGCTCGCCGCACCAGAGAATCGAGCACTGGAACGTCGCCTCCAACCACGGCCGCGCCGTTGCCAGAACCCTGTCGGGCGTCGAGACCGACTTTACCAAGACGCCCATCTTCTGGTCGGCGCTGGGCTCGCAGCTGCGCTACTGCGGTAGCGGCGGTCCCAAGCACGACACCATCTACGTCGACGGCAACCCCGAGGAGCTCAAGTTTGCGGCCTACTATGCCAAGGGCAACGATGTGGTGGCGGTGGCCACGATGGGCGTCGACCCGCTCATGGTGCAGTGCAGCGAGCTGCTCCGCATCAAGGCCATGCCCTCGCTCTCCGACATTAAGGGCGGCAGGGACCCGCTCAGCATCGACCTGTCTGCTCTCCCGGCAAAGATCTAGGTGCGAGCTCGTGACGGACGGCGTACCGTGTGTACCTACCAACCGATTCGCGCCCTTCCCTCGATAAAACAGTCTCCATCCAGTTTGTCTCGTGTGCCTGACGGTCTCTCGGGCTGTGGCGTTGTGTGGGCGAGCCTGAGCCGGCTGAATTGCTTGTCCGGGGCCCATCGTCGACCCCACGTACGAGCAGGCGCAGCAGGAGCATGAACTAGAGCAGCAGTAGGAGCAGCCTGCACCTGCGGCGAGCGTATGCACGTGCATTGATGTCCGATGGCTGCGTCGGCCCTAAGATCGAAGCCGTCGGACAATGCGCGATGGGTCCAGGGTGAGTCCGAACAAAGCCAGGCTCAAGCCCAACCCCTAAGTCCGATGCTAAGCCTCGTCGGGACAAGACGGGCATCGGCAGCCTGTCTTCCAACGGAAGCTGCGATCCGAGAGGGCCAGCGAGCACCTCGACCGCCGCATCCGCGGGCAACGACGCCGTTCAGCACCGCACCGCACACACAACCTCGGCGTTGGTCGCACGGCCGCCATGAAGCGAAGTGGCCGCTCGAGCTCGGGGAAGAAGAAACGAGTTCGCCGCACGGCTGTCTGGCTTCGTCTAGGCGCTTCGAGCGCCGCTCGTCTGCCCTTGTTCGATGGGCCGCCGTCGCCGCAGCTCCAGCTCCAGCCTCGTGTGGATGATATGCCTATGGTGGGTGCTGGGGTCGGATCAAGGGCTGACAATGGGGTGGCTGTGCCGCGTGTGCTAGGTACCTTCGGGCAACCCACGCAATCTGATTAACCAATTTGTACGTACGGCGGTCGCGCCCATTGGCTGTTTATCGTATGTACCGATATGTCTGTGATATCGAAGCCAAGGCTTGGTCCGCGGTGGACGTCCTGTCTGACGGTACTGAAGCATGAAAGATCCTGGCTGGGACCGATCAGGGAGAACAGTAGGTAAAGGCAGGCTGGCAGGGAGGTTCGGGAAGGCGTCCCCGCTCGCTCGACCTGCTTCTTTTTTTGGCTCGACTCCGAGGAGCAGCCCGGAAGAAGGCTTCCGGGATGCGAAACACGAGATCGGACCAGAGTCACAGCATCTCGTCAAGGCGAGGCCATAGGGGAGCGTCCAGGCCCTCGACGTACACCCGCCGACCGCGCACGGCGCGTACCCGGCCTCTTCACCCTTCTGTGCCTGGTGGTATGGTACCTACGTACCACGTACGCCGTCGTCGCCAAGTCAGTCGCCGACTCCGCTCATGACGTCGGCTGCCGTGCCTGTGTGCGGGAGGCGCAAAGATGGCTGTGCCGCCGTGGCTCCCATATTTGCTCCCCCTCGTTGCCATTCGCCGACAAGCTGCGACTGCGATGCAAGCCACACCCCGCCCCGCCTGCTAATCGCCGCGGTCACGACATATCCATCCAGTCCGCAGTGCTGCGAACAGGCAACGGGGTGTGCCTCTTCATGAGGCGCACGGCGGGTCGAGCCCCGTCCGTCTGTCTGGTGCTGCTTTGTCGCCGCTGCCATGGCCGCTGCCGCGCCTCTATTCAGCCAGGACTCTACCTACATATCTGCAACTGGCATCCATTCTCTTGCCTTGCTCTGCTGCCTCGAGTCACGCTTGTCGTGCCACACCTCGACCGACGCTCGGCCGTGACCAGGCCAGGACTGGGGGGCCAGGGCCATGCATGCTATTCGAATCGTCAGTTCGCCCCCCCCACTCCCGATTCACATGGATCGTTGCCGCCGCCTGCCTCACGTACGAGGCGCTCACCGCCTCAGACCAGCGTCACGTACGGTTGTATGTGACTGGTAGTGCCATCTCCTTCTAATGGTCCCCTGCATCAGGAGCGGGTGGGCCTACGCACGGTTCGCCGTATGAGAGAGAGGTGAATGGCCGACTCGCTGGTTGTCGCTTGGGATGCATGCACTTGATTGCTTTCCGTTGGATTCTAGATCCTCTCCTTGTTTCCCACTCTTCCGATCCACCTCGGTGCGCGCTCGCTGTGCTGTTGTCGCTGTGAAAGCCGAGGCTCTTGCTCGGGCGCAGCGAGGGCCGCGTCCATTGCCCATCAGCCCTCCTCGATTCGGGACACCGAGGGTCTGAGACCGTGGTGCTACACGCCGATTCCGCACCCACCCTGTACAGCGACGGAGTAGGTAGTACGTAGGCAGACGGGCGGCGATGGGCCTCACACTCTAGCGGTAGGAGCATTTATTGCGGGCGGGCAGGCCGGCAGACGCTCGGTCGGTCGGAACAGGAGGTCTAGCGGGGAAGCGAGGGCGGACAAGCAGCAGCCTTAATGCCTGCCTGAGTGCCTGCCTGCCTCTGTTCTGGCAAAATCCCCGTCGGCCAGCGGCACTGCGGGGCGGACAAAGCTGCCTTGTTCTTGCGTGCGCTGCTTTGCCTTCCGTTGGCAGCCCAGTCACACAAGCGGTTGCTTTTTGCCTGGCTGCCCTTGCCCTGCCCTGCCTTGCCCTTACCCTTGCCCGCCGCCGAATTGTCTGCTCCACTGTACTTCCGGGCCCCTCATTCCACCTCCTCCCTCGATGCCCACTGCCGCCCTGCCTCTTCCTTGGCCTCAGCAACACCACCACCACCACCACGCCCCAAGCATCGCCACGGCCGCCACCAGCACATCCGTCACCATCATCCTGCCCGCTCAGCCCCCGGCTCTTTGTCTCCATTCGTCGACACGCGCGGCGGCAACCTCTCCACTCGGCACTGGCTTGGACCGTTGCTTAGCCCCGAAACCTATTCGATTTCCAGCGGAGTTAGCAGCTCACACCGTCGTGCCCGCACACCTCGCTCCCCATCCGCCTACTTATCGACACACTGCCACCACTGTTTTCCACGCCATCCACCGTCCACCAACACCGTCCACACGCTGAGGATCTCGACACCCGCACCCACTACCACAAGGTCGACAAACGACCGAGGCTAGCTACCGTCATCTCCCTTCCCCCCGGCAACTCCAGTTCGGCAGCAGCTAGCAACTCTGTACTTCGACCTCAACACGGGCGCCGCAGCTCAACGACGCAGTTGTGGCTGGACGCCATCTCGACTCTCTTTCCTCACAGCCTTGCGCAGCCCTCGACGTCGACAGCGGCTTCAGCAGCGGCTTCAGCAGCGGCTTCAGCAGCAAGACGTCGTCGCGATGCAGCGGGCCATGGCGCAGCCTGGGTACGCCGCGGACCAGCCTGGATCAATGACGGGACCATTGCCATCCAAGGCCGGGTCCTTTGATATGCAAGATCCCTCGACGGCCAACCACAACGAAGAGGACGGCGACGGCGGCGGAAAGAGGCGCCGTGTCCAGAGAGCGTGCGATGTGAGTGACCTGGCATGGAAACCATTGTCTCGCAGCCGTTACAGCGCGGTCTTCGCTTGCAGAGGGATGCTCATCTCCGGCCTGCGCGTCTCGGCTTGTCAAAATGTCACCCTTGGCCGGTGCTTCCACTTCAACAGACGTGTAGGAAGAAGAAGGTGCGGTGCGATGGTCTCCAGCCGGACAAGGGGGCATGTTCGAACTGGTGAGCGCAGCGACTTCGGCACTGGTGGCCCTTGCAGGCAGGTCCGTCGAATTTTTTTCCCCTTCCCGAGCTGACATCCCGCTTCCGATACCTTCGACCATGCAGCGCCAACTGCGGCCTGGAATGCACCTTTGTCGACGCGGCGAGGCGCAGGGCACCGCCGAGGAGGTGAGTGGCGCGGAGGAGACAGACCTGACCCGGACCCACTATGCGAGGCACATCTTCACTTGGGACTGACTTGCCGCGCAACTCCCGCACTTGGACCGTCCCGACGTGACTTCCGCAGCTACGTCGAGGCGATAGAAGCACGACTTCTGCGCATGGAGAAGCTGCTCTCTCAGCTCGCCCCTGGCGTCGACTTCTCAGAGCAGATCGGCAAGCCGGTCCGACGGCCCGACGACAAGGGCGAAGGCGGCGACGCCTTGGCCGAGCTAGAGCACCAAGACCCCAACTCAAGCCTGCTTCAGACGTCCCTGGACCTCCGCGACTCACCGCGCTCATCGCCGCAGCGCGCCCCCTCCGACTGCCCGATGTATCACCTTATGGCTACTTCGCACAAGAAGGCAAGGAGCGGAGACCCGAATGCGAGCCCCGGTGATTGGACCGATGACGACGAGGACGACGACGTGGGCTTTCTCGAGACGGCCATGGAGACTGTCGGCATTGCCGACGCCAATGGACGCTCCAAGGGTGTTATCCAAGAGCGACCGCACTTTGGCAAGCACGAAGAGCCTGGCTCGGTCACCACCCTCCTCCGCAACACTGCACGCCAACCCTCGCAGGGGCCCGACGGCCCCAAGGTGCACCGCTTCATGGGCAAGGCCAGCAGCATCCATGTCCTCCCGATGCTCGACAAAATCTTCCCGAAGCACGAGGAGAAGGAGTCGGCCCCCGTCAACCAGAAGCGGGCCGCCTTCTGGACCTACCCGGATGGATTCTTCGACGACACCCCCAGCTCGGCAGGGCTCGACGAGGTCTGGCCGGAGCCGGACCTGGCCGACGCGCTCATCGACATCTTTTTCGAGCGTGTCAATCGCTACATGCCCATCATCAACGAGGCCCAGTTCCGGCACGAGTACACCTCGCAGCCCGAGCTGCGCGACGACTACGAATGGACGCGCGTGGCCCTCGGCATCTTCATGGTCGGGAGCCTGCACCTTCAGGATCCGAGGACGCTTTACACGCCCGACCAGCCGTTCAGCCAGGGGCTCAAGATCTGGTCGTTTATCAAGACCTCGTTCTGCATCCAGAGCCCCGTCAAGGTGCCGGTCCGGGAGCTGCAACTCCTGATGCTCTGCACGCTGTTCCAGCTGAGCTGCGACTTCCCCGCCACCACCAGCTGGACCTTGCTTGGCGTCACGATCCGCCTGCTGCAGGAGTATGGCGTGCACAGGAGAATGACGCCCAGGATGGTGGGTCTGTCGCGGCTCGAAGCCGAGACGCTCAGGCGGCTCTTCTGGATCTGCTACAGCTGGGATCGCGAGATGAGCTCGCATATGGGGAGGCCCGTGATGCTCAACGACGATGACATCGACACCGAGCTGCCGCTCGAGGTCGATGACGAGTACATCTTCGCCGCGGGCAACGAGGGTCCGCCTCCGACGCAGCCGCCGGGCAAGCCTGCCACCATCAGTGCCTTTGTCTGCAGCCTCCGCCTTGAAGAGATCCTCGGCAGGACGCTGCGCTCGGTGTACGCCATCCCGGCCACCAAGTCGCGGTATGGCTTCATGGGCAAGGAGTGGGACCAGCGCATCGTTGCCGAGGTCGACTCGGCACTCAACAACTGGCTCGAGACGGTGCCGGCCCACTTGCGGTATAGCCCCAACCTCGACAACGACACCTGGCTGATCCAGTCGTCGATGCTCTACATCCGCTACTACCACTGCCAGGTGAGTCGGCCGCCGACGAGATCCCGAGACGGGAAACGGGCGCCGAGCACCGATTGAGGCCAAGTTGCTAACCCTCCTTCCGCGCTCGCCCGCACTGGTTCCCAACCACCACCTTGAACAGATTCTGGTACATCGCCCTTTCATCTTTGGCGACAAGTCGAGGTCCTCGTTCAACTTCCCTTCGCTGGCCATCTGCACGAACGCCGCCCGCAGCATCAGCCATGTCGTCGACAACCTCAAGGCGCGCGGGCTCGACAACATTGCCGGCACGCAGATCGCGGCCAGGACAGGTACGGCAGCGTCGATCCTCCTCCTCGTCGTGCGGGGTGCCAAGATCAGCGGCGGGCGTATGTCGACTTCGGCCATGAACGACCTTCGCCGCTCGGTGGCTGTTCTGAGGCATATGGAGACGCAGTGGCGTGCGTGCGGCAAGTTCGCCGACATCCTCGACTCCCTCATCAACATGTGCCAGCTACCTGTGCCGGCCGAGGTGCAGCCACAAGGTCAAAAGCGCCAGCACGACGAGCCCAACGGACAAAGCGATCTGCCGCGCGATCCCCTCGACAACCGTGCCAGCGATGCCGCGTACGCTGCCTCCGGCTTTGGGATGGCAAACGGCGGCCAGGTTTCGGGCGGGTCCAACCCCATCGCGACCAGGTCGAGCAACATTTCGGCCGTCCAGCTCCCCCTTTCGACGTATCAGCTGGCCTTCACCAGCATGAACTCCTCGGCGGAACCCTCGCCTGCCGGTGACCAGAACACGCCGAGCCCGGATGCGACCAACTCAACGTCGTACTCGGACCCCTCGCTTCGACCCAATGCCCCTGCCGTCTTTCCTCGCTTCGGCGGCCCAGGCCAGCCGGTTGGCATGGGCCTCGGTGGCGACGATTTCGTCAATGACCCGGCCCAGATGTCCTGGTCCAGCTTCCTCGGCTCGAGCGCCATGGGAGGCAGCCGAAGGGGTTCGTACAGCCTGATGACACCCCTGGGCCTTTCGACGGTACCCGGAGGGCCGAACGCAGTAGCGCCCGACTACTTTCCCGGTGGTCCGCTCGACTTTGGCGGCGGTGCCGAACAGGCGGCCTTCTCTGGCGCGACGCCCTCGATCTTTGACGAGGCCGGTATCAACGGCGGTCCGGGCGGTCCGGGCGGCAGCGGCGCAGGCGGCGAGATTCCCGGCCTGCAGCGCCCGGGCTTCTTGACACAGAAGCCGCCGTCGACGTTCCTCGATGACCTGAGCGTCGACTCGTCTGTCAGCCGCGTACCCCCATCGGCGGCCGGCGATGGCGCCTTCTCCTTTGGAGGCGGTCCGGACAGCTCGTCGATTGCCAACTATGCCTTCGAGATGCTGCAGAAGCAGGATCTGTGGGGCATCAATGACGAGTACTTTGCCCTGCTGCAGCAGCAGGATCTCCAGCAGCAACAGCTGCAACGACAGCAGATGCAGCAACAACCGCAGCACCCGCAGCAGCAGCACCCGCACCCGCACCCGCAGCAGCAGCATCAGCAGCAGCTCTGAGGCCGAGTCCTGCCACCTTGCCGTCCCCAAATGATCGATACCCTTGCCGCCAGGAAGCGTCAAACGAGGATGGGCCTTCCGCCGCGGGACCGATCCCGTCGCTCGTGCTGGCCCTCCTCGTTCCTCGGATTTCTGCCGATTACCGCTCACCCGGTCGTCGCGCCGCTACCTTTGCCCACGCCGTCGCTGCCGATGCCGTGCCACCTGCTACCCTATATCGCCCTGCCCCCGATCGCGCCCCGGGATCCCCAGCCCCAGCCGCCTCGTATGCCCCTTTTTGCCTTTCCCATTCTAGTCCCGACCCTTGCCTCTCCGTGTAATCGCATCGACCCGTCACCGAATCACGCACGAGTCCGCGACTCGGGCGCCTGCCCGCTCGTGCCCGCGCGAGTCGGCTAGATGACGAAGACGCGCGTCCGCCTCAGCCCACCCGTGCCGCCTGCGCCTCTCATGCCGCTGACCAGGGCGGCGCGGCCACGTTGGAGCTTGGCAAACGCCTCGTGGATGTGCGCTGGCTTGAGCGGCTTCTCGACCGTGGGGCGCAGCGTAAACAGGCCGCAGAGCTCCGTCTGCTCCGGATCGTCTTCGTCTTGCTTGGACGCTTGAGCCTGCTGCTGCTGCTGCTGCTGCTGCTGCTGGTGCTGGTCGATGATGCTGTCGCTCCTCTTGCGCTTGGAGGGTGACGACGATGTCTCCCTCCCCCCTTCCCCAGAGGGCGGCGGCGGCGTCTTTCGTTTCCCCGCGGCGGCCGTCGTCGATTCTCCTGGCCGCGCCGTCTCGGTAGACACGTCAGCCTCGTTGGCCGCTGCGCCCGCATCCTCCTGCTCTGCATGCGCCGTCGAGCCGTGTTGGTGTGTAGCGGCGTGGGACGAGGTGGATGCGCGGTTGCGGCTCCGGTCCTGTTCCTCCAATCCCCGTTTGATGGCCAGCGCGGCGAGGACGAGTTCGCGCACCACCTCGAAGGCGAGGAAGCCGAGGATGTCGATGATGTCGTCGTTGGGCTTGACGTCGAGGTAGGCTCCGGCGTTGATGAACTCGCGGAAGCGCTTTCCTGTGCGAGCAGAACGCGGCAGTGATCGTGTTCGAGTGAGCGCGGACGACGGCGGGCGATGGGTCAGTTAACCTTGCGTGGGCCGCAACGGGAGAAGTTCGGGGACAGCGCGTACCTCTTCGGAAGGTGAAAGAGGCTTGACGGCACTCCGAGTAGTGCACGTACTCTTCCCTCGTCATCCTTCGGGTCGCCTCGTCGGCATCCTGCATCGGTCACGGCACATGCAAGAGGACGTAGGTCAGCGACAGCATCCCCAAGGGCCCCGCAGGTTGATCCAGCAGCTCGACTGCTCACCCTCAGCCGCTGCATGCTATCCTCGTGTGCCTCGATATCATCCTCATCCTCCTCCTCATCCTCGGCGGCTCCATTGGCCGGCCGCAGGAACTCGGAGTAGGCGCTGCTAAAGTCCCAGGGCAGGCGGATCTTCTTCATGGTCGCCTTGACCGGGTTCTCGATGGTGGCATCCTCGGCGAGGCCGTCGACGTCGGCCGCGCCACCGCCGGGCCCGCCCGCAGCGCCGTCGCCGCTGTCCTTTGCGTTCTTCCGCACGTCCTTCCAGGAGAGGTAGGTGCGCAGGCGGTTGATCTTGGCGCGGTCGTAGCGGATGAGGAAGATGAGGTCTTCGGCCGAGAGGTACTTTGATCCGCGGCGCTGGGCCAGTCGCCGCGATTGGATGATCTGTTGGCATGGAGGGATGGGGAGAGATGGACGATCAGCTTGCCTGCATGTGAGGGTCGAGTGGCTGCGAGCACCGCCGCCCTTTTGTTGCTGCTCCGAGGCCCTCACCATCTCGATGGTCTGGTTCCGAACAATGTCTTCGATCAGCTTGGTCACGTCCGGGTGTGGGTCAGTGACGTCTCCGAAGACGAACATCTGCCAGATGAGTGTGGACACGAGGTATCAGCCAGCCATGCTTGCTTAGCCCTGAGCCAAGGAGCAGTCCCTTCTGCTCACCATCTGTGAGATTTCGACTTGGTACTTGTAGTCGAGCGCGGGCGAACCATCGTGCCCGTCTAGGTCGGCGGCAGAGGATGCCGTCGCCGCCGCTGCTGCCGACTTCGATGCCATGCTGCGGTGTATCTCTGTGAGTCGCGGGAGGTGATGCGCTCAGAAGAGCCGACGGTGAAGATGGAGGATGGCGTGCGGGTGATCCGGTCGAGGTGGAAGAGGAGGAGGTGGGTGGGAGGAGGAAGCGAGAGGTGCGGCGCCGGCCGAGCCCCAACACGCAGGGTCCAACCTCCCTCGGCCCCACCCTCGAACTCCACATTTCGCCATGCACCGCCACCACCACCACCACCACCACCACCACCACTCCTCACATCGCAAACAGGCCAAAGTCACAGGCCAACGTCACATGCCAAGGCAGCAGCAATCAAGTCCTATGCCATTTCGATAAAAGCGGCCCTCCGATGTCATCACAGAGTGGCGCTTGGCGATTCCAGGAGCGGAAGATCGGGACAGCGAGGCAGAACGGGTCGTGACAAAGCAGGACGCTAAGTTTTGAGGTATCGTGAATGGATGCGGCGTCGTGACAGCGGGTCATGAAAGTACTGTGTATGAGTCTGCAAAGCGGAGAAGTCGAGAACGGCCAGAAAGGGGGCGGAAAGAAGGCCGCCTATCAGGCCATGAGGCGCTGGAGGAGCCAGGCAAAGACGACGACGTAGAGCACGACGAGCAGCTTGACCACGGGCCCGGTCAGCGGGGCGCGCCGCCTCTGCCGCGCCCGCCATGCCTCGAGCTCGTCGGCGTCGAGGTTGTCGCGGCCGACGCGGGCGATTACGGCCTCGTAGCCGCGGACGGGAGCGTCCATGGCGTCCCACCACGTCTTTTGCGAGGCGTACTTGACCGCCCGCTGGCCCATGACGGCGCGCGCCTGTCGGTCGAGGATCAGACGCTCGAGGAGCATGCTGTAGGCCTTTGAGCACTGCGCGAACCACGCAGAGTGTGGCGTCATGGCGGCCGCAAAGTCGACGACGCTCGGGATCGGCGTCGGCAGGCCATTGGCCATCTGCTCTCCGCCGGCCACCTTTGCGGTCGGCCTGGAAGGCTTGCCAGTCTCGTCGCCTGCGCCCGTGGACCGTCGCTCGGGCATCATCGGACGCATGCTCGAGGCGACCGAGGATGCGGCCGAGGCGAATTCGTTGATTGCCACGGCCGAGGCCGAAGAGCTGAGCGGGGAAAGCGACTTGGCACCGGGCGTCGGCGGACGGCTATCGGCAGCACCCGAAGTCGAGCCCTTGGCAACGGCGCAGATGTCGAGCAGCAGGCCCGTCTTGCCGTGGCAAACGAGGTTGCTGGTCCCCTCGGCGTGCATGCCGACGACGGGCAGGCCCGAAGCCAACGCCTCGAGGACGACTTGGCCAAACGTCTCGGTGAACGACGGGAAGGCAAACACGCTGGCACTGGCATACATGGCCGCCAGCCGCTTGCCCTTCTGGTGGCCCATGAACGAGGCGTCCAGACTAAGCTTGCTGCAGAGGCGCGTCAGGTCGCCGCGGGCCGGGCCGTCGCCGACGAAGACGAGCTTGGCGTTGGCGCGCACACCGGCGGGGAGCAGTCGGAAGGCCTCGATGAGGAGGCGAAGGTTCTTCTCCCAGCTGATGCGGCCCACGTAGAGGATCACCGTCTTGCTGTCCTTTGGCTCGACCTCGATGCGTCCGGCGGCCGAGGAGCTGTTGTTGATCGAGCTCGTTGCCATGGCGGGCGGCAGCGAGAAGCCTGCAGCGGGCAGATCGGGGATGCCTGCGAGGCTGTCGTAGCTCGGCGGAGGGCTGAGCTCGGGCGATCCTATTGGGCCAGTGGGAGGGGTGCGGATGAAGCTCTCGTCGTCGAGCAACGAAGCGCGGCGCGACCCACCTGCGGAAGTTGGGCCCGCACCGCGCCGGAAGCTCCGGCTTCGGACCACATTGACGCCCAGCTTGCTCGCCAGCTGAGCCAAGGCAGCCTCGTCGTAGGGGCTGCCAGCAGCCACGTCCGCCGCCGACACGCTGGGACTCAGCGGCTGGGTCAGCGACGCCGGCTTGGGCGTGCAGCCCCAACTCTCGCGCAGGTTCTCGTCACGAGCCTGAGGCTGTTGGTGGCGGAACGACGAGATGGCGGTCACGGTGGATTGATCACGTCAGCGCGTGCTTCGGGCAACCCTTCGGGCCTTCCAGTGAGGGAACTACTGCCGGCTACTCACGTTGAAGAGCTCGGTGTCGACGCCGCGACTCCAGATCTCGACATTCGAGAAGCCCTTGCCCTGCAGCATCCTACGAGTGCTCTCGCTGGGGCAGAAGACCATCTCGCAGCGATCGTGCAGGCTGCGAGTGAGGCGCCACATGGAGTTTTCGAGCCAGGGGATGCCGAAGAGGGTGGCGTAGGTTGGCAGGTTGGTGTGGTACGACGAGACGCACGGCACCTCGGGTAGCCACTTTTGCACCACGGGCAGCATCTGGGCGCCCAGCCAGATGGGATCGACAAAGTGGATGACGTCCGGCTTGAACTGCTGCAGCCTCCGAACGAACCTGGGCCGCATGAAGTTGAGCTTGAGACCAGGGTAGACGATCAAGGGGACGCCAAAGGTGCCCACGACGGGGTGGCCCGCGTACGAGGTCTGACGGCGCGAGATGAGTAAGAAGAGGAGGTCCGCGATGTCGTCGAAAGTCAGCTCAGATGACGAGGCCAAGGAGCCATAGACGGAATGTGACGCTCACGAGCCCAGTCTCCGGCCCCAGCACCATGGCTTCGTGTCCCTCGGCGTTGAGATGCTCGAGCAGGCGCGCCAGCGTCCGGGTGACGCCATCGACCTTGGGCAGGAAGTTCTCTGTGACGGGCGTTAGACTGCGTCGTCAGCTGGTCGCTCGAGGCCGTGCTACGTTGCCGTCGCGCCACGCGGTCCTCACCAGTGATGATGGCGACCCGGAGCTTCTTCCTCTTCTCATCGCGAGGGTAGATGTCGGCGGCCCGCCGGATCGACTGCGCGGTAGCTGTCATGTCGAGAGTCTGTAGCGTGGAGTTGTCTTTGCCGCAGCGTTGATGAACAGCTCGAGAACAACGAAGATGACCTTGGACGGGAGGACGGGTGTGGGCGCAAAGGAAGAAGGTGTGTGGCTCGAAAGCTGGTGAGCACGACCAGAGGGGTCGATGTTGATGTGGCAACGGCCTACAAAGGACCTGCCTCGGTGTTGGGCCTCGGTGGCGGGACGGGCGCAGGAATGCCTAGCTGAACGGCGGGCATCAAAAGATGGGCGGGGTGCAGAGGGACATGAAGGCTTCGTCCGGCGTCGACAGGTACATGCTTCGGTGGGGAGGACGGCAAAGGGTCCATAAGCGAGCACCCGTGCCCTCACGGCACGTCGCTATACAAGCACACCGTACCCCCGGCGAGGATCCTCGGTGGCTCTACTTGCTTGTGGCCGGTCTGTCACTGCGGGTATCTACCGCCGGGTCAGAGGCAGAGGCACCGGAAGGCAGAGGCAGACAAGGTCGTGTCGACGTGCGGAGGGTGTGGCATGAGGGGGTTGGCATTGCGTTGCGGAGAGGGAAGGGCACGTCTGGCTAGTGGCGAGGACACGTTCCGGGGTCGACAGCGGAGCGGGGCCGTCGTCAGGGCATGGCGGGATCCGACAGAGGTTTGGGTCGTCGAACGAGAGCTACGCACGGTGCCGGCATGGTGGGGCGACGGAAGGAAGCCGACGAGGTGGCGGGCGGGTGTCACTTTCGAGGCGCTGAGCACGTTCAGCCGGCCTTTCCACCTTCTCCACACACGTGCCACGCCAAATTTCCTCGCCCCGCCTGGCGTGCCCGCTTGGCTTGGGCAGGTCTCTAACCTCTTCTTGCGTCCACCTGTTCCGCCTTCCCGTCGAACCTCCTGCCTCGCCCCCCCCCCCCCCCCTCTGCCACACATCCCGCGCACCATCCATCCGACAGACCGACAGACCGCCAAGGACGCCTGGCCAGTGCGGAAAAGCCGGCGACCAGGACCATGCCCAATCTCGACAGCCTCGTCTCCTTCCCGATCCCGATCGCGGGCGGGTCTGCGCCTTCCTCGACCACCGCATCGTCCTCGCGGACGCCCATCCCGCCCGCGACGTCGCACATCCTCGTCACGGATACGCTCGACTCGCCCGCCTCGTTCGTACTGGTGCACTTTCTGCGTGCCGCCCTCTCCGCCCACCGCTCGTCGAGCCAGAATGCAGCGGCCTCGGCCACAGCCAAGGGCAAGGCTAGGGCGACGGAGAAGCACATCGTCTGGCTTGGCTGCGACGCCAGTGGCCTCGGGCACTGGAAGAACCTCGTGCGCCGTTCCGGCGTCCAGCTCGATGCCGAGATCAGCAAGGGTCGCTTCCGCCACATCGACGCCGCCTCTGCCCTCCTTGCCGACCACACGGAAGATGCTCCCAGCCGGCCCGGTCCCTCTGCGCCGCCTCCGAAGGGCTTAAAGACCCTCTACGACAGCATCGCTGCACAACTGCGGCAGATCCGCCTGCAGAGGCAGCAGGAGTCGCAGGCTCAGGACAGGGTCGGCGATGATGCCGGCGATGCGCAGCTTGCTTGGCAAGCGGAGACTCTGATCGTCATCGACGACCTATCGGCGCTCGCCTGGAGTCTGGAAACGGTCGACAGCCTGGGCAGACCCGTGGACGTGGCTCTGCACGTCGCAAAGTGGATACGGGCGTTGCGCGCGCTGGCTGCCAAGGTGAGTGATCCAAGACGAGTCTTGATCACGCGGAAGATCGATGCGGCAATGAGGATCGCCTGCTAACGGACAACTTGCTCCCGCACCGTCCCCGCAGCACAAGGCATGCCTCCTGACACTGCAGCACGCAGACGCCACCTCGGTCGCCAAGACCTCGTCGTCCTCCAACACGGCTTCGGACGCCATCGACGAGTCCATCTTCCGCTCTCTGTGCAAGACGGCCGACGTGTGGATCGAAGTAAAGGAGCTCGGCAGTGGACGCGCCCGCGACTGCGACGGCGAGATCACCGTGCATCCCCTCGTCCGATCTTCGCTTGCCCCAGATTGGACCCATCAGTCCAACGAGGACCTGAGTGAAGGTTTCGAGGACGGCACGCCGCCGCTGGCCGCTTTTGCCATCGAGACGCCTTGTCCGAGTCGAGCAAAGGCGATGCTCTACCGAATTGCACACGATGGTCAAACGGCGACGTCGGGTGCCTCGGGGACCGGGACCAGCACGGGCAGAGTCCAGCTCTGGGCTCGCGGTACAGGCAGAGGATTCCTCTGAACACGCATCAACCAGCGGCAAAAGCAGCCGGCGACGTCTTCGTTGGTGTCGTGCCTTGTTTGGAGGCCTTCGACGTAGGGTATCATCGCGAGTAGTTTTGCGAGTTCGAGTCGTCCAACCCAGCGGCGTAGACGGGCTCATCGAGCGTCTCAAAGGCGCAGCAGAACGTCTGGTCCGACGCGATGAGGATCTTCTGCCCGTCGGGCGACCATCGCACGTCGCTGGCCCGGAAGTCGTCTGTTCATCGGCATCGATCATGATTGACCATGACTGCATCAGTGATCGGCGTCTGGGCACTGGACATTTCCTCCGCGCCGCACGGCAACTCACCAGTGGGGATCGGGATGGCTTCTGCCCTCTGTGTGAAGCTTCCGTCGCCGCATGAATCGTCAAGGAGCTCCCAGGTGTACAGCGCCTGGGTGTCGCACACGACGGCGAACTTGCCTCGATGCGCAGGTTTCCAAGCGACCCGCTTGATCGGCATGTTTGTCTGCAGCACCGAGAGCAGTGACGGGCGACTTGGCGCGGAAGCCTCTTCGCTCGAGAACGCATGGACGAAGAGCGTAAAGGGTAGACGCTCTGCATCATTCAGGGCGTTTGGCGCAAGTCAGGTCCAGTCAAGCCAATGTTCTGGCTTGGGCTCAGCCGGCACTCACCGTTGAACGAAGCAATCAGGTGCCCATCGGGGCTCCAGTCCATCCAGCTGATCCCTAGCTTCGGGTTCGGCTTTTCAGTATCGGTGCGAAGCGCGGCGGGCGACAGCGGCAGGCTCGCCATCTCGACTGTGGGCGTGGACACGGAGAGCATCGTGTGGCGTGTCAGCAGCCGGATCCTGTGCGCGCGAAAGGCGCAGATGGGGCCCAGTGTTTTCTTACATGGGGCGATGCCGCGAGCGTGCGTTTCTTCGAGCCAATTCAGAGGTTCACGGAATGCTTGCTGAGGTCCGAGGCAGACGGCGCCCTGAGAAGGTCAGCTAAACAAAGACCCTCGACCTCAGCAAACTCCATCAGTTGAGCAGACTTACCAGACGTCCGTATGCGCTAGTGGCCTCACTCGCACCTTGGCCGCCGATCAGCCGCTTTGAGAGGTCGAACGAGCACGTCTCCGTCCACTCTTGGCTTTCGAGTATGCGGAGCTGTTTTGATTGGTGATCACCTGCCAGTCAGCTGGGACTACGGTGCATAGCGATCAGCCGATGGATCGCACGAAGGCTCACCTGCTCATCGTAGCCTCCGAGAGCAAGATACTTGCCGCTCGGATGCCACCGCACCTCGCGCAGACCTAGACCGCCACCCGCGACGGACATGAGCGCCTCGTCCTCCCTCCGCGCCTTGCCCGCGGAGCCCGACGATGCCGCTGAGGACCGCAGCCTGGCGCCGCCGCTTTGGGAAGCGCCCATGTGTGGCGACGATGTTGCTGGACTTGGATCGAGGGGTGCCCGATGGGACGGTTCGCCCCCCGAGAGAGCTTCGGCGCCGAATGTCGATCGAAGACGGCCCAACGGCGTGTAGACCAGGAGCTTGTACTGCGCAGGCGGGAGGCGGCAGGTTGCGTCAGCCTTTCGGACCGACCGCGGTGATCATGACACGGAAAATCGACTCACTTCTAGCTGGCCCTCCCACACTGCGATATGCAGCCCATCCGGTGACCAGGCTGCATCAGCGCAGTCGTTCGTAGCCAGCGCGAAGGACTGGACATGGGTGAAGACGACCGGCTTTCAGTATCATTCGAGGATCAAGGGCTTGCCGAAGCGAGGGCTAGCCTGGCATTCTACTCACCACGTCGAGCTGCCACTGCTCCTCTGATTTCAAGACGTGGGCGCTCTCCCTCATCTCTGCCGCAGATATCCTCTCGCACTTGAATATGTGGATCTGATCGCGGTCCGCGCCCTTGAGGATCATGGCGAAGCGGTCGGGCCTCTTGGCGGTCCGTATCACTGCAAGAGTGGGGAGCAGGGATCGGCGCGTTCGCATCAGCGAGAACACAGACTGCCGAACGCATCGACGTTCGGGGATGCTCACGCTTGTTCCGCTTGGGGCCCTCGATTGCAGAGATGGTCTGGTCCGGTAGGCTGTAGATGGAAGCGCGCAGCTGGTGCTGGCTGAACATGACGACGCTGCGCGGCCCGACGAGCGGTGTCCATGTGGCGCCGACGAGGCCTTCGGATCCCGAGGCTATCCTTGCGACCCAGCCCTGGTCCTCGTCTGATCCGTCATTGGCCTCCTTGCCCGGATCGAGCGAGACGACATAGACGACGCCGTTGTCCTGTCGATCGGTGGTGGTGACGAGGATGAAGGAGCCGTCCTTTGACCACTCGATGGCGTCGATGTTGGTCTCGAGGTTCCAGCTGCGGATGACTTGGAGCGTGGAGCTGGCCCGCACCAGCAAGGTGCGCGGCAGGTCGCCGCTGACCGAGGCGAGAAAGGTGGAACCGGGAGAGTAGCAGATGCACGCCGCGCTGGCATGCCGGAACGCTGCCGTAAAGTCCATCTGGCGTCGTCGGGCGGTGGAGAAAGTCACGCTCCGGCAGGGGATGCGTGCGGATGTGATCCGAAGCTGGTGCAGTCAGGGGTCGCCTCGATTGGGGCCAGGATGTCGAGGTCAGGTTCGTCGAGGTGCTCAAGGTCGGATGCACCCAGCCGCCACCAGGCGAACCCCAGGGACCAACACGAAACCAGACAAGCGGCGCGTTTCCTCCACCTTAGCTTGACTGTTAGCAGGCCCGGCTTGCCCTCGCCAGGCTAGACGGGCAGCGCGGTCCAGCAGCCAGCAGCTGCCAGGTCCCGCCAACCTCACGTGCCCGGATTCGAAAAAAGGAAGGCCAGAGATAGGCTGGCAGGCTGGGCTGCAGACGCACGCACTTGGCTTGACAGACGGGCATTTCGTCGCCGCCGCCGACCGCAAGTGCCACGCTCGTCACCACCATCACCACTCGCGCTATCGCCGTCCACTCTCCTCCCTACCGTCCGTTTCCAGCGACACGCAAAAGCAAGCTTGCTGCCTTTCTTTCCTCGCTAGCTGCACTCAACCTCATCCATTCGCACACAGACCGACTGCCGGCCACATGTACGCCGACCGCGAAGAGGCTCGTAACGGCCGACCCGGCTCCGGCGGCGCGGGCTACCGTTCTTCTCACACACCTGAGCTGGAGATCGAGAAGATTCCGAGGAAGGAGAATGGCAGCGAGGGCAGGAGCTTCAGCGAGAGGGAGAAGGAGCTGCAAGAGCAGCTGAGGAGGTGAGTTGACGATGATCACCGCGCTCGATAGGCATGCACAGACAGGCTCAGAGGCACTCGACTGACCTTGCGTGCCCCTCTGCCCCGATCCCACACCCCGACAAACACCTGGTCTTGGTCCGACAGGCGAGCTCTGGCATCGCGCGGCCACGCCGATGGATCTGGCAACGAGGCCAGGACCTCGCGCAGCAGGTCACCCGGCTCCAGCCGCCGGTCCGCATCTAGGAGCCGAAGCCGCGAAAGCTACCGCAGCAGGCGAAGCCATACTTCCCGCGCCCACTCTTCGCGCGCCGATGATGATGCAGAGGATCGCCGCAGGCGCAGGCGCGAGGACAGGGATGGCTACGACAGCCGCTCGCGTCGCAGAGAGCGAGACCCGGAGGACGACTACGACGAGGAAGAGGCCGCCCGCGAGAGGCGGCGCAGGCGCAGCGACAGGGAGGATCCCGCTCGGGACCGAGACGTCGACCGCGACTACCGCTCCAGCAGCCGCCGCGGCGATCGCGGCTATGAAGGCTCCAGCAGGTACGATCGCGACCGCAACAGCTCCTACTATGGCGACCGCGACCGCGGACGGTACTACGACCGGGGCGATCGCGACAGGGACGACTATGGCTACGGAAGCCGCCGTGGTCCCATCGATGACGACAGGCGACCGCGTTCGAGGAGGCCGAGCCGCTACGCCAGCCCCGCGCGTTCGGCGCGATCGGGCCGCTCTCACCGCTCGCCCAGCCCTGGCCGCCGGGAGGCCGAAGAGTACGAGGAGCGCTCCGTCTTCTGCTCGCAGCTGGCGGCGCGCCTCACCCAGCGTGACCTCGGCGAATTTTTCGAGGAAAACCTTGGCGAAGGCGCCGTCAAAGACGTCCGGATCGTCATGGACCGTGTCACCCGAAGGAGCCGCGGCGTTGGCTACGTCGAGTTTGCCGACAAGGAGCTTGTCCCCAAGGCGATCGCGCTGTCTGGCAACAGCCTCTACGGCCTTCCAATCCTCGTGCAGAAGACCGACGCTGCGCGCAACCGCGGCGAGCCGAGCGAGTCTGGGCTTCCGCACCGTCCCAACATGCCGCAGCCCAATCCGCTTCCCCAGATTGACCCCGCTATGCTCGCCAACCTGCCGCTGCCCCCGCAGCTGCAGCAGGCGGCCGGCACGGGAAGCCCGATCCACCTCAACTTTGGCAGCTTTGGTGGCGGCAGCGGCGACAGGCGTCCCCGATCGCAGAAGCCTGGCCCGGGCCACCCCAATGCCGCCGCTCGGCTCTACGTCGGCAGCCTGCACTTCAGCCTGACCGACGAGAACATCAAGGCCGTCTTTGAGCCGTTCGGCGAAGTCGAGTACGTTGACCTGCACCGCGAGGCCGACACCGGCAAGAGCAAGGGCTTCGCCTTTGTGCAGTTCAAGGAGCCCGAGGACGCCAAGAAGGCGCTGGAGTCGATGAATGGCTTCGATCTCGCTGGCCGCGCCATCCGCGTCGGTCCGGTCAACGCCAGGGGCTCGGGAGGCGGTCAGCAGCAGGGCTCTGGTGCCGGCGCTGCGACCGGAGCCAACACGGGCCCGCTCGGAGGAGACGCCCAGGGTGGCCACCTGCCGACGCAGACATCGGCCTACGACAACGGCGGTGGAGCGGGCCTCAACCCGGACAAGCGCGCCGCTCTCATGCAGAAGCTCTCTCGCACCGACTCTCCGGCCGAGCCCTCGGCTGAATCCGCCCAGCAGTGAGTCGCCGTGAGATGCCGTTGCTTCTGATGATTTTCCGGCTGTCGCTGACCTCTCTTGGCCCCTTTCGCTTCTCGCACGACCCTACAGGGAAAGGCCTGCTTCGATCCCGCAGGCCACGAGCACCTCGCTGCTGCTCAAGAACATGTTCAATCCAGAGGAGTGAGTCCTCACGCCGCGCTCTGCCGACCCGATTCGACGAAAATGAGCCCCCAGCTGACATCCGCGGCCCATGCATCTTTGCCTCGACCCAATGCGCGTTTGCAGGGAGACGGAGCGAGACTGGGACCTCGAGCTGGCCGAGGACGTCAAGGAGGAATGCCAGAGCAAGTACGGCCCGGTCACGGCCATCCACGTCGAGAAGGAGTCTGCCGGCGAGATCTACATCACCTTTGCCGACACCGACAGCTCCACAAAGGCCATGGTCGGGCTGAATGGTCGGTGGTTCGGCGGCAAGCCCATCAGCGCACAATAGTAAGTTCCTTCTTTCCGCAAGCACACGGCCGTCGATTCGCTCCGGCATCAGCAGCGCTGACGACTCTCGACCCTGTCCATCTCGTCCCACGTTGATCCTCTCTCCGCAGCATCCCCGATGCCTTTGTCAAGGCGAGGCTGGGCTAGATCATCACGCGGACTCTCCTCCCCCACAAAAGACCACCCGAGCGATCGAAACGAGCTCACGCTTTGCGCCACGCGGTCCAGATCCTCAGAGCAGTGCGGCGACCCTCTGAGCAAACCCCTACCCCTCCTGCTTGCATCCTGATCTGCAGACGCATCGACTTTGGATCGACACTACGCTGAAAAAGGGGCAGCAGCGTAGACGACACGGACGCCCAGCAGCTGCAGCGCGCACAAACACCTGATCAACCATCCCCCCCCCAAAAATTGGCTGCCCAGCCGGTGCTGCCGTCACCTGCCGATACGGGGCGGTACGGTCTCCAGTCCGATGCAGCCGACAGACGAGCTCATGCCGCACCTCCCACCCCTTCTCTCTGTCTCTCTGCGCCGCCTTCGCACGCCTCTGCTGCCGTCGCAGTCAGCAAGGCTACCTCTCCGACAGGATGCGTATGCGATCAGTTGGCGATCAGTTGGCGGTCAGTCGGCACGACGATGGCTACGACGTCCTCGTCAGCCTCACGCCCTCACCCCTCGAGGCGCCGCCTGCACCGTCCGGCTCCGCCTCTGCCCTCACACCGTTCCACCCTCCAACATTGCCTCCCCTCTGCATGCATGCCTTCACTCCTCCCATCTCTGTCGAGCCACATCACAGATGCAAGGGTTTTGGCGAGGCGACAACCCCGATCTTGGATCCTGGGGAGATGGCACAAAGATCATGAGGTTGCCATGATGCAGGGTATGTCTTCCTTGGCTCCATTGACGGGGCGAGCAAGCGAGCCAAAGAGAGAACAGGCGTGGTGTGCGCGCTATGTGGCGGCATCGCCCGCCACTCGGAGAGGCGTGGCTGGCGATCGAGCAGGTGTTGAGACGGCCCGACCCTATCTCTTCCCCCTTCTCCTTTGCTCCTCCTCGTCTTCAACATCCCATCCCCTCCCGTCCGCTCCTGCCTCCCCACGTCTGCGACGCTCTTCCCGCGGTCTCGACGCCGCCGACCCTGTCTCGGCCACCTTTTGTCCTCCCTCGTGTAGTATGTCCCTTGTCGCGCCTTTCCCCGAAACCTGATCCCTTGACCTGTTGTTCCGTCCTCGCCGACGAGCTTGAAACGACCTCGCTCGGTCCATCTACGCATCGACATCTACATTTCCTCGTCGTCGTCGTCCAGGAGGTCGTCGATGTCCTCCTCTGGGAAGTCGCCGACAGTCACCTTGTCGGGCTTGACAAAGCTGCCGTGCAGGTTGCGGCAGGCAAAGTAGCGTTCCCCGGCGACGCTGGGTGCATTTTGACAGAGGCAAGCAAGGGATGGCGCCGGGTCATCATCAGCCACGCCCGTCGAGGTTGGGGGAGCGCGCGGGCGGCAGTAGCGGGCAGACTCACGATCCATCGTTCTTGCCCACAGGCTCATCGTACTCGACGCCAACCCAGATGCCAGCTGCGAACTTGGTCGGGCCGACGAATCTGACGGTGCCCCTCCTCCCCGCCGCAGCGCCTCCTGCGAGGTCGACGGCGCACCTCGCGCCCGGCTTGAGCCCGGGGGGGATGGCCTTTTCCTCCTCCTCCTTTGAGGCGATGCTTGCCGCTTCGGCTTTGGGGTCGAACCTGCCGAGCTTGTTGCGCTGCTTGTAGGCGAGCACCGTGTCCCTGCGCTTTGCGTAGGTGTCGTCGTCCATCTCGTACTTTTCCACCAGGCTCTCGTCGGTGTAGGTCTGGACGAGCTCCTTTGGCCGCGTGTCGAGCACCTTTATCGCCCAGTTTTCCTCGACGCCGAGGTCGAGAAGCGACTGCGCCTCCTGCGGCGATCCGGCGGGGACGTGGAGGTACAGCCGCGATGGCGATGTGGCATCGTCGGTGCGCGACGTGTGAATCTCGAGGATCTGGTTCGAGGGCGGGACGCCGACGATGGGCTCGAGGCGGTGCTTGAGGTCGTGCAGCGGGATGCTCGATGGCAGCCTCCGCTCCGAGGATACGAGCGTCGAGGGCGCGTGGATGAAGAGGTTGAGGACCGACATGGCGGGCCGGGCGTGGTCAAAGAAGATGGGACGGCTAGGTGGTAGTGGTGGCGGCAAGAGAGCAACACCACTTCTCTCTTCTGGTGCGCAAGCGTTTCCCGGTCGGGTCTCGGCGGAGGGCGGTGCAGGCAGGCCTGCAGGCCGTGCGCGGCGAGTCTTCGTACTTCCTTCGCTTCCCGCCAACCTCCACACCCGTTTGCTCCAAGGGCCTGGCACCCGACGGCGATGGCGTAGCCGGCAAAGGAGGCCGACTGTCGAGCACCCGAGAGTGTCGCCCGTTCTGCTTGTCTTCGCCACCATCCCTTCCCTCGGAACCTCGCACGCTGCCTCACACATTCCCACAACATGCCTGGCTCCAACAACGACGAGTACTCGGTGCACCTCTGCACCTCGGCCGCCCAGCTGCGACAGGCCCACCGCGTCCGCTGCGAGGTCTTTGTCACCGAGCAGGGCTACGGCCTCGAAGAGGAGGTCGACCAGTGAGTCCTGGCGCGGTACATCTGCGCCAGCGTAATGCAGCCGCGGTCGTCTTGGCTGACATCTCCGCTCCTCTTCCTCGCCCGCAGGTACGACCCGGTCTCGGCCCACTTTGTTCTCGTGCACAAGGGCGACCCCAGCAACGCGGTCGGCGTCGTCCGGCTGGTACCTTACCCCCTGCCCATCCCCAAGCAGGATCCCGACGGTGTCGAGCCCAACTCCAAGGACTTTCCTCTGGGAGGAAGCCAGAGCGAGTCGTCGACCGCATCGCATTTTGTCTCTGCCGTCTTTGGAACCAACTCGTCACAAAGGGACGCCGCCCACGACCCGACCCTGACCGATGCGGAGGAGAAGCGGACCGAGGACCTGATCCCCAACCTCGGAGGCGCAAAGCTCGGCCGTCTAGCCGTGCTCAAGGAGGCGCGCGGTAAGGGGCTGGCCCAGCGCCTGGTCAGGGAGGCCGAGGCTTGGCTGATCAATGTCATCGCGCACCACACCGGCGAGAGGGAGGGCGCCTTCGGCCCGCCCGACCACGACAACCAGACAAAGGGCGACTCGCTCGGCAAACATCAGAAGGTGCAGAGCATCCTGATCAAGATCAGCAGCCAGGAGTACATCCAGCAGCTCTACAAGAAGTGAGTGCATGCTACGCCCGGCCGCCAGGCTGTCGAGCGAGCGCCTTCTCTGACCCCCCGTCTCGGGTTCCCTCGTTACCTCCCCGTTGCAATCGCGACCGTCACAGGATGGAATACTCTGCTGTCGGCGACGTCTACCTCGAAGAAGGGCAGCCGCACGTCTTGATGTACAAGGAGCTGGTGCTCAACGCCAAGAGCCCGTAGATTTGTCCTAAATTGCGTCGCAGATATGTCGTAGACTCACCGTCCGATTAGCCGAATGCACGGCATGAGAAGAAGTGGCAGAGGCGATGTGGTCTGGAAGACATCGCCGTGATCAGCGGGTATCAACGCCACCATCGCCTCCAACGTAGCGGTGGCCATGTGAAGATGGGAGACTGTGGACGGGCGACTTCATTTTACGCTCGGAAGACGCGTATTGTGCGCCCGAGGCCCGGTCTGCACGCAGCAGCGCGAGATCAACACCTCTCCCTGGCCGCCCTGTCCAGACCCTGCCTAGCCTGCTCCTCCCCCTTGGCCACGCCAGCCAGCTTAGCTTGCTTTGTCCGACGCTCGATTTTCCCTCCCCTTCAGCCTCCGCTTCCGCCTATCCGAACCTAACGGTAAGCCTGGCAGGCCTGGTGATCCCCTCTCGTCACACCATCACATCCTCGGACCGGCCCTTCGCCTTGCGACGCCCCGCCCCGCTACGTCCCGCTACGACAGACGCACCTCGACGACCGCGGCAAAGCGGGCTGAAGCGCGACTACAGCCGCTCCCCTCCTTCTGGATCTTAGACGACCATCGCCCTGCTTGCGGCCTCGCTCCACCTTACGCCAGCTGCCTTTTCGTCGCGCCAGCAGCGTGGCGGCTCCCTCGCCCGAGACTCAATCGACCACCTTGACGACCGGTCATCCGCTCAACACATCACGCACGTTGGCCTCTCCGAGACACCTGGCATGCGAATCGTGAGCGCGCACCGCTGAACCAGGGTCACCCAATAGCCCCTCAGCCCCGCTTCGGCTGCTCCGTCCTCCCAGTCGGCCCGTTCCAGCGACTGGCTGGGCCGCTCGTAACTCGTCTTCACCGACCTTGAGCTCTCTCACCACCACCTGCACCGACCCTCGTGGCGCTCGCCAGCCATGTCGGAGCTGTTCGACTCGCTCAACTTTCCCAGCACCGGCATCACGTCGTCGCAGTCGTCGCAGCCCTCCACGTCGCGGGTATACTGGCATGCCTCTCCCTCTCCAGCCTTTCTCAGCACCCGCACCGGCACGCCGTCCAAGGCTCGCGGCGAGCATAAGTCGCCCACGATACCACCCCTATGCACCCAGGCCTTTCTCGGCGAGCTGAGAAAGGTGTCGGCCGCGGCCACCAGCAGCCACGCCTCATCGTCGCGACCAACCCTCGTCGTCGGCAGTCGGTACGATCCCGCTCTCGGCTCACCCGTCAGTCCGAAAGCCAGGGGCAAGAGGCGGGCCGATCCCGAAGCGCTCACGATAGACGACGACGGCTCCTCCGACGAGGACGGCGACGGTGGCAGCGCCAGAGGCAACCGCCTCTTTCTCGGCGAGATCGACGAATCCAGCCCAGAGACGAGGCGGCGGAGAACCATGGATGCTGGGCATACCGGACGCTTGCGCAAGTCGCCCCTGTCTTCCGCCGACGCCGCCTCGCAGTCCCAACATGCCAGGCAAGGCGGCGAGAGCCTAGACTCGGCGCGGAGAGCGGATGGCGGCCGCGCCAATGGCAATGCCGACGATGCCATTGGGCGAGGGGCTCAAGACCGGCGCTCCGAACCCGCACGAGATGGCTCGAGCAGCTCAGCATCGGCACGGAGGCAGCATCGACGGAGCAGGGGCAGCAGCAAGCGCCACAACCCGAGCGTGTGGGTGCAGGGGCTGGGCATAACAAGGTCCGATAGCCCGCGTTCGCTGCTCGCCCTTCCGCTCGCGGGCGGCGCCCTCGACGAATCAATGGACGGGCCGGTCGCTCCGCAGACAGCTCGGAAGCTGTTTGAGGACCTCAATGCTGTGCTCGACGAGAGCTGCAACGCCATTGTCCAGCCACGCGCTGCCCGACCGCCTCGGGACGAGGCCGAGTCAGCAGCCTCGCAGTCCTGCAGCGCCCCCCTCGCAGTCGGCATCGGCGCTGTCGAGCATGCAAGCAAAGACGTGGTCGATATCGGTAGGCCACACAATGGCGAAGACCCTCATGCGCAGCCTCAAGGGGCGAATCGGACTGGGTTCGCCAGAAGCACGTCGCTGCCGGATCGCACACAAGCCGCGATCGATTCTCGCACAACACATGCCGTAGCGCGACGACCTGGCGGAGAGGGTGACTCCTCGTCAAGCTTGCCAACCACGTTCGGGCCCCGTCGCGTCCTCAGCGCAGTCAAGTCGCACAGCGATGTCTTTGCCAGCGACTACAGCGACGCAGCACACGAGGAGCGGCGCCGGCAGGTCAGCGAGTTCGCTGCAGCCGCCATTGCTCCCGTAGCTCGCTCTATGGACCCGGCAGCACCACGGCCGTTGTCCAGTCGGTCCAATCTCCCGCCCCGAGCACCCAGCATACCTCCAAAAGCCTATGCCAAGACCGGCCTCGGTGTGACGAAAGAAGCGGCCGCGGTCGAGCCGCCCCCGGGCCCGGCGAGAGGGGACGCACGCAACGACAGCCGCCGCAAGCTGGGCACTCGACCTCCGGCCGTGCAGCCGCAACAGCCCATCCTACCATCGACGACCATCGACAGAGAACCTGGGAACGTTGACGCTCGCACAGCCGCCACCGAGATCGTCGACCTCACGATGGACGACGAGTTTCCAGACGTGGACTCGGCCTCTTCGCGCAGCACGTCTCCGCGCAAGTCCCACACCCCTTCACCGACAAAGCAGCGTCAATCGTCTGTTGCGAGCACGACGACGGCACCTGGCCGATCGCGGTCGACGGGCAGCACGACGAGGACGGCGCTGGGGATGGGCAAGATCTCGTCCGCCTGTCTATCGCAGGCCCGCCAACCCGGCCTGCCGCGCTCGTCGCAGAGCGTCCTGGGTTCCCAACGGCCAAAGCGAGCCGTAACGGCTGCGGCCACGTCATCGGTAGCCGGCAGGGTCCTCCAAGCGCCGTCGAGGAGCTCGCCCTCTGCCCCCTTTCGCCCGCCCGCAAAGACGCGTCTCCAGACCGCCGCCGCAGCTGCGGCGGCGGCATCGTCAACGACCTCCAGTACCGGGGCCTCTCGCACGCCGTCTCGAGGCAGCGACGCCACGCTGCAGCCTCGCACAAAGCCCCCGCAGCCGCCGCCGGCGCCGGCCGCTAGCAAGGCCCACATCGGATCGGACGACAGCTTCGGGCTGAGCGATACCGACGACGCGGCCTTTGCCAGCCTGGCTAGCGAGCTTGGCTTCTGAGCGGCGATCGGGCCCCTCGACCTCATCCCTCCACCACGCGCTTGTCTCTCTTTGCCCTCGTATCTGCACTTGTCGCCACCCTTGTGTCTGTCCACCTTCCAGACCTTGTCTACCTTGCATCTCACCATTACCCCCTGATCCGACCCAGGCGCCCTTGCGGCACGGCACGAGATCAAAAGTCGGAAAGCGTCGATTCAGCGTTGATCGGAGCGCAGTAGCAGGCATAGCCAGCGATGATCTGGAAAGCGATCGCAGCCGCGGTGAGGCGAGGGAGGAGGCGGCGCAGCACCAGAAATCTAGGAGAGGTCGGGCTCGTCCTGGATGCCCTTGCGCACCTGCCGGAGGAGGCTGGCCTGCCAGCCGAGGACCTTTTTGGTCCTGTCGTACTCCTGCACCCTCGAGTCGAAGACGGCGAGGTCTCCGGCCTCGGCGGCCTCGAGGAGGCTGTGGAGGAATCGGCCTTCCATCGTGGGCGGGAAGGTGGGATCTTGCTGGGCGTAGTAGCCCATCGCGCGTCCTGCCGCGACGTAGTCCTGCAGACCGTGTGAAGAGGTGGGGACGCCTCGAGGTCAGGTGGGCCCATGATGGAGTGCGTCGGAGGAGGAGGAGGAGGATCAAGGCAAACGTACGGGGATGGCAAGGTAGCAGAGGCCGGCGTTGAGGTAGTAATCCTTGACGCTGTACCGGGTGAGGTTGCTCTCGAGGCTCATGGCGGCCACCTGCTCCCACCTCTCGATGGCCTGCGGGAAGCGTCCGAGGTCGGTGGCGATCTGCGCCGCCTCCCTCCAGCATCCGGACGCCGTCCTGTGCCGTCGTGTTGTCGGCCAGGGCAAGAGGATCCAGCAGAAGAGGACGAGCGTCAGCATGCGACGTCGCAGCGTGAGGCGACGGGGGAGGGCGGCGTGGGAGCGTCGTGACTCACGCCGAGGCGCCTTCCTGCGTGTACCACTGCGCCGCCTGCTCGTAGGCCTCGAGCGCCTTTTCCGGGTCGGCAGCGTCGGTCTTGTAGAGCTCTGCAATGGCTTTTTCTCGGTCGGCCGCCTGGCGGAACCGGCCGCGCTCGATGAGAATCTCTCTTGCCCTGGTGAGTGCGACGACCGCCACTGCAGTTGTCGATGAGTACGGAGAGCGAGCCAACAGGCATGTCAGTGGAAGCCGTTAGAGGAGGGAGAGGGGGAGAGCCCCTTAGCACGCCTAGTTCGCCCCGTTGGCCCCTGAGCCCACTCACGCTCTGGCCTGCTCATCTTGAAGCACTTGTTGGCCTCAAAGAAGGTGTTGGCAGCATAGTCCTTTTCGCCGACCTTGACCTCGGTCTCTGCGGCGCGCATAAAGGCGTTTCCGGCCTCTTCGAAGCGGTTCTGGATGCGGAACTTGTTGGCGGCGGCCTTGAAGAGCTCGACGGCCTCTTCGAGCTTGCTCTGGGCCGACGAGAACCAGCCTCCAGAGGCCGAGGCCTTCTTTTCGGCGTTCTTGAGCAGGTCTTCGGCGCTCGAGGTCGACATGGCGGACGAGTTGCGGCCTGTCAGAAGATGTGACTGGGGGAGAGGGTTGCGAGAGGGTCGTTTGTGCGTCTCTGTGGTGCCGTTCGGTGCGAGAGGGGGTCGAGCTGAAGTTGGAGGGAGAGGAGGCGGCGCCGTCCCCTTGGCACCCTGAAACTCCACTTTGTGGGCCAGCTCGATGGCGGTGCAGCTCCAGGCAGGCCAGTGCGCCCGTCCCTCCTGACCTGGCTCGGAACCGAAAAAGGAGACCTCGAGTTGTCGGGCCCGGGCTGACTTGAAGCCGCTGCCGCCAGGAGGCAAGGTGGAGCCAGGCCCGGCCATCGGGGTCCGCCCGGCAGCTTCCCCGCACGCCACACTGGGCGCGGGCCGCGAACCCCTACTGCTCCTCGGCTCAATCAACCTGCCTGGCCGCCTGGCCCTTTGAACATCGGCGATCTTCAAAGGCTTTCCTCCCCTGCCAGTTGTACCCCTTGCTCCTCCTCACCACCTGGCTTTCCATCTCCCTCTTGCTTCTGCGGCACTCTCATACTCTCGCGCCCGACAGACAGACAGACAGACAGACAGAGACAGGATACTGATCATCACACCCGAGATGCAGCTCACATCACGGCTGTGGGCGCTGCTGGCCTTCTCGACGCTCCTGTCCGCCGGCCATATCGGCGCCCTCCCATCTGCATCTTCCTCCCCGCTCGCCGCCTCGTCCTTCCCGCCGGTCGCCTTGGACGCCAACATTACGCCAAAAGACCTCGAGGTGTACAACCAGGGCTTCGACGAGGACGCCGTCTTCCGCGCCTCTGACCTCGACGACGGAGACGGCACGGGCGACCCAAAGCAGCCCGGTTGGGTCGACCCACGTAAGAATGGCGGCAGCATGCTCGACCTCGTCGGCAACGGCCTACGTGAACCCATCAACGTCATCATCTCGGGCCGCTCTGACCCCCACGTCCTCTCCGACGCCGGCCTAAAGGACTACGTGCGCACCATTGGCTTCTCGTTCGAGTGCCTCAACCTGCACATGGGCAACCTCCAACGGGCCGACCTCGGCGACGGCAAAGGCTGGAGGCCAGAGATGTTCGAGTACCGCGAGACGCAGTGGCCCGGCGCCCCCGGACGCTGGGTGGGCGCGTGCTGGGAGAGCCTGTACGGCGGCAACCACTTCCGCGCCTGGAAACAGAACGGCACCCTGGCCAACACGGGCGCCTGGTTCCTCGCCGTGTCCAAGGAAAAGAACCTCAAGTACCACCACACCATCGACAAGGACGGCTACAACCTCGGCCGCGACCTCCTCGTCGAGGCCGCGCAGCGCGGTGGAAAGTGGCAGAACTGGCGCTGGAAGGCCAACGTCGAGTGGGCCGATGACCTCCTGCAGAAGGGCCGGCGAGGTGAGTGTGTTTGTTCTTGGTCGTCGACGTCGCCGTCTTCTCGGGCCCCCGAGATACCATGAACAGGTGGAGCTGAACGCAGGTGCCACGGGCTCATTCTCCGCCTGGTCCCGCTCTCGACAGGCATCAACCACAACATCCCGCAGGACGGCCGCACCGCCATCTTGACCGTCTACCGGGTGATTGACTCGCCCGTCACGTCTCCGGGACGCTGGCTCGCGCTCTCGTCGTCCTTGAACGCGTTTGCTATGTGGATCACCGAGACGGTCGAAAAGGCCATCCAGGGGCTAGGCCTGGCGCCTGCCTCTCTGTGATCACCGGCTCACGCATGTCGAAACCTGCACGACCCTACTTGACGACTCACGTACGTTTCCGCCGCTCGATGATGCCTGTCTATTCATGCCCGCACCTACATACCGACCCTCGACCCCGCACGCCGCCGCCTCTTCATTCAGTTGTTCTCCCCACCCTGCGCATCCGCCGACCTGTAGATCCAGCCCTCTTCCCGTGCCTCTTGTATCTTTATCGTCCTCCTTCGCCACCTCCTCGCATTGACGACAGCCTCGCCCTACTTCACAGGCCATAAATTGGACGATGTCGCACAGCCTGCTTCAGTGGAGAGAAATGCGGTTTCGACGTGGCAGTCTGGGGGAATCGGGCACGACGGGGGTGCCGGTGGTGGTTCAAGTCGCTCGTAAGCGGGGTAAGGTACAGAAGGAGCAACATTGGAGGATGCGAGACATGCCGGGACAGTGCGAGGTGACGAGAGTGGACCGGAGAGGTATGTAACAGAGGGGATGGGCTGAACTGGGATGGGGGGGAGGGGAATGCTGAAGTGCCCTACGAGGGGTAACAATGTCGAAGAAAAGACGAGGGCGCTGCGTTGCAAGGCCTTGCGCTGGAGTGCACGCCAACGTTTCGGAAGCCATGCTTTTGGAAGAGAAGGCTTAAAGGGTCGCTGCGGTGAACGCTCTACTGGGCCTTGGCTGCCTTGGCGGCGGCGGCATGGGCGGCCTTCTTCTTGTAGGACCTGATGTAGAACGACACAAACAGGTAGATGAGGGGCAGGAGGTAGGTGACGTTGAGGGCGACGGCGAAGGCCTGTCCCGAGGTGGCGACGCACGACACCTTGTTGTCGGCGCCGGCGCTCTGGGTGAGGGAGCGGAGGATGACGGCGGCGGCCTCCTTGGTGTTGGACGCAATGCCGGTGCTCGAGCTGAGGGCGGCGGCGAGCGCGGTGGCGTTGTACGAGGTGCCGTCAAAGGCCGAGGTGCCGAGCGAGGCGGGCGCCTTGCTGGCCAGGTCGTGCTCGGTGGCCGTCACGAGGACGCGGCCGGGCGAGGGCAGCGCACCCTGCGGGTAGGCGAGCGGGTTGTAGCGGATGAAGAGGTAGGCGGCCGCCAGCTGGACGCCGACGACGAGCTGCGTGATCTGGATCGTCGTCATCGAGCGCTTGAGGCCGCCGGTGAAGGGGAGCTTGAGCGCCGTCATCGAGTAGTAGGTGTACATGAGCGAGTGGACGAGCGAGTTGAAGGAGAGGAAGAGGAAGACGGCGCTGGCGCTGTAGCGGTAGGCGGCCCACATGCAGGCCATGGCGCCGGCGTGGTGGTAGCTCTGGAGGTTGCTGACGGGCTTGCCCTTGAGGATCAGGATGACCGAGTCGACGATCTCGTAGTACTTGCTGATGTAGAAGAGCCAGACGTAGAAGCCGAGGCCGGAGCGGCTGGCGTCGTGGATGGGGACGGTGCAGTAGGCGTTGACGAGGCCCTCGGCGCCTCCGGAGAGGACGGACCTGCCAAAGTAGGAGCCGAGGCGCGCGGCGACGTTGACAAACGTCCAGGCGCTGTAGACGGCCAGGAGGATGTTGTGGCCGAGCACGGCCTGGCTAAGGCCGTAGCTGTTCTTGATCAGGTCGGCGGGCTTGGGCTTGTTGGCGCCAAAGCGGCTGTTGGTGGCGTGCGTGGCCACCAGGTAGACGGCGGCTACGGTGATGGGAGTCCAGGCCGAGAGCGAGGCCTGGAAGATCCACTCGGGGACGGCGAGGCCCTCGGGCTTGGCCGGGTAGGGCTGGTCCCGGATGTTCTGCCACGCCGAAAGGCCGGGGATGTCGAGTGCGTAGGGCATGCTGGGTGAAAGGTGCTCAGCGAGAGGGAGGATGGTGTAGGGAGGAGTGCTGCGGGTAAGGTCAGAGGGATTGCCTCGCTGCAACGGCCTCCTATGCCATGGTTAAGTACATTTCGCGTCGGGGAGGGCCACCTCATGACTACTGCTGCGTTTTTTTTTTTTCGCTTTTCCCCCCTTTCCCCGCTCCGCCACATCTTGGTGGCAATCAGGCGGGCGCGAGAGCGGGGCGTAGCGCCGACGAGGTCTTGGCTCGTGACATCTGCCAGATTCCATGTTGCTGGGCGGCCTGGCGGGTGGGGAGGGGGGCCCTCTTGGCCTGCCTGTGCCCGCGCTCGGACGCGCCTGCGTTTCGCATGAGGGTTTGCGCTCTCCCCAAAAAATTTGGGCGCGAGTCGCCGCCGCCGTCTTCGACAGCTGGAGAGAGGCCCGCGCGGGCAGGCCACACGCTGTCTGCACGCGAGCGAGGGCCGGCAAACGCCGCCAGGCCTGGGGCTTCGGTCCGTTCCGAATTCGGGTTCGCCACACGAGCAGGTGGCGCCAAAGTGGGCGATCGGCACTGCATCGGCGGTCACTCATCCTCGACTCGGTTGCCCGATTCGGTCAAAGCGGCGGACGGTGGACTTAGCGAGCCAACGCGACCAGAAGTTTGGGGCGGCTATTCCAGTCGCCGCATCGTCTGGAGGCCTACACGCTGCAGCTCCCTCAGTACGTACGTAGGTACCTAGCCTGCTGCCTGCGTATCACATGTCTAGGACCGAGAGACGGCCCTCGTCGAGCCGGTGTCTGCTCACAACTCAGCTTCGTGGCCAGCAACAGCAGGCTCACCGGCTCGACAGATACCGAGCGCACCGATGAACCGGGACGGCCCGGATCCGTCGGGTTTCCCTGTCTGCTCCGACATGGCGCACTTTCTGGACGTGGTGGAGCGTGTCCAAGGCCGTATAAGCAGGCCTGGGGCCCCCTGTTGCTCTGACAGTCCAGCAAACCCCCTGCCTTCTCCACCCAACGTCTGCGCTCCTACATCACCACCATCACGCGACGACACGTTCCTGCGACGCCGACACGTGGGACCCTTGTGGCGTTCCAGGACGGCGCGTCCACCCCCGACGTATCAATGCCGCGACACGGACGATGATCTTCGAGCATGCGCCACCACTCAGCCAGGCCGCCAAGCCGAGCTTTTTCGATATCCGACTCACTCGCACATCATCACGATCCGCAATGCAGCTGGCCGAGACACTGATGGATTGCGTAGGGACAAACAAAGTACAAGGGGAAACAAGTCGAGGGATGATGGAAACGGACCCTGAGACGTATCATGGTCTGGCGCTCGCTCTGGAGCGGAGCGAAACAGTGAGTAAGCAGGGGCGCGCGAGTACGCGCAGAGACGACCGGAGGCTCGAGGACGGGTGATCCAGGCTCTTGTCTAGCGGAGGCCATTTTGGGACGACACCGTGGCCGACACGGCGGTCTACTGCCTGGTCGAGGTGCCCTCGAGGGTAAAGTCGCGGGCGCTGTCGGGCACACTGAGGACTCGGAGAGAGTTGGTGTGGCCCTGGCCGCCGCGCCAGCCCTGGAGGGCGATGACGGTGTCGCCCTTTTCAATGATGCCGAGCGCGAGCGCCTCGGCGAGGCCGTACTTGATGCGGTTGTCGACATCCTCCTGCCACTTGGAGTTGTTGTCGGGGCGCGGGTGCGGGTAGAGGAAGGGGTAGCAGCCGCGGTAGAGGTGGACGTCGCGTGCCGTGTGCGGGTCGCGGGTGATGGTGAGGATGGGGCAGCTGGGACGGTACTTGCTGACCAGGCGCGCCGTAGTGCCGCTGGTCGACATGAGCAGGATGGCGCCGGCGTGCTGCTCGAGCGAGGCGGCGACGGCGGCCATGGCGATCGTCTCGTTGGTGTCGGTGGGGACCTGGGTGAGGCTGCGCATCTCGTTGAAAAGGGGAGTGTACGAGATGCTCTGCTCGGCGAGGTACGCCGTCTCGGCCATCATCCTGACGGCCTCGACGGGGTAGGCACCCTTGGCCGTCTCGCCGGAGAGCATGACGCAGTCGGCGCCATCGAGGACGGCGTTGGCAACGTCCGACACCTCGGCGCGGGTGGGGCGGTTGTTCACAATCATCGACTCGAGCATCTGGGTGGCGCAGATGACGGGCTTGCCGGCAATGTTGCACTTGGCGATCATCATCTTCTGCGCCATAAAGACCTGGGGCGCGGGGATCTCGATACCGAGGTCACCACGGGCGACCATGATGCCGTCCGACTCCTTGAGGATCTCGTCAAAGTTCTGGACGCCCTGGTGGTTCTCGACCTTGGAGATGATCTTGATGTGGGCACCCTTCTCGCCGAGGATCTCGCGAATAGTGCGGACGTCGCTGCCGCGTCGGATGAACGAGGCAAAGACCATGTCGAGGTCCTGCTCGACGGCAAAGAGGAGGTCCTTGCGGTCCTTGTCCGAGATGGCGGGCAGGTCGACGTCGGTCAGGGGAAGGTTGACACCCTTCTTGGACGAGAGGACGCCGTTGTTGGCGGCGCGGACCTTGACGAGCTTCTCGCTCTCGATGGCGGTAACCTCGAGAGAGAGGATACCGTCGTCGACGTAGATGGTGCGGCCAACCTCGACCTTCTTGGCAAGGTTCGGGTAGTCGATGTAGAGGTATTCGAGGCTGCACTTCTCGGCGTAGGCATCGTCGGTGGTGACGTAGAACTCGTGGCCCATCTGGATCTTCTGGTCCTCGCCGTTGATCATGACGCCAGTTCGCATCTCAGGTCCCTTCTATTGGTTTGAAGAAGCCCGAATCGAGCGGGCAGAAGCCATGAGACACCAAACACCTTGTCAGTGCTTGGTTCCCCTTCGTGGTGATGCAGCCGTCTTCTCCCTCCCCGAACGAAACTCACAGTGTCGAGAGCAATGGCAAGGGGACGGCCGGGGGCCTGGGCGACGACTGCCCGGGCGTTGTCAATGACCGACTGGAAGTACTCGTGCGAACCGTGCGAGGCGTTGAGTCGGACTAGAGGGTGGCGAGAAGCGAAGCAGGCGCATAGCGCGGGCACACAGGGCGAGTCAGGACCCCGTTCCGCTGCGAGTAGCGAACTCGACTGGAAGCAGAGGAAGAGTCTCACCAATGTTCATGCCCGCCTTGCGGAGAGCACCGAGCATCTCGACATTGTTGGTCTTGGGACCAATGGTCGAGATGATCGAGCTGCGATGCGGAGCGTCAAGGTGGTCGGGGACGGGCCAGCTCAATGTCAGTCGACGATGCCCTCCTTCGGGCTAGCAGGTAGCGCCGTAGCAGCTCGATGGCGAGCTCCTCGTCCACATGCTCCTACGGCACTCACGTCTTGCGAAAGAACTTGTTGTCGACGCCGTGCTCGAGAGGGTTGAGCGAGGCGAGCCACTCGAGCTGGGTCTTGGCAATGGGCGAGTAGATCATGTTGGCGGAGAGGCGGGCGGAAGGAGGGTGGTGTTGGTGGTGGGAGTGGTGGTGGTGTGCAGAGACGGGAGGCAGATGAAGTGCGGAGGGAGGTGGTCAGGCCAGAGGAGGGGTGTGCGCAGGGCCCTCGAGCTGGCTCCCAGCCTGGCTCTGCCTCGTAGCCAGCTCGTAGCTATCCTGCCGAATCATGACCGACGGGCGGCCTGGCAGCCGTCGGCCACCTGCCTGCTCGCTGCTCGCTGCTCTGAGCCCAGTTGAGAGAGTTCCGCCGCGCCACACACGCGCGCCCCGCCAGAAGAGAGAAGAGGCAGGGCGGTCAGCCCTGGCCTGCCTGCCTGCCTGCCTGCCTGCCTGCCTGCCTGCCTTCAACTCAAAAAGCAAGAAAGAAAAAAATCTGGCCTGCCGAGAAGAAGCACCGCGGCCCGCTCGCCTCCTACCTGCTTCTCGGCCTGCCCGCCAACGCAGAAAACCCGCAGGCCAGGGTCACCGTGCGCCCACCCAAAATGCAAGCGGGTCGAGGCGAGAGGGAAAAACAAGAGGCCGGCGGAGGGGCCAGCCTGCCAGAAAGATGGCGGCGCGATAAAGTCACCTGCCTCTCTCAACAGGCTACGGCCTTGGGGCCACCGCTCACATCTGATCGACCGCTCCTTGTTCCTTGCCTCAGCACCTGGTCCCTTCGATGAGCTGGACTCTGGACGCCCTACCGACGGTTCAATGGCAATCAGCGGTGCCCCGCGAAAGAGCCGATGACAGCGACAGGCAGCAGAACGGGACTCGAGGGGCAGGCCGAAAAGATGAGAGGTGTGTGTAGCCAAGATCTGCGATAACGAGCGAGGCCGGCAGAACCACGGCTGGAATTCGACTGGCGGCGGGCAGGGTGTAGGAACGCCTGCCACGTTGGCCCTCGGCCATCTTCCCGGCCTCTCTGGGGTCCTTCGTCGCCCCAACCCAAAAGCTCTTTGTCGCCGGTCCGAGTCCCGAGGCAATTGGCGCACGGTCCAGACCCAACCCGCCAGCCGCGTGTCGAGCGGTGGAGGGTCCGGCCATCTGACCTGCTGGCGCCGGCTCCGCAATCCTCGGACTGCGTGCGCAGAGCCGCCCCGGCCTCGCCGTCTACCCACGCCCACCACCTACATCGTCTTCGTTGCGCAGGCCAGCGCCAGCATCACCGATCGTTGCGTGAGCTGCACACCGAACCTCGCCAGCAACAATACCGAGTCGGCAGTCTGTTGCCGCTGACACTGCGAGCGCCGCCAAAATCGGCCAAGGCAACGATCAAGAGCTGAGAGCTGACATGCGGGACGGGCAAGGGCCTTGACACACGGTTGAGGGAGGTCGGCAGAAATTAGCGCCAGGAGGACGGACAAGTCGGGCAACGACGCTCTGTGGTCCGATTGCGAAGTCGCGGCACGCCCCCTACGATGAAAGACGTTGCGATGTTGCGAGGGGTGGCCAGGGCCCGTTGTGTGGGTGGTCGCGATCAGCTAGGGATGGATGGCGGCGAGCTCCTTTCGAGCGCATTCGCCCTGGTCTACGGAGGCGGCATGACGGCGCATTCCACCCGCCTCTCCCTGTCCCTTCATCCTATGTATCGGCTCAGTCGTCGCCTTGAGCGTGTTGTGAAAGCGACGGGGCCGCGCCGAAAGGAGATCGAAAAAGGGGAGTGAAAATCCTCGACCTGCAGGGCGGGAGGAACGGAGGCCCCAATCGGAGGGGCAGCTCGGTCAGCGATCGTCACCAGGCATAGCATGATCACCGGCTTTGTTGTTTGACGCCGCCGTATCGTGTTTCTCAAGGCTCGCTGAAGATTCGAGTCGACGCCTCCGGACAATACGGTGGTGGCTAGCCAGCCGCAGGAGGTCGCCGAAGTGGGTTCGCTTTCCCTCCCGCCCCACCTTCGATGGCTAGGCGCAACCAGGGCAACCGACTCAAGGTGGGTGTGACTCCTGGGCTTCAAGCTGCTGCGATACCAAGGTTATGCTGCGGCTGGGACATCTTAGCGAGAGGGTGAGCACATCTGGCAGGCGACGACTGTTCGGCATGTGGGGAGATCTCTGCGCCACCGCGATCTGGCGTAGCTCAACTCATGTGTGGAAACATCGCCGGATGCAACAGCCGTGGGCTGCGGACCGCTGTCCGCGCTGTCCACCAAGCTGCCCAGGCGGTGCGATGCTATTGGGAGGGCAGCAAGCAAAAACAAAGGTATAAGAAGGGACGGCCTGACTAGCATCATTCTTCGTCTCGACATCTCTCCACTCATCTCACACTCCTTTCCCCGAATCTCACGAGCTAGTCTCTGATCTGCACACGCTCCTTCATCCGCACCGGCTGCCAAAATCTCAACATCTCTCTCACGCAAACGTCAAGATGAAGGCCTCGCTTCCCCTCTCCTCTGGCCTGCTCCTCGTCCTGGTGGCGATCAGCGGCGCCGTCTCTAGCCACGTCAACCGTGGCGTCAACGGTCATGCCGCCCTGCTGCGCAGGGTCGCCAGCAGCGGTGAAAGCACCCAGGCTGGTGGTGCCGGATCGTTCCCGGAATCCGACATGGAGAACTTCCTCGACACGACGGCCTCGCACCTTCAGGGCCAGGTGGGGGCCCAGAACCAGAAGACGGCCCCCAGCACTCAGGGCCTCAACGATGACAAGACCAAGCTGCCTGGCGACCAGAAGACTGACCCTGCCACTCAGCCCGTCAAGGACGGCAAGACCACGCAGCCCGCGGGTAAGAAGACGGGTCCGGACACGCAGCCCGTCACGAACGACAAGACCACCGAGCCCAAGGGCCAGACCAAGGGCTCGACATCGTCCCCCCCGAAGGGTCAGACGGGCTCGCAGGCCCAGAAGGGTGCCGGCATCGTGGACCCGAACGAGAAGCTCGTTTCGCGCTGCCAGGTCGGCACGCCCAAGACGAGCGTCACCAAGGTCAGCTACAACATGACGATCGCCATCGACCAGACCGACAACTCATTCCGCGGCGCCAGGGTCGAGGAGCTGCACGGCATCTCGACAGAGACCACCGACCCGTCCCTCAAGGTGACTGCTGGTGTCCAGGCCAAGAGTGAGTTGCCACTTTGCCTGGGAAAAAAATGGTGGACATCTGGCAGAGTTTCCAGCTACCTTTGTCGAGAATGTGCTGCTGACGCCACGTGCAATCCCACGCCGCCGAACCGTGCAGAGTCGCGTGCGGCCGGACCTGCTGCCCTCCTCGTCGCCAAGAACCAGGACGGCTCGGGACGCTGCGCGAACCGAATTCCCCCGCAGTACCCGATCAAGGACGGCGCCGACAAGGACGACGACAAGAACCACGGCTCTGGCGACAACGACAACGGCTCGGGCGCTATCAAGAAGAGCCCCTCTACGACCAAGAGGGACGTTGGCTCCAAGGCGCAGGCGGCCAAGCGCCAGAACGTCTGCCTCGACTCTGTCGCCAAGGGTCAGACGACGGAGAAGAAGCAGATCGACCGCATGGTCGATGCTAACGGCCACAACGTTGTCCAGGTCAGCCTCGAGAAGACCAAAGACGTTGACGAGTGGAAGCAGACGGTCACTCAGGCAAACGGACAAACAGAGGTGGTAAGTCTCAATTCCATCGCCGACGATGCGGGGCTCAGTGCCGCCTTGGCGAAAGACAGGTACTGACTCTTGCCCTCACTGCCGCTACCGCCGCTACGGTCACCCTGACTTCGCTCTTCGCAGACCACCATGAAGCTCGACGAGCACCTCAAGTACTTCACCGTCGGCCTGTACTGCGCCAACTGCACTGCCGGACAGAAGTACCACCGCGTCACGTTCGAGAACGTCCAATTCTACCTCGAGGAGGACGACACCGACTTCGCCAACTCGCTCAACTGCACGGGCGCCGCCGCCGGCAGCCGCATCCAGCCGAGCACTACCACGACGACGGCCAAGATCGATGGCTACCACGGCAGCTACATGGATGCCAGCAGGAACGGCAAGGGCAACCAGAAGGTCTACGTCCTCGATGCCATCACGCTTGGTGGCTCCGTCGGCCAGGTCACGACCGGTCAGACTGGCGCTGTGGCGCAGGGAGGCAAGACGACCGGTGGAAAGACCGGAAGCGGCAGCCTGGGCTCCAGCGCCTCTGCTAGTAACAAGGTCACCGGTAACGGCGCTGGCACTGGCACTGGCGCTGGCGCTGGCACTGGCACTGGCACTGGCACTGGCGCTGGCACTGGCACTGGCACTGGCACTGGCACTGGCACTGGCACTGGCACTGGCACTGGCGCTGGCACTGGCGCTGGCACGGGCGCTGGCACGGGCGCTGGCACGGGCGCTGGCACTGGCACCAGCACCGGCACTGGCACTGGCGCTGGCAGCGGCACTGGAGCTGGAGCCGGCAGCGGCACCTCCAACACCCCTTAGACCCAGGGCAAGAGCGACGACCCGCAGGCATAGGGCGACGGGCGCGAGCCCGAGGACGGGCAGGCCTCGCGCGCCTGGCCCAATGCGCATTAGGGGCCTGTATCCTCGATGACGGCCCGCTGCAACGGCCGTGCTCGAGCACGTCAACGCGCAGTCATTCGTTGGGCAGAGGCTGGCTGCCGACGCTTCCTCTCGAATGCCTGTTCTCGTCTCACCAAACAATTGTTGCTGTACAGGGGGTATCTGTGCTGCTATGGAACAGGAGAGACTGCAGCTTCTGTGCAAGCAGACGGGAGTGGCTCGAGATATCGATAAAGAGAGTGTGGTAGTTCGCGCGCGCGCCGCGAGAGGGGTATGCAAAAGTCTATGTGCTCGAGCTGGAAAGCGGCGCCTGTCTCGACGCCTCTGATAGAAGCGGAGCCGGGCATGGGATCGGATCGAGGAGTCCTCAAGTTCGGGCAAAGGTGCTCTGGACGCCGTTGTTGATCGAGCCGTTGGGCAGCGTGCTCGGCGTCTTGATGCCCTTGGCGTAGTAGTCGGTGAAAAGACGCTGAAGGGTCACCTTCTTGGTCAGCATGGTCCTGGCGTCGTGGCTGGAGGTGACGTAGCTGGAGGAGTAGGAAGGGCAGCGATGCCAGCGGCGGATATTGCGGTGAGGCAGAATTGGCGTGAGTTCATGTTGCCGAAAGCAGCGATGTTGGAGAGACATGCAGTGGCGTACGGCAGACCGAGATCAACTCACTCGACGGTGTGACGGGAGGGAAAGCCGCCCTTGAACTGTCGAAGGTAGTTGATGTAGCCCGTCGCGCGCTCGTCTGTGTTGCAGAGCACGCACGGCAACAGAAATAGGAGCAGCGCGTCAGTGTCAGTCGATCTGGATACGTGCTGGCCTTGAGCCTCCGCTTCTGGTAGGTTCCCGCCTGGTACGTACAGTGCCCCGAACCTTGCACTTTAGCCTCGCATCCCAGCACGCCTGCGGCGTGGTCCTGGAGGCCGATGCCAAGGTGGACGTTGCGGCTGTTGTACGTCGACTGAGCCGCCCCGATGTCGCCAACGCCGTACGCGCCCAGCCTATCCGAGAGCGCAGCGCTGCCGTAGAGGTAGCGGTTGTACGCCTTGCAAGCCGTGAGGTCCGCCAGAGGCACGGGGCGGTCCTTGCTATAGTAGAGGAAGCTGGCGGCATTGCCCACCCAGAAGTGGAGCTCGGCGCTGGTGCTGGGGCGACCGAAATGGGCGTAGCGCTGCACAAACTGTCCGCCGAGCGAGTGGCCGGAGATGACGACGCGGTCGACGTTTGGGAAGCGCGAGCGGTTCGAGGCCCACGCGACGAGGGCGTCCATGGCTTCAAACGAGCTGACGCCCTGCACGCCGTCCGGGCAGAGGTTCGAGTAGCCCCCCGCCCAGTAGTCGCCCTCGAAGCATAGCCAGTTGCTCGGGTTGCCCTCTGGGATGGCGCCGTTGTTTTTGTCGCCGATGCCCATGAAGAAGGGCGCGATCGAGAGGACGGTCGAGGGGTCGACGCCGAGGCTGCTCTCCGCCTTGGAGCGGGCGGCAGTGTTGTGGTTGTAGTAGTTCCAGGGGTCTCGGCCGTGGCCGTGGACCTGGATGAGGACCGTCTTGATTTTGCTGGCAGTGTAGGAACTGTCCATGAGGGTGAGGATCGAGGCCGACGAGCCTCGCACGGGCACCGTGACCTGCTCGGAGCCGGAAGCTGGCTTGATGGTGCTCCATCCCCACGCCGAGTCGGGGTTGTCGGCTTTGGCTGGGGAAGCCTGGAGGACGAGGACAAGCAGCGCGACGAGCAGCAGAGGGAGGAAGGCGGCGGATCGACGTGGCGACACCATCTTGTCGAAGCTGAGAGGGCTCAGGTAAGGGTTCGACCTGGACGGGAGAGGATGGTGGGGATACCGGCTGGGACGGTGGCTGGAGGGGGGCGACAGCCAGAGCAGACAGCAGAAGCCTCATGGCGGTATATGTAGCCAGGATCTGTGGCCATGGGGGCCTGTCCAGCATCCCGGCCTGCTCGTCTTGTGCGGCGGTCTCGAATGGTATGTACCACCGGCAGCTAACTAGCCAGGCAAGCGGTCGTGCATTGCGGTTTGAGAGCGAGGGGCCTGCTGCTGTGTGGCTAACATGGCCAGAGAGAAGGGGCGCGAGAGATCCTTGCAGAGCTGTCGGGTGCGTGTCCTCGAGGCAAACGCCGGACAGACAAGAGGGGGCAAAGTGGGCAGCGTCGATGGCGGGCGAAGAGATGCAGCACGAACCGCCAACCAGCGTCGATGATCCCGTCGGGGCGAGGAACAAGCAAGCAAGCAAAGAGCAAGGCAGGGTCGAGCCACGCGCCGGTTGGGATGCTTCCATCTGTGCCTCGATCTTCGGTGCGTCCTGCATGCAAGCGCGTGCTTGGATTGACAAACCGCCGCTGAGCCGCTGCGTTGCGCGCTGCCACAGAGAATCCCGTACGTCTCTCTGCCTGGCCAGGCCAGGCCAAGCCAAGCATGAAAGGCTCTGGTTGTACACCGCCGCCTCCTCGGCCAACTGAACGCAGCCCGGCCAGCTGCTCCGTCAAACGCGTGCGTTCCGGCTGCTCACGGACGACGGTGATTCGCTCTGCTGCCTGTCGACGGCTCGTGTAGTCGGTTCGGCCCGCCAGGGACCAGTCCTCGTTCAGCCAGTCTAGCCAGGGCCGGCCCAACTTGGCCTGCCGCCCCGCCCTCACCGCGTCGCTTCGCCGTGGGACTTCAATCCGTAAGCTCAGCGTCCCAGTGAGGCTTGCCGTTCCAGCTGACACAGAGAGATCTTGGCGGGCTAGCCTGCCGTAGCACCGTAGCACATGGTCGGCGGTCCTCGTCTTGATGCGAGCGAGAAGTTGTGCGTGTTGGCTGATGCTGCCGGTCGATCCCGACGAAGCGCCACAGACAAAAGGGACCGGGGCCAGAGGCGAGCTCAAAGTCCAGGCGAGGTCCTGTCGGGACCAACCGACGGCGCACGTCAAAAGGCAGGCCAGAGCAAGGGTTCACAGGGAGAAGTGAGAAATTTCTCCTGGCTCCAGACCCGACTGACTGCCCTTGCTTGCTGCCCGCTCTTGGGGCGGGAAGCGGAGTCTAGAAGTTGTTGCTGCTGAGAGGAGGATCTGGGAGGGCCTCGAGCCAAGAGAAAGGGGCTCTACAGAGAGCGTCACATGGGCGGGCTCCTGCCAGGCACGCAAGTCGACGGCGTCCGCACAGCCCAGCCTAAGACGCCCAGCTTCAACCGCGACTCCGTCCTCCGACGCGAATTGGAGGGCTGGCAAAGTCCCCTCAACGGTACCAACTCCGTGTCGCGCGCCCAAGGCAAAGGGATGAATGGGCAGCGATAGGGCCAACGATAGGTCGGGGGCGAGTCGAGGGGCATGAGGACGAATGCGTGGCGCAATCTCGGCCCGTTGACATGTTGCTCCTTGCCTTCCCGACCCTGCCTCCGTCCCATCGGCTCGTCGATTGTGTATCCGATATCCATCCAGCGGGCGATGGGCCACGCCCACGGCCGTCGGCAACCTGCGACGATGCATGCCGTCTCACGTGCAAGCAAGATAACCTGGATCCGCGATGATCGCCAGGGCATGCCCCGGAACCCTGCAGCAACCAGGCTAGGGCTTCTGTAGTAGTTTCGAAGAAGGCTCGATGCCGGTCCAGCTCTTCCGTAAGCGTGCCCATGCCTTGCCGGCAGGACTGGCCGGACCCGTTCCGATCCCTGCATCGGCCACCAAACAGACGATCATCACGGCCGGAACGTAGCGCAGCATCAGGTCGCCCCGCTTCAACGACGTTCGACGAAGCTGGACGCGGACTTACCCATGGACCGCACTTGCCTTGCGAGCATCATCTTGCGAGAACAATGAGCCAACGCAAGCACAGTGACGGATCCAGCGGCGGAGTCCACAAAGCAACAAAAACAGCGGCAGATGGATGGGATGGCGATCATGACATTGCGACACACCGATGGCCGGGGCATAGTACGTCGTACCGAAGGCCGCTGCCGGCTCTCGAGGGAGCGGGATGTTCAGTTGTACTGCGGTAGGTCGAATCGGGGCAGAGCAAGCAGCAGTCAGCCATCCGTCCGGGCGCGGCACGTGCAACGAGGACCGCAGCAGACTCACCTGGGCGTACAGTGCCGTCGACGAGAACTTGCTTCCCTGCCTGATGACCTTGTCGACAGCGTCGAGGAAGTCGCGCTCCGTCGCCATCTTCCTCCTTGCTCGGATCGCAAACATGCCCGCCTCGGTGGCCACCGAACGCAACTCGGCACCCGTCGCATTCGGGCACAGCCGCGCAATCAGGTGGAAGCGGATGTCGCGCTCCACCGACGTGGATCGCGCGTGGATGCGCAGGATGTGCGCCCGCCCCTCGTTGTCCGGAAGGCCAAACTCGACTCTACGGTCCAGACGTCCCGGTCGGAGCAGCGCCGGGTCCAGCGTATCGGGCCTGTCGAAGATGAGGTGCGTAGCAGCGACGGGGACGCAGACAGGTGGCAGGCGGCGTCAGCTTGGTCTGTGCCACAACGCCACAACGTTCGCCGCCGACATCCACGAGCATGACCTGACCACAGCCGTCATCCACCTGCGGCCATACTCACCTGTTGGTCGCCATCAGCACCTTGATGTTGCCACGGGCGTCGAAGCCGTCGAGCTGGTTGATGAGCTCCAGCATGGTTCGCTGCACCTCGTTGTCGCCTCCCGCGCCGTCGTCGAAGCGGGCACCGCCGATCGCGTCGACCTCGTCAAAGAAGATGATGCAAGCCTTCTTTGTCCTCGCCATCTCGAAGAGCTCGCGCACCATCCTCGCTCCCTCTCCGACATACTTCTGCACCAGCTCCGATCCAATGACTCGGATGAAGGTGGCGTCGGTCCGGTTGGCCACGGCACGGGCGCAGAGCGTCTTTCCGGTACCGGGAGGTCCGAAGAGCAGCACGCCCTTGGGAGGGTCGATGCCGAGGTTGACGAAGCGCTCCGGCGAGAGGAGGGGCGTCTCTACGACCTCCCTGAGCTTCTCGATCTGCTCCTTGCAGCCGCCGACGTCGCCGTACGTGACGTCGGGCTTCTCCTCGACCTGCATCATCGTGACCGAGGGGTCGATCTTGGGAGGCAGCGGGATCTGGATCTGATACTTGTTGCGGTCGACGCCGACCCGCATGCCCTCCTCGATATCTGTCGGCGCAACCCGCTCGCCCAGCGAGACGACAAACTTGGCGATCTGCTTGACGTTGATGACATACTTGTCCTGATCTTCGGCGCTTGGCTGACCTCCCATGCCGCCGAGGCCGCCGAGACCGCCTAGCGCGCCGGCCAGACCGCCGCCACCTCCTGCCCTCGCGCCGCCGCTGGGCGAGCTGTCGTCAGACTCTTGGTTGGCCGACTCGGCCTTGATGATCTTGGTACACCTGGCGACCTGCAGCGGATGCTCCTCGCCCATGCGCTGCTTGTCCATGGGAATGTCCCACAGGTTGGGTGGCGCCAGCCCCGTGTCGCTCTCCTTGACTCCCATCTTTTCATTGACGCGCTTCTGCACCTCCTTGATCTCGTTTTCGATCTTCTTGAGCGCCGCTGCGTAGGGCCCCTGGCCGTACGTCTTCAGCAGCTGGATGTCGCCCTCGTCGAGCGCCACGATCTTTTCCTCATCCTTGGAGTCGACGTCGGGCTTCTTGTACTTTTCCCAGTCGGCCTTCGGCGGCATGATGGGCGAGTGTGGATGTGGTGTTTGTCAGGGAAGGATAGAAGGGTGTCCCTGGTCGTCACAGGGGGCGGTGGCGCGGGAATGGGCCGGGTGGTGCGGTATCAAAGGCGTGAGAAGGAGGCCGCTGGTGCTTGCGCCGTGCGGAGCTTCGACGTAGGCGATGATATGGCTGCTGCACGCAGTGCGACTTCGGTAGCGGTGGTGCTGTGATGAAGGAGGTGTCGGTGGTGGTGGTGGCGGAGGGTGTTGGTTGGGCGCAGCAGCGGGTGTGAAGGTGGAAAGGGCCGCGTCGTCGTTGGAGCCTGGCAGCCTTCGTTGCCCGAGTGCCGTGCCCGCCTCCACCTGTCCGAGTCCTTGAGCCCCGATCACGCGCTGGCCGTTGCCGGTTCAAAGCTGGGCCGCGATTCTCGCACGAGTGGACAGGGGAAAAGGGGCTGACCAGCAGGTAGGTGGCTGGCCAGCCGCGAACGGACCGCCTGCATTAGGCCAGGTCAGGCCAAGCTCAAGAGCGGCTCGCCCCAGAGGCCTGGCCAGGGCTGGGCTGCCAGGAGGGTAATCGAGAGAGAGAAGGGCGAGTCTCCACCCCCGGCCGCCTGCCCCGCCTCCTGAGCAGCGCATCGCCCCACCCGCTGACATCGACGCCGCCGACCACCAGCCCATCGCAACTGCCCACCTCGCACACCGCCTCCTTTCTCCGCCGTCTTTATCGTATCCCGCTGCATCGCTGCTACACGCCAGCGTCGTATCATAGACTTCGTCACATCGAGCAGCACCACCCCTCGGCCACCCCGAACCGGCGACACATCCCGCCCTCTAGCGCCACCTCCGGCCCCTTTCGACCCCAGACGAGATGGCCGGCGCAATGCAGAACGCCAAGAAGGACCTCCCCAAGATCCGCGATGAGGAGCGCGAGGGGAGGTATGGCACTGTCTTTGGCGTCTCCGGACCCGTTGTTGTCGCCGAGAACATGATTGGCTCCAGCATGTACGAGCTGGTCCGCGTCGGTCACGACGAGCTCGTCGGAGAGATTATCCGAATCGACAACGACAAGGTCACCATCCAGGTCTACGAGGAGACGTCCGGTGTCACCGTCGGCGACCCTGTCCTCAGCACGGGCAAGCCGCTCAGCGTCGAGCTCGGTCCGGGCCTGATGGAGAACATTTACGACGGCATCCAGCGGCCACTCGAGGGCATCATGAGGAAGAGCCAGGGCATCTACATTCGTGAGTAGCCGCAGCGAGCGCTGGAAGCGGAACTCGAACCCCGTGGGTCCTTCCTCTTTGTTGATCCCGTCGCCCGCCCGTGCCCGCGATACTCCTATCGACAGCTCGTGGCATCAACACTCAGGCGCTGGACCGAGAGCTGCAGTGGGACTTCACTCCGGCCAACCTCAAGGTCGGCGACCACATCAGCGGAGGAGACATCTTCGGAAGCGTCTACGAGAACGCGCTGCTCAAGGACCACAAGATTATGCTTGGGCCTCGCGCGCTCGGCACCATTACCCACATCGCCGAGAAGGGCTCCTACGCTGTCGACGACGTCGTGCTCGAGACCGAGTTCCAGGGCAAGAAGCAGAAGCACACCATGCTCCAGATCTGGCCCGTCCGAGCTCCGCGCCCCGTCACCGAGAAGCTCACCGCCAACAACCCGCTCCTCACCGGACAGCGTATCCTCGACTCGCTCTTCCCTTGCGTCCAGGGCGGTACCACTGCCATCCCCGGCGCTTTCGGCTGCGGCAAGACGGTCATCTCGCAGGCGCTGTCCAAGTACTCCAACTCTGACATCATCACCTACGTTGGCTGTGAGTGCCGTCGCCGTCTCGCCGTCCTTGCCGGAGTCAAGAACCGGCGCCCTGTCCTCTCGAATGCAACGAGCTGACCTTTGTCTTTCCACTTCCGCTTCCTGAACTGAAGGTGGCGAGCGAGGCAACGAGATGGCCGAGGTCTTGGCCGAGTTCCCCGAGCTTACCCTCATGCGCGAGGGCGAGGAGTACCCCATCATGAAGCGAACGACGCTGGTGGCCAACACTAGTAACATGCCAGTCGCTGCCCGCGAGGCGTCGATCTACACGGGCATCACGCTCTCCGAGTACTTCCGTGACCAGGGCTACAACGTTGCGATGATGGCCGACTCGACGTCGCGATGGGCCGAGGCGCTTCGAGAGATCTCGGGTCGTCTGGCCGAGATGCCGGCCGACTCGGGCTACCCGGCGTACCTGGGTGCCAAGCTGGCCAGCTTCTATGAGCGTGCCGGCAAGGTGACGTGTCTCGGTAGCCCCGAGCGGAACGGTTCCGTCAGCATCGTCGGCGCCGTCAGCCCGCCCGGTGGCGACTTCTCAGACCCCGTCACCTCGGCCACGCTCGGCATCGTCGGCGCCTTCTGGGGTCTCGACAAGAAGCTGGCGCAGCGCAAGCACTTCCCCTCGGTCAACTGGGACGTCAGCTACTCGAACTACATCAACGCCCTCGAGCCTTACTACGAGAAGAACGCGCCCGACTTCATTGCGCTGCGGTCGACTGCCAAGTCGCTGCTGCAGAAGGACTCGGACCTCGCCGAGATCGTGCAGCTGGTCGGCAAGAGCGCGCTCGGCGAGAACGACAAGGTCACGCTCGACGTCGCCAAGATCATCAAGGACGACTACCTCCAGCAGAACGGCATCTCGGAGTACGATGCCTACTGCCCCTTCTACAAGACGAGCGGCATGCTGAGGAACATGGTCGACTTCCACGACCGCGCCCAGGCGGCCATCAACAACAACCCAGACATGACCTGGGCCAAGGTCAAGGAGCACTGCTCCGACATCATCTACCGGCTTTCGCAGCAGAAGGTGAGAACAAAGTTCGAGCGGGCGGGCGTCGATCTCTCCGCCCTGCCGTTGAACGATGTGTTGGAAATGAGGTCCCGTCTTGCTGACATCTGCCGCATTGCACATTCGCTCGCCTGCGACCGCAGTTCGAGAGCCCCAAGGATGGCGAGGAGACCATCACCAAGAAGTTCGACAAGATCAACCAGGACATGCAGGAGGCCTTCCGCACACTCACGGATTAGGCACATAGCGGACCCCTTCCTCGACGCCGTCGGGGCGATGTCCGGCGGCACAGTTGTGAATCATTCCTGTCTGTCCCATCTTGTTCATAATCGCAGCATCACATCCATGACTTCTCTCCTCGACTGCAGCCAGCGGCGCAATGCCGTGCTGTCCGAGCGCGAAACAGCTGGCCCCTCGTGGCTGGTCCCGGCACTCGTGTTGCCCGGCACCACCACGCCCCGGAAGTGAAATGAGGTAGGGACCCCCTTTTTGCCCCAGCAGGCCGGATCGCCTCGCTCTTGCCTCACCCGCTCAACCCTCCATCCTGATAAAAAGGGTGCTGCCCTCCTGCGATCATTCGAGTCCCCTGCTCACATCTGTCCGTCCCCACACATCCACACGCCCAGCGCTGCTCTCGACGCCATCGATCCGAGGGAGCAACACCACGATGCGCGTGCGCATCTTCGCCTGGCTGGCGCTGGCCTCCACGCTCTTCGCCCCTGGCGCTTCTGCCGCGCCTCCCCCCTATCCACACCGACTTCCGCCCGAGCTCGATGGACCGTTGGAGATCCCTCAGGAGGCCTTCGATTACGCCTTGGCCGTCCTCCACGAAGACAGCTCGCACCATGGTGTGAACGCGCCGGCGGGACACGCTCCGATTCAGGGATACTACCCGCAGCAGCACGAAGCCCATCCGGGCAACTGGCAGCCGGGCGCCGTGCATCAGCCCTATCATGAGCAGCCGGAACCGTTCCCGACCCACTACCTCCCTCAACAGTCCGAAGCGCATCAAGGCTACCACCACCTGTACCAGCAACCGGGAGCCTCTCTGGACCACCGCCAGCAGCCCGAGAACCAAGACCGTCTGGAAATGTACAGCTACCAGCCGCCCAACTACGACGACGGAGACAGCTCGAGCCTGGCTTCGGACGCTTCTTCTCGTCCGGTACATCCGGAAGAGAACGTCCCCGCCCAACCCGTCCGTGGCAGCAGCTCGTCGCTAGCGCCCTCGTCCGCCATCGGTCAGGCACTGCAGCCGAACGGCATGTTTCCCGGATACGGTCGAGCAGCCGACCTTTTCCTGTACACCCACCCGACCTGCTTCCTGAGGCAAGTCCGGAAGAACACCAGAGCGACCCCGGATGAGCGCGAATTGGTCCTCTACAAGCTCCGCCGGGACCTAGCGTACTACGACAAGATTCCTCGACCCGAACTCGCCCAGGTCCGCTGGATCGATACCGACCAGCAAGCCCTCCTCGCCCAAGTGGGAGATCTGGACGGCGCAGCCTTTCGCAGATCGTTGAGAACCGACGTCTACAAGAACCCAGTCACCTACGACCGCGGCCTCTTCACCCGCTACGTCATCAACGGCTACTTCATCGTCTTCCGCAAGCCGCAATCGACCGCGGACGTCCACTATGTCGCAGCGTTCCCCATCGAGTCGGATCCAGACGTCGTCACTGGCATGATCGAGATCGGCCTGTTCAAGATTCCTGTCTGGCAGAATCGAGCCCTTATGAGGAACATGGCTCACCCTCAGGCGGAGTGAGCAGGCCCGCAAGAATACGCATCGACGTCGCCAGCGGTCGCATGCATCTTGGTCGGTGTCCTCATTCTTCCCACCCGGGCCCAAACGTGCCTGTCCCACCTCCCCTCCCACATTCACCTAGGCCGAGCTCTAGTACGAGAGCTCTCTTGTTAAGAAAGGCAATGAGATGAAGTCATATTGCTGCTTCCTCTTCTTGGCACCGGGGCGCCAGTGGGCGCTCGGAGAAGGTTTTTTTTTGCGTGATGCGTGGCGGTGCGTGCTTGTTACCAACCCACCGAACTAGCGGCGCCCCTCCTGTATTGTCCCGCCACCGTCCCGCCGGCGACGGTATGCCACGCAAAATGAAGAGCTGATGCCAGCTGGCGAGTGAATCGCCACGTTGTTGCCAGGGCTCCTCGGCGGTCCTGAGAGCTTCGTTGGTTGACCTCATCTTGCTCACATACATAATAAGCGATTGTCTCCAGAGACACCCGGCCAACGCCTCATCTACCAACACTTTCCGGGCGTCTCGCGACTGTCTGACATCCTTTCGACCGAGGCAAGCGCACCCAGCGACCCATCGTCGAGCCGACACAGCACGCTCAGCTCATTATCATTATGTTCAAGAATCGCCGCGCCGCTTGTTCCTTCGTGGCTTTTGGGCTGCTCGCTGCTTCAGGCTTGGCGAAGCCCATGTTCGATCCCCTGGACCTGACGCCTCTTACACAAGACGTCATCGACGCCGGGGTCGCAGCGCTCAGAGAGTGGGACTCGGAGCATATCCCGCTCCTGTCGATGAACTCCTATCATCCAGCGCAAGGGCAGCCAGAAGGCGTCTACCACTCCTACGTGCAACATGCCGAACCGTACCACGCAGGGAGCTCTAGCCAAGCGGATCACGCCGGGATGGAATCGAGCTCTCAGCCGGCCTATTTGCCCAACGCTCTCTCTGAACTCGGCCAAGAAGCCCAGCAATCTGAACCGACCCCGGAGGCCCTCATCGCCAATCGCGAGGCACTGAGGTGGGCGGCCAAGGCTGCGGTACGAAACGGCGAAGGGATGAAGGTGGACCACTTCGTGCACCCGACCTCTTTCAGGAGGACGGCGAGCACGACCCTCAAGGCGAACCTCTTTGAACGCGATCTGGTCCTCGACAAGCTCCAGACCGACCTCAATCGTCAAACCAGGCGTAGATCTGGGTATCCGCCAGCCCACTGGGTCGACGATCCCCACTCGCTCCTCGAACGGATCGAGGGCAAGCTTGCAAGCAGGGTCCGCACGCACCTCCGATCCGATGTGAACAGGAGGACCCCGTCATACCGAGGAGCCCTCACGCGCTACCTGATCAACGAGTACATCATGGAGTTTCGACGAATGAAAGGCTCGGACCTTTACTACGTCCTGGCGGTGCCCGCGGACGGCTTGGCAAGCCCAACCCACCCGGACCGATTCGCCCATGCGTCCATGGAGGTCGGTCTGGTCGAGATACCGGCGCTTTGAGCACAGACAGGGCGGCAGTGCTATCATCACACCGGGACGTGGTGCCGCTTGCTTTGTCGCAGGTACGGGGCCACGCACGAGCAAGGTGGCGCCGCCGCGGCAAGACACGGACGACCTTCGACGAAGCCGTCTTTGTGATCGCTCGCTCTTATTTTCGGGCTTCCTTCGGTCAAGGCAGCAGTCTCCGGGCCCCGTCCAGTTGCCACCATGCCGCTAAATTGGTCGGAGACGGCCCGGCCGGGACTCCTCAGGGACCTTGCTCCTTAATACGAGAGCAGTCATGGCACGCCACAGCCCCACCTTGAGGAAAACGCCCCGCGGAATGAAAATTAGGAGGTGCTCCTGGCATCTTCTTGCCCGGGTGGCAGCAAGAGCTTACGGGACGTTCCGTTCCGCTCGTCGATCCCTATAAATCTCGACCTGTAGCCATATCTCCTCGCTTTCTCTCTCCGAACTTCCCTTCCATCCTCACCCTGCCAAGCACTGTCCTACCTGCTTGACTTTTCTCCTCGCGGCCACCAGCTGCCGCCCTTCCTTCCCTGCCAGGAGCAGGCCGACTTAGCTTTCTCCATTTCCATCGGACACAGTACTGTGTGCCTCCCTCAACGCCAGCTGACCGTGTCTCTGCACACCACCCCAAGAGCAGCATGGTTTCCACGTCCCGAGCCGCGTGTTCGGTCCTTGCTCTCGGGCTCTTGGCCGTCCCGATCTCGGCGAAGCCCATGGACGAGCCCCTCGACCTTTCCGCGTACACCCAGGACGTCCTGGACGCCGGCCTGGCAGCGCTCGCCTCTCACTCCGATCCCATGGTGCCTGGAGCCAGTCAAGCTTCCCATTTCCAGCCAGCATACCTGTACCAGCCCGATGTGCAGCACTATCACCAATCGAACTCCGGCTACCCTCGGCAGTACGGCTCGTCGGAGGCCCACTACGGCCAGCATCAGCCTGGAGAGGGCTCGAGCACCATGCCCTACTTGGCATCCGACCACGAATACCACAACGCCGCGCCCATGTCCCAACACTTTCCGGTACGGAACGAGCACGAAGACGCCATCGTCGCCAACCGCAACGCGCTCCGCTACTTTACAACCGTCGACCAGGGCACCAACAGCGTCGAAATGTACATGTATGTGCATCCGACCTGCTTCAAGACCACGTCGAAGCACGCCTCAAAGGCGACTCCTGCCGAACGCGACCTGGTCCTGTTCAAGCTGCGGCGCGATCTGACCCACTACCCGATGCGCTACGGGCACGAGTCGGAGCTAGCGCGGATTCAGTGGATCGACTCCGAGGATACACTCCTCGAGCGCGTCGATGGCACCAAGACGACCTCGCTCCGCTACGTGATGCGAGTCGATTACAAGAGACGCAACGCTCCGCGCGGGCCCCTGACGCGGTACCTCATCAACGAGTATACGATCATGTTCCGTAAGCCTCAGACGGCGTCGCAGCGCCACTTCTACGTCCTGGCCATACCTTCGAGCGAAAGGAAGGCCGTCATCGAGGTCGGAGTCGTCTACGTGCCCGAGTGGGCCGGACGCACTGGCGATGGGTACGTTAGCATCAAGCAGATTGCTCATCCGCCGGAGTGATTGCTCGTCCGCCGGATCGATCGTGCGGCTTATGAGCGAACCGGTAGAAGGGGCCGTCAGCCCTCGATGCCGGTCATGCGGAGACGACATCAGCTCGTCGTGCAAGCCTAGTCGTGATCGTCTTCCTCCGTTCCCGGACATAGCTGCTCGAGATCCCCCCGGGTTTCATAGCGACATCCGCAAAAGAGGCAATAGAGGTGCTCGTCCCGCAGCCTTGAAAGCGTCAGCTCGAGTCTCGTCTTCGCCTGTGATCGTACATGAAAGAACAAATGCAGACAGTCAGTATGTTGCCCGGTCAGATGCAGAGACCGAAGCCGGGATCAGGACTTACATCAAGCATGCAAAATGCCTGCGCCTCCTCTTTTCTCGCGCTCGCCTTCGCCTTGACCTCCGGCTCGACCTCTTGGCCCTCCCTCTCGAGCTCGGCCAGATCGGCTTCACCGCCGAAAGCGAACTCGAGCAGCTCGACGGCTTCCCGTGTTGCCGGATCCCTTTCGATTCTTTCTGTGAGCTGTCCTGGCGCCATGCTGACGTCGCTGCGGCCTGTAAGGATCGCCCAGAGGTTGGCGTCGAGCCAGATGGGGTTGTACAGCACGCCGTGGGCGCGGTCGAGCTCCTGCAGCGTCTTGCGGGAGCGCGAGAGGAGGCCCTCGATGTGGCGCTGTCGATGCTCGATCGAGACGCGGGAGCGGAAGTCCTCCATCTGCTGCTCGGCGGAAGGCATCGCATCCGAGGCGGCGGCGGCGGACGAAGCAGAAGCGGCGGCTGCGATGGCCGAAGAGACCGACGAGGGGGCTTGGGCTGTCGACAGCGATGCCCGCGGCACCATGCCGATGCCATGCCGTGTCCTGGCTGACAACCAGCGGTCGTCGATACGAAGCGGCTCTGTGAGCGCCGCGCTGCTGGTTTCCGCGACCTTGATGCGCTTGCTCTGTGGCGCCGACACGTGCTGCGGTGAAGATGCAGATGCCAGACCGGTCCCGGCACCCGCGATCGAAGCGCCCATCCTCGTTGTCGAGACACCGCCAGAGAGATAGTCGTCGTCTTGTGCCTGGTCATCCTGTGCCTTGTGCTTCGCCATTTCCTCTGCATCTTCGTCATCGCCGTCTGACATGCTATCGGCGCCTCGTCTGGCATGCAGCATATCGCCCTCCGCTCCTGCAGCTGCGTCGGCCTGGCTCTCGCCGTCCTCCTCGTCCTCGTCCTCGTCCTCGTCCTCTTCTTGCTCCTCATGCTCCTCGAGTGTGTCTTCATCCGCTGCTTGTCTCCCCAGAGCCATACCCCTCTTGTAGCCCATAGCCAGCATCATCTTCATCGCTGCGCTCCTGCCCTTGCCTGCGCTCGGAAGGCCGTCCTCGGTCATGTTTTCGAAGGGTCCGCTGCCCTCAGCATCGAGCGTCTCCCACATCCTCCGTCCATGCCTGTCGAGGGGCGGAAGTGCGTCTTCCCCTGCGCCAGCTACGATCTCGGCCTCGGCGAGCAGGTCTCTGTCCAGACCTTCCCTCCTAGCTTCCTCCTCGCGTTCCCTGAGGCTCTTGCGCGTCGAGGATGCGCTGGGCCGAGACCGATCAGAGGCGCGTGCCAGATGTTTCCTTCGCCTCTCGGAGTACGTCTCTGCGGGTGTAACGGAGGTAGAGGCTACGAGGAACTTGTCGGACATGAAGTCGTCCTCGTCGTCGTCCTCTTGCTCGCCGCTGTCCTTGGTGGCATGTTGCTGGGATGCCGGGTCGGAAGGAGCCTGGAGGTCGTCGAGGATCGACCTCGGATCGAAGCGCGGCTTGCTCGCCATTGTTCCCGATGCTGGCGGCCAAAGTAAAAGCGGCGGCGACGAGCGAGGAAGAGAAGGTGGCCGGGCAAAGGTAAGGAAGGTGTCGGTGATGGTCAGAGCGGAAGGAGAGAGAGAGGGTGGCAGAAAGGAGCGACACAACCCTGTTGAGCCTCCACTTTGGTTCGCCGCGGGCAGACAGACGAGCTGGCCGAGTTCCGAGCGCGCGACTTGCCCGCCAGCAGCTTCATCCGGGCCTTCCAGCCGCCGAATGATACATATCTCTTCGACACCTCACCGAGCATTGAACACGACTGATGCTGATTCTTCTCTCGCCGATGCGATGCTAGCTGTATTGCTACCGAAACACTCTACTCGGGGATCAAGTCCCAGACTGTCTTGGTCACATGCTCGTTCTTCCTCCTGGTGCCTCGCAACAGGCCCATGCGTGCAAGCTCGTTGACCGCCAGCGCAAAGCGGGCCTGGACGTCCGCCATCGAGGCATCGGGTCGCGACGAACCGCCACCGTTGAGCCGCAGCAGCCCCGGCCGCAGCGGTGTTCGCGAGAGCGCTGCCCGCGGCGTATGCTGCGCACGCGCACCCCTCCGCTTGCTCGGAGTGTCGAGCACGTCGGAATCGTCGTCGTCCTCGGAGCCATTGCTGCCCGAATCTTCACCATCAACCTCAGCATAGGATCGTTTGCTGGGATAGCGGCCCAGCGCTGCCTGCCGCTTGCTCCGGCGTCCGGACGGCGTCGCCGCCAAGAGATCGTCGTCGAGCCCCTCGTCGTCGTCGTCGTCATCATCGTGGTCGTCGCCATCATCGTCGTCCTCATCCTCCTTGCCCTCATCCTCGCCCGTCCCACGCTGCCCACCGTCCATACTGCGTGTAGACGGTCTGGCGCTGATGCTTCCGTTGCTCTGGTCTCCTGCTCCGCGCGGTCGAGTTGCCTGCGAGGCGTCCGACGGATCGACGCTTTGTTGGAATGCCTCGAACCAATCGGCGAGGCTGACGTTCTTGCCGCAGTCGCGGTACAGCTGGTAGGCCAGGCAGATGTCGGGCAGAGCGTCTTCAGCCTGCTGCGTGCCAGATGCTGCGTCGGACATTGGGTCGTCGAGGCTACCGAGGACCTCGAGGAAGGCACGAGGATCGCCAAGGGGCTGCAAGAGGCCGGCTCTGGGGCAGGCGTCGAGCATGGCCGCGGCGGAGTCGAATGAGTCGTGCCACCAAGTGTCTTTGATCAGCGCCACAACGCCCTCGGTGGTGGCACAGCCGTCGGTGAGCGCATCCCAGTTGAGGAAGGTCTGGACCTGGCTCGCTATCCAGTCAGTGACTTGGCGTTTGAGGCTGACGACCTTTTCCTCGGCCTCGAGGCGCTTCTGCACGCGCAGAATCCGATCCTGGTTCCTCTTCTCCCGTTCGAGAGCTTCGTCGGAATCAAGAGTGGCAGCGTCGAGGCCGGTCGCACCTCGGATCGCCGAGTCCTGGTTTCCCAGCTGATCGAAGCTCCGGCCAATGAGGTCCCCGCCGGCGTCGAGGATCAGCTGCGCCAGATTCTGCTGGAAGGTGCGCAGCGAAGCGAGAAAGTCCTGCATCTCTTCGAGCGCCAGGGAGTGGAAAGAAGCCTCAACAGAGGCTTGGCTGGACTCGATCTGGACTGACGGCCCGGCTTCGTAGCTCGCTTCGAGTGCTGCCACCTCGACCTCGGTGAAGAGCACAAAGTCGTCGAGGAATGTCTCGAACTCGCGGATCTGGAGTCGCCTGGCAGCGGTGCACAGTTTGCCCAGTCCATGCGACAGCGACAGCGAGTTGGGCAGGGGTCGGTTGTCGCTGTCCACGGCGCCCGAAGACGCCTGCAGGCACTGCGAGACGACCAGCGTCAACATTGAGGACGTCATCTCGGCCTCGCGCTGTTGCAGGAAGGCGTCGGATGCCGCAGCAGCCCGGAGCGCCGAGCCAGCGCTGTCGAGCTTGTGGAGAGTCTGAAAGCCGTGGGCCAGGAACTTGATCATGACTTCCTGTCGGAACGCCAGGACGTCGCGGATCATCTTGAGATCGGCGACCTGCTGCAGCACAAACGCATCGTCGGAAAGCATCCGCCGAACCTTGGACTTGGGACCGATCCCGAGCTCACCCTGAGCGCCTGCCCTGGCCAGCCACACGACCTCGGCGTCGTCAGCTTCGAGGAGGGCCAGCCGAAGCCTGGCGACGAGCTCCGTCGTCCAGCAGTCGGGGTTCAGCAGTGCTTCGCCACCAACGGAGAGGGAGGCGAAGGCCGACAGTGGGTTGCTGGTGAAGTGGTCGAACGTGGCGAATCGAACCGCATCGAGAACCGAGTCGAGGTCGGCGTCCTTTTCCCAGTACGACTGTCGGATGTACTCAAACGTCTTGCGGCCGATGGAGACGGGGAGGTGGCGGGAGGTGAGGAAGCCGTTGACCAGTTGCATCCACACGCCTTCCTTGTTTGGCAGGGCGAAGCGGGAAAAGTCCATACCCTGCAGCGTCGCCCTCGGGATGTAGGTGGTCCAAGGCGCCGGCGCGGCGGCGACCGACACGCCTCGGCGGCCCGCGCTCGGGGCAGCGCCAGTGGGGGAGCTGATGCCCAGGATCAGGACCAGCGTCGAGCCCGTGGCAGATGGGTCCGCCAGGCTCCCGTCTAGGTCCGTCGAAAAGGCCTGGAGCGATAGCAGCAGGTCGGAGAGCACCGCCGGCTCAACCGCTTCGATCGAGGGTAGATGCAGGACCAGATTGGGCCGCCGCATCGCTCCCATCTGGTCGGCCGGCTGCGTGCCGAAGCGCTTCATGTACCACGTCTTGAGGATCCGTAGATCAGCATCGGATCTTCCGCTTGCCGCGACAGCCTCGATCAGCGCCAGCTGCTCTTCGCCGGCCGATCCCTCGACGGCAAGCGTCTGCCCCTGCGCTTCACAGATCGACACCCCCTGCGTGATGAACCGAGCCACCAGAAGCCGGATCGCCGTTCCGAGCGACAGACATTCGCTCTGATCCAGAGTGACTGTGATGATGGGCGTGGATGCCTGGTCGGACGCGGCAAACGTTGAGATGTGCGACACCAGCCGGCGGGACAGAGACGAGAAGCTCGGCGTCGATGCAGCTGTCGCGGCATGCCAGGTCGATCGGCTGTCAGCTTCTTGCCACCGTCGGCCGATCAGCGGGGGGCCTCGGAACGCTACAACTCACATATCAAAAAGGCCGTTCGGAGCGCAGAAGGACCGGCCTCAGCTTCTGTACAGCCATCGAAGCCAGGGATGTACAGGTCGTCGCCTGCCGCTCCGTCCCGACCGGCCTCTGCGTTGCTTCCGTGGACGAGGAAGGCCTCGAGGTCGGAGAAGAGAGGCGCATAGATCTTCTCGATGCATCGCTGCAAGCCGGTAAGGGGGTCGACAAGGCGTCATCGTCGTCAGGAGCTTCTCACTTCACGCGAAATCGGGAGCATGACGCGGCGCTCACCTCAAAGAGCCAATCCAGCGAACGGATTGATCGGAGGTAGCCATGATATCTCAGCCTAGAGGCGATCGGGCCACGCTCGTGCTCCTCGAGCACGGGGAACGGAGAGCTGTCGGCGGCCTTCGCAGCATCCTTTCTTGCCCTCTTGCGCGGAGGCTTCCATGGTACGGTGTAGCAGGCGGTCGAGAGCGAGTCGAGCCGGTCGCTGGTAAGGTAGACCATCGTCGCAGCGGCCGTCTACCCGAGTGTCGGCGCCCCCCCGGTCTCGGGTCTACAAGCTCGAAGGGGACGAGCGGCAAGCCCGGGAATGGAGTACGATCGGCCTGCAAGCCGAGCGAGCGGCGCAGGAGGCTGGCGATGGACCGGATGGAGGATGCGGAACTTGGCCGGGTGCGGATGTTGGCGTGGGTGTTGGTGTTGGCTGCGAAGGGGAGAGTGAGTGTGACAAAAGCGCACGCACCCGCACCGACCACGCGTCAGGCAGGCAGGTCGCCCACAGGCGGTCAAACCGCCTGCTGCACACGGCCGTGCCGTGCCGCGGGTCAACGGCTTGGCGGAGGGAGGACGAAGGCTGGTCTCGTCGGAGCAGCGTACGTGTCTCTGATTGCCTGCCTGCCTGTCGGCTCCTCGACAGAAGGTGTACGGGGACCGGGAGCGACGACGGCAAATCCGTCGGCTCCAGCTGTCCGGCGAGCACCAGCTGGCTTGCTCGCTCGTCGTGCGCCTGCCCCAACGCAACGTCACCCGCGCGACGTCTTCCTCATGCGGAGTGTCGCGCGGCCAGTCTTCGGCGGTGTGAGGCAGGCAGGCAGGCAGGCAGGCAGGCAGGCAGGCAGGCAGGCAGGCAGGCAGGCAGGCAGGCAGGCAGGCCCAAGCGGCGACGCAGACTGCTTGCTTCTGGCGTGCCCGCGCCGGCGACGTCGCTGCGGTCGGAAGCGAGCGAGGCAGCACGAAGCAAGCAAGCAAGCAAAGGGCCGGTGCCAGGCCAGGCCAGGCCAGGCCAAGCTAGCTTGGCCGCGGATGTGATGCGTCGCTTCCGCATCTGACCTCCGCCCGACCCGTTTTGCTTGCTTGGGGGCGTCGGGGTTTTGGGTCCCAGAGAGATCCTTCGCTTTCCTGCTGAGAGCCGCGCCGCGCCTCCGTTTCACACGTCCACGGCACCGCACCGCACCGCATCCCACGCTGCTGCTGCCTACTCTACCTCCGTCACCGTCATCGCCCTCGCCACCACCTTCTCGACCACCACCCACAACTTCCGATCCGCCTTCCTCGCGACCTTCGCAATTCGCCGTCGCCGGTACCGCCAATCTCCATCCGCGGCCTCGGTCCAGATCGTCCGGCTCCCCCGTGTCGCGCGCATCCTCGGACAAGCGCAACCCATCCGGTCCTCCATCCGTCTCCAGCAGTCGCTGACCGAGGCTACTCCCACTCCTCTCGGGGTCAAGCTCGCACTATCGGCATGCCACGATCAACACGGAACTCGCGCGCGGCAGAGGCGGCGGTGGTCGAGCCGGCAGCTCCGTCCGAAGGCGGCAGCATCGCCTCCCGGGAACGCTCCGGGACACCCATCGACCACACGCAAGAGCTCATGAGGAGAGCGCAAGAGGCCGACGAGAACGTCTTTCTCTTTGTGCCCAACCTGATCGGCTATGCCCGCGTCGTCCTCGCCGCCCTCTCGCTCTACTACATGAAGGGGAACCCCAAAGTGTGCACCCTCCTCTACGGAGTGTCGTGCCTGCTCGACGCCTTTGACGGCATGGCGGCGAGGGCGCTGGGCCAGAGCACCAAGTTCGGCGCCGTCCTGGACATGGTCACCGATCGCTGCACCACCGCGTGCCTCCTCTGCTTCCTCACCGCCGCCTACCCTCGCTGCGCCGTCATCTTCCAGGGCCTCATCACCCTCGACTTCAGCAGCCACTACATCCACATGTACAGGTGAGGACCGCGGCGTTGCTCTTTCTTCCGGCTGACGACGGGCTGCCGACCTAGCCGAGATGTACTCACCAACCGACGCTTGTCTTTGCTGCCGCTCCCTTTGCCACGCCGCACGCAGCTCGCTGCTGACCGGCTCGGCCTCTCACAAGATCGTCACCTCGGACGTGTCCAAGATCCTGTGGTACTATTACAACGACAGCGTGAGTCTGCGATGGCGTCCGGTCCGTTCTTTTTGATGCGGCGGTGTGCCTGAGGCGTATCCGTGAACTGACCGACCGGTCCGCCCGCTTTTGCCGTGCTTCCCGCTCTTGCTGCCGCGCTTCCCACAGCGCACGCTGTTCATGTTCTGCGCGGGCAACGAGCTCTTCTTCGTCTGCCTGTACCTCATGGACTTCTACAAGCGGCCTCTGGGTCTCGAGATTGAGCCGCTCCTCTTTCTCGTTCCCAGCAGCCTCAAGGGGACGTGGCTGCTCCAGTTCATCATCAACGAGACTCCCAAGCTGAGCTGGCCTCAGATCGTGGGGGCCATCACTTTCCCGATCTGCGCCGCCAAGCAGGTCATCAACTGCGTCCAGTTCTGGAAGGCCGCAAAGGTCCTCGTTGGTAAGGACCTCGAGGAGCGGGCAAAGAGCCGCGAGAAGGCGGCCTGAGGCGGTTGCGCACCGGCCACGCTCGTCTACCTCGATCCGCAGGCCATCCGCATCCGCATCGCACCCATCCCAGTCGGATTCCTCCGAGCCTATTACGGCTTCCGTGGTGGAACTCCTCGAAGCCCACACCTCTGCCCCCCGCGCTCTGTACAGTAAGCCACTCTTAGGCGTTTCGCGGCCGGGCTTTCTTGCCCATTCACCTCTCCTACCTAGCTAGTACAACAACCAAGTGCCACCATTGCATCCTTTCCACGCGATGTTGCCCATTCGGCGGCGATTCGGGCTGTAGCGTGTTCGACGGGATGCTGCCCGCCGCCTGTGCGTCAGCCCCGGATATGAGCCGACCTGTGGACCGTGACCCCGAGGCCGCAGCGTCGAAGCGCACAAGCCCCTGCAGCCTTGCTCTTTGGTTGACTCACCACTACTACATCCAACGTACTCTCTCGACACCGTTACCATGTCGCAGCCCCTCGATGACCTCGAATTGTACTCTCTCGACACCGTTACCATGTCGCAGCCCCTCGATGACCTCGATTTCCCCCCCGACGATCCTCTCGATTTCCCCGATTCCATTGTCGGCGGGTCTGATGTCGAGGTCAAGCTCGAGTCTCGACAGGACCGATCCTCGCCGCTCGCGGATCCCTTCGAGTTCCTCGACGTCCGCTGCGACCGCTGCCTGCGGGACAGCATCACGCGCTGTGGGGTCGACCGCAGCAAGCGGCCAAAGGGCGTCATCTGCGACTCATGCTTTGCCAGTTCGTCGAGCTGCCGGGTCCGCGGTCAGCTCGTGTCCAAGCTGAGCCAACGGACAAAGGCGCCGCCCCTGCCTCCGCGGCCGATGCCGAGTCGAGCGGCAAAGTCGGCGGCCGACAGCGGCGTGCTGGAGTCTCTCGCCCGGGAGATGACTCCGTTCCCGCTCGAGGAGTTCCGCCGCTCGATGGCCGGGCCCCACTCGTCAGACATTGACGACGACGACGACGACGACGACGACGATGCAAAAGATGTGAAAGGTGGTGTTAGCGACGGGGCCAAGAGGGCAGGCGCCTCGACCGCGCGCCCCTCGCCGACCCGAAGGCATCTCGAATCGCTTTTGCAGGACCTACACCGGACCATAAAGGCCGCCAAGAAGGTCTCCGTCAACGCCGACGCCTCGAAATCCGACAAGCGCAAGGCGTATGGCCGAGCCCTCGTCGACATCGAGGCGCGGTGCCGCAAAGAGGCGGCCCGCTTCGGGATCAAGATAGGGCGCGAGCGGAAGTCAAAACAGCCCTAAGACCTTGTCACAAACAGAGTGAGTCCTCAGCAACCCATCGCCAGCGGTGCTTACTCCTCTCCATGGGAAGATCTGCTTAGGCTATTGTACAACGACTTCTGATCCGAGCCAGTCCTCCCACTAACTACTCGATCTCGATTGTATCCCCCCACTTGACCTTTCCGCCCTTGGCCCTGACCATCTCCTCGACTGTTTTCGGCTCGTCGGCGGTTTCGGTGAACCAGGAAAGATTGTCGGCGATGAGATGCCTGACGGGGGACCAGGGGAAGCAAGGGCCGGAGGATGAGCAGCGGGTTAGCCTCGGTTGAGCTGCAGCAGCGGTGGAGGGGGAGGGGAGCCACGCGGCGGCAGAGCCACGGAGCCACTCACCTGTTTTTGCATCCCGGGCACTGGACAATCACGATACCATGGGTGTACGATCGCTTGGCAAACTCGTGCGTGGAGCGGTGGCCGCAGTCGTCGACGCTGCAGGTGAAGGTGATGGAGAGGCGCTGCTGAATCTGGCCGATTGGCGTCCGCTCGCCGGTGACGGGGATCTGGGGTGCGGATTCGCCCTGCGTCGCCGCCGCCGCCTCCTCGTCGAGCTCCGGGATGCGCTTTTCGAGTCGAGCTGGGCTGGAGTGGAAGGGTCTCGCCGCGATCGGTCCTCTTGCCACTGCTGTCCAGGATGCTGGGCCTGCCCATGGCGAGGGCGGGGCGGCGGGGCGGGCAGAGAAGCGAGCCGTGGGTCGTGCGACGGCCTGGGCGATGTTGCGGGAGAGTGAGCGAGCGAGAGCCCGTTGCGGGCCGGCTACGTTTGCGAAGACCATGCCGAGTGCGTGTGTGGTCTATGTAGGAGATGCTGGGTTCGGTCCGAGACCAGAGGCGGTGGCAAAGATGGTCGTTGAACGAGAAGCAAAAGAGGCAGCTAGGATGGCCCGCCTTCTCTGCCTCACAGCCAGCGAGAGGATGTGGAGGGCGAAACCGCAAAGAAGCTTCTTGAGTCGAAGGTGGCCGCTGCCCGCCCCGCCTTCCGAGCGGCTGCCTCGAGTCCAAGATTTTCGCACGAGAGAAGAGGCGATCCCGTCTGAGCGAGGCCAGCCTAGGCCGGAGCAGGGCAATCGCTAGGGCTCCGCCTACACCGGACGCACCATCACCTGCCATCTACCATCGCCTCGTCTCGACCCACACACCTCTTTTTCGCGACAGCACTACCCACCGCCATGTTCCGTCAGGCAGCAGCATCGACATACAGGAGCGTCGCTCGCTCGAGCGCGCCCAAGACCGGCTCGTTCGTCCAGACCCGTCTGGCCTCGGGCGGATCCTCCTACAACCAGCCCACCGGTGAGTGCTCGACGGCCATCGAATGCATCCCCTTTCATAGCGAGCCGGAGCTGGATCTCACGCCTGAACGTCGCCTGCCTTTCGATCTACAGGTCACCTTTTCGCCGAGAAGGTCCGTACGCCCTGCCACGTCCCGGCCGAGCAACCTGCAATACAGCCACGGCTTTCGATCCAGGATCATGTCGCGCTGACGCTCCCTGCTCCGCCCCCGCCCTCCCATCTGCTCGTCCGCATACGACCGACCCACAGCCCCTTTCCAAGGGCCAGAAGCGCGTCAAGGAGGACTGGGAGAACATGTGGTACATTGGCATGTTTGGAGGCCTTGTCTTTGCGGGCGTCGTCCTCATGTTCAAGCCGGATACGAGGTCAGCCATCCTGTGCCAGCGGCTTCCCCGTTCGGTCTTGTTGTCGCTTGCTGTACTGACGACCTTGTACTGCTCTCGCTGCGCATCCTTCCGGCTCTCTCGATGCGACTGAAACAGCGTCCAGCCGTGGGCCATGGCCGAGGCCAAGAAGAGGCTCGAGGCGTCCGGAGAGGTGTGGCAGTACAAGCCCTCGCCCAACTCTGGCCACCCCAACGGCGCCTGAGCGTCCCTCCGAGGTAGCAGGAGCCGACCGACGGAAAGCGAAATGTTCCCCGACCCTGCGCGCAATGACCAAACTCGATACACTGCTGCGATCGTTGTACGGCAACTTCTGCCGGACTGGCCGTGGTCGGATTGACCAGACAGGGCTGCGACGAGGAGACCATGCCGCTGTTTGCTCGACGACTGTGCGAATCTTCCACGCTACCCTCGGGACGCATCAGACACAGATGAGCTCATCCTCGCACTGCCTTCGAAGCTGACTTGCAAGCCAAGCGGCCGGCCCTGGCCACGGGAGGCAGGGATTAGGACCTGGCCCCGATTGCACAGACGCAGCCCTCGTTTGCGATTCTTCGACGTCGGCTTTAGGCCCATGGTCGGTCTGGTCGAAGTGGACATCCGGCTGATTCGATAGAGGCCGCGGAAGAGGGCCGCGTGCAGTCAGACGGGCTTGGCCAGAGGGAGCCAAGCAGCGGTTCTCGGCGACCAACCCCTTCATCCGCCCATGAGAATGGGTCCAGGAACGAAGCTATCTTCCCAAAGGCCTTGCTTGAACCGATCAAGCTACAAAGGCGATGAACCACGCCTGCTACGCCTGCTGAGGCCGAAGCGTCCATGCATCTTGTGCGGCAGCCTCGATGCAGGGCGGGTGGCAGATGGGGAGCTGGTTGGGTGGAGCGAAAAGCCGGAACCGAGGCGGTGTGGCTGAGCCGCGGGCGTGGACCCTGCGTTGCCTCCTCTCGTTCCGCACCTTCCCAACCTTCGACCAGCATCGCCATACCTTCTTACCCCTCACGCTTGGCCGTAGCCGTCGTCTCGATTGCCTTATCCTTTCACCTCTCGTACCAGCTCTTCAGTTGAATCCGACACGATGGCTCTGACGCCCGGACAGGTCGACATTCACCCCGACTCCAAGCATGCCGAGGTCGACGTGACCCCTTACCTCTCGGCGCCCCTGCCGACTGAACCCGCAGCGGCTCGCGCGGAAGCGCTGAAGCTCATCGACCTTTCCAAGGAAGTCGACGACGAGCTGCAGCACCACCAGGCCACGCTGGCGTCCAACGGCGTCGGCCAGAGCTCCTCGCTCCTCGACGCCGAAGGGTTCCCATTGGCCGACAAGGACCTCGTCTCGATCCGCACCGCTCGTCACCGCATCGCCGTGCTGCACAACGACAACAAGGCTGTCAGGCAGAGGATCGAGAAGCTGCTCCAGCATGCCATCAACGGCGATCCTGCCGCGGCTCACGCTACCGCCACCGCTGCCGGCACCGCCACGCACCATGAGGCGCACAGAGAGCCGGCGCGGGAGCCCTTTGCACGAGTCGACTCGGTCTCGCCCGGAAGCCCCGCCGAGGCAGCCGTGAGTACAGCTGTGAAAGTCGCAGCATCGTATCGGCTCCTCATGCTGATCGTACACCCTGCTTCCGCTCTACTCGGCACATCGCAGGGCCTGCACGCCGGCGACCTCGTGCTGCGCTTTTCGACCATCGACAAGCCCAACAGCGACGGTCTGAGGGCCCTCGCGAGGCCCGGCGTGGTCAGAGACGGGGAAGCGATCCAGGTCGTCGTGCAGAGGACCATCACGGCCCCCTCGCATCGTCCCGAGAACATCACCCTACGACTCGTCCCTTCGAGCGCGTGGGGAGGCAGGGGCCTGCTCGGGTGAGTGGCCTCGTTGTGCCGTCCGAGGGCCAGAGCAACAACCTGCCGCTCTGCTTCCATACTGATGCGGCATGTTTCCTTCCCTCTGCTGCAGCTGCCACATCGTCCCGCTTTAATGGAAGGCTCGGGTGCAGGAGCAAGGCAGCAACAAGGCAAGCATCATCTACTGGCCCGGCCCAACCCGACCCGACTCACCGACACGGCTCTTCCCAGCGGACACGGGCAATCGCACCACACCGCACCGCATCGCAGCACACGCTCACGCATCTGTATTTGTACTCTTCTGCCGCCACTCGGCGCAAAAAGCAGCGGCCATCCGCACTCGACCAAGCCGCCGCGGCTGCCGATCTACACCTGCGCGACCGCCTGTCCATCAGCGCGAAGGTCGCTTCCCGCGGCCCAGACGAGCTTGCCGTCGGGGTTGATGACCTTCTGGATCATCTGGCCCCTTCCAAACTGGAAGCGGCTCCAACCGTCGACGAGGTTGACGTTGTGGCCCATGGCGCGCAGCTCCTCGACCACCTTGGGGTCAATGCCCAGCTCGAGGGAAACGTCCGACTGCTTGCCCTCGGGACCCTGCATGCCCGGTCCGATGCAGAAGCGTGGTGCGTCGAGCGCATCCTGCACGCTGAAGCCGTGGTGCAGCATGCTCAGCAGCACCTGGACGTGGCCCTGTGGCTGCATGAAGCCGCCCTGGTGGTTCCAGCAGAGGGGTGGCAAAGACAGGCGAAGAAGCGTTTAACGGGAGAGTGTTCCTTCGCAGCGATCCCAGGAGCGACGGGGACAGGCGTGGCGAGACTCACCATGACACCGTAGCTCAAGAACAGCTCGTCGCCGCGCAGCGCCATGGCCGGGATGATGGTGTGGTACGGCCGCTTGCCTGGCGCCACGCAGTTCGGGTGGCCCTCCTCGAGAACGAAGCCGGCGCCACGGTTCTGAAGCGTGAAGCCGCAACCCTTGGGCACTGCCGCGGTGCCGAAGCCGGCGTCTGGGGGAGGGGAGAAGAGTAACGGACAATTGGCGCGACGCTTAGCCGGTCAGCGACCTCACGGCAGGACGGTCTCATGACCCTAGGACCTTCCCTCTCAGTCGGGGGACCGCACCGCCTCGTGCACTCACAGTTCGAGTTGATAAACGAGCAGGCGTTGCCCTCGCCGTCGGTGACGCTAAAGTAGACGGTGTCGCAGGTGTTGGCCGGGCTGCCGTTGACGAGGTCGACGGCGGCCTTTTTGGGGTCAAAGAGCTTTGCGCGCTCGCGGAGGTAGTCCTTGGAAAGGAGGGCGTCGACGACATCGCGCGAGTGGTCCGGGTCGGCGACAAAGTAGCGCGTGTCGACAAAGGCGATGCGCAGGGCCTCGATGAGGGCGTGGAGGTACTCTGCGCTGTTGTGCGGGATCCGGGCGAGGTCACCCACCTTGCCCTCGTCCTGCAGCTCGTCGAGGATTCCCAGGGCCAGCAGCGCCGTGAGGCCCTGGCCGTTGGGAGGGCACTCGTAGACGGTGACGCCCTCCTTGCCCTCGAGGTCGCCCGCCTCGGCGGGGTGGTTGTAGGTGTACGAGATGGGCGTCACCTCTTCGGTGCCGCGCTCGAAGTGGGCCTCGAGGTCTCCGAGCTCCATCAGGCCGCCCTGCGACTTGATGAGCGAGACAATCTCCTCGGCGATGCGTCCCTTATAGAAGCCCTCCTTGCCCTTGGTGGCCAGCTCGCGGAAGGTGCGGGCGAGGTTGGGCATGCGCATAATCTCTCCGGCCTTGGGCGCCTTGCCCTTGAGCAGCATCTCTTCGGCGTTGGGAGAGGCGGCCTTGATGAGCTTCTCGGACCGGCCCCAGAGGTAAGCGGTGCTCTCGTGGATCGGGTGGCCATTCTCGGCGAGGCGGATGGCGGGCGCGAGGACGTCGGAGAGCGAGACTTTGCCGCTGCCGAGCTTTTCAACGGTGTCGACCCACGCGCTGGCGGCGCCGGGTACGGTGACGGAATGCAGGCTGTTTCCGGGGATCTCCTTGCCGCTGATGCCTGCCTCGCGGAGTCTGTCGAGGGTCATGGCTTTCGGTGCGCGTCCGGAACCGTTGAAGGCGCGGACCTTTTTGGCCTTGGCGTCGTAGAAGAGGCAGAAGGCGTCGCCTCCGATGCCCGTGTTGCATGGCTCGGTGACGTTGAGCGCGGCGGCGACTGCGACCGCTGCGTCGGCGGCGTTTCCACCCTGGTTTAGAACCTCGATGCCCGCGGACGCGGCGAGGGGCTGCGAGCAGGCGACCATGCCCTTTGTGCCCATGACGGTGGAGCGGCGGGAGCTGAAGCGCATGAACTCGGGGTTGTGGGCCGGATCCGTGACGCTCCAGTCGAAGCGAGAGCGGGACGAGGTGGTAGACGACATGATGACGGTGGGCAAAGGGCGGTGGAGATGCAGGGAGGGGCGGAGCCGAGCGATGGGTATAGACGAGAGAGGCGTCTCCCGGAGCAGGAGTGGTCGAGGTTTTATAGAGAAGACGGCGATGGTGGTAATGGCGACGAAGATGGTGGTGGCAGCGAGACTGAAGAACGAGAGGTAGAGAGAGAGGGAGCGACCGAGGCGAGAGGTCGATCTTCTTTCAGATCGCGTGTCTGTGCGAGCGGGCGAGCGAGCGAGCAGAGGGGCGGATTGCGGGGGAAGGCAGCGGCGTGGGGACGGCATCGGCGACTGGCTCGGCCCGCAGCTCGGCCAATTCCTCTTCGCTTGGTGCAGCCGCTGCGTCTTTTCCGCTCAGACCTTTGCCCGCCCAACGCCGCCAGGGCCACGCACGGAGCACGAGCAGCCGTCAGCCCTCTAGCTCCTCCACCCGCACCGCCTGGCCTTGCCTACTCTTCACCTCTTCGGGTCGACCGGCGGGCTGAACACCAGCATCGGGTCGCTTCCGATGCACGACATCTCCTGTCGGATCACCCGCTCATGGTAGAGGGGCAAGGGTAGCTTACGAGCGGATCGAGCCCGAATAACGCGGCACCGTCGACGACCAAGGGGCCGGCGACGTGGCCCCAGGGCTTGCGAGACAAGGAGGTCGTGGGCCTCTTGCTCGCGACTGCGAGCCGATGCTTCGGAGCAAGGCCCTCCGCACTTGATCACCTACTTCGCCTCGAGCCCCCCTTCGGATGGCGTCGGCCATGAAGCCGTCCATCTCGACGTGCCACGGATGGCTGTCTCGGAGACTCCGAGTCACGACACCGCTCTGTGATCGCTTCCATCGGATCACCCGAGCATCGATATCGCAGTCCGCCATCGAGGGGGCTTACGCGTCCTTCATCGAGCCAACCCTAAGTAGTTAAACAAAAGTCACTTCAGTCCCGACGACCACGTTCCTTGCTGCGCGCACCATCGACCTTCCACGAAGTCCGCACTCAAAGGCGAAGGTAGTCAGATGCCTCCCACCATGGATCACGAAAAGCGCCGCCAACAGGCAGGCTACGATGCCATCGACCTGCCGCCGCCCGGTACCCATGCCGCGCCTCGCTCCGGAGCAAAGGCCAGCTGGCGCTTCCTCGTCGCTGCACTGCTCTGCTTCACCTTGCTCACATGGCAGTCGGACAGGGTATGCAAGCACGACGGCAATCACCACAGCCACCACGGAGGCGCACTCAAGCCAGAAGACCAGACCGACTTTGTGAGTGGGCCGCATCGCCGTGCCCAAGCGTCGCTGCGGTGGTAACTCGATGTGCAAGCACGCTGACCCCGACGATCTTGTTGGCTCGCTTGCCTCTCCCCCGATCAGACCAAGAGCGCTCGCGGTGAGATCGACTGGTACGACTGCGGCGACAAGGACAAGTTCCCGCATCCCTTCCAGTGCGGCCGCCTGAAGACGCCGCTCGACTACACCAACCCCTCCGACGAGCGCAACGCCTCAATCGCCGTCGTCTTCTGGCCGGCCGGTGCCGGGAAGACACCCAAGCACGATATCCTGGGGTCCATCCTCACCAACCCGGGTGGTCCGGGCGGTTCGGGCGTCGACTTCCTCACGCGCAAGCCAAAGGGCAAGCGCACCTCCCTCGGCGACCTATACGACCGCGTCATGCGCCGCCGCTACAACATCGTCTCGTTTGACCCGCGCGGCATCGAAAGGAGTTACCCGACCGTCGACTGCTACAACAGCACGCGCAACAGTCACCTCTCCCAGCTCCAGATGTCAACGCTTGGCGTCGCGGGAGCTCGGCCCAACTCGCTCGAGTCCGAGTACGGCGCCCAGATCTCTCGCGGCGAGTTTGGCTACAAGCTCTGCGCCAGCGACCCGGTCCGCAAGGAGCTGCTGCGACACGTCAGCACGGCCGCCGTCTCGCGCGACATGCAGCTCCTCCACCGCGCCCTGGGCGACGACAAGATCAACTACTGGGGCTTCAGCTACGGGACCGTCCTCGGCTCGACGTACGCCGACATGTTCCCCGACGACGTCAATCGCCTCATCATTGACGGCGTCGTCGACGTGCCCAACTACTACGCCGGCCTCTGGTCCGACGCCTTTGTCGACATCGACGCCGAGTTCGACGCCTTCTTCGACGAGTGCGCGCGCGCCGGCGCCGAGGCGTGCAAGCTGGCCAGCCACGGCGGCGATGGCAAGCAGCTGCGCCAAAAGTACCTGGCCAAGCTTGACGAGCTCAAGCTGCACCCGATGCCTGCCTTTGACGCCAAGCACCCGCAGCTGCTCACCTACAGCCAGGTGTTTAGCGCCATGTTCCACTCGCTCTACGTGCCCGCCCGCTGGCCCGAGCTGACGTCGCTCCTCGATCAGATCCTGCGCGGCAACCCGAGCCCCTTTGTCGACGTTTACGGCGACCAGCCCTACAACGCCTCGAGCGCTCCCCGGACACCGTGGGCGCAGGACGCCATCGCGGCGGGCGACGTCGTCCATCCGCCGGCCAACCACACCTGGTCGATCGACGAGTACGCAGAGTGGCTGCGCTCGACCCTCTCCGACTCGAGCGAGATGTTTGCGCCCATGTTTGGCCAGATCGCCCTCTCGGGCCTCGTGACGTGGAAGACACGCTCCGTCGACCGCCACTTTGGCAACTTTACCAGCACCACGTCGTTCCCGTTGCTCATGCTCGGCAACGACTTTGACCCCGTCACGCCCGGCCGCAACGCCGACCTGATGGCGTCCAAGTTTCCGCGCGCCGTCGCCGTCCATCGCAGCGGCTACGGCCACTGCTCCCTCTCGATGCCCTCGCGCTGCATCGACAAGGTCGTGCGCGACTACTTTGTCCACGGCATCGTGCCGGAAAAGGGGACGAGGTGCGAGACCGACCAGGACAAGCCCATCTTCCCGCTGCCCGGCAAGGAGCGCGAGGTGCGGGCCAAGTCGAGCAGGCCCGAAGACGAGGACGAAGAGGAAGAAGCGCTCAAAGCACTGCAGGACATCGGTGCCGCCGTGGCCGAGGTCAACATGCGCCATGGCCGCGTTGCCGGCCGTTGATGTGCATCTGCGGCTTCCGATCGTGTGCGTGTTTCCCTCGTTTGTTTCAGCATGTCTTCTACCCGCGTCGTATCTCGTACGTTCTATCGCTCGTTGGCCCATCACGGAAGGGCGGGGAGGATTTTGGCCTCGCACTCCCCGAAACCGATGCAGAACCCATCGCCTTCAACCTTGGCCGTCATGCGGACCGAGTCGCCGTCCTCGAGGAAGGTGCGTTCGACGCTGTTTGCGTCGATCCAGGAAGAGGCGTCCTTGCCGTCCACGAGGACCTCGCCCTGACTGCCGACCTTGACGGCGGGCGTGGCGGTAAAGAGGCGGAACGACCTTTTGCCGCCCTCGGATTTCTCGAGGAGCGAACCGTAGCCCTCTGTCCCCGGCGCCGAGAGTGTACCGGTTCCGAGCACGTCTCCCGGCCGCATGGTGCAGCCGGTGGTGGTGTGGTGCGCCAACATCTGGGCCGGAGTGAAGTAGGTGTGCTTGACTGAGCTCTTGGCGACGGTGGTATACACCTCTCCGCTGGCCTGGGCGGGTCGGATCTCGACCTTGAGCGGCACATCAAAGTTATACCCGTCGACGTCCTCGAGGTAGGACAGCAGGGCGGGTTGGTGGTCGTACTGCGGCGCCTTGAACGGTTCCAGCGCCAGCAGGGGGACGATCCAGGGCGAGACGGTGGTGCAGAAGTTCTTGGAGAGAAAGGGGCCGAGCGGCACATACTCCCACGCCTGGATGTCGCGCGCAGACCAGTCGTTGAGCAGGAAACACCCGAAGAGATGTTTCCGCGCCTCGGAGGAGGACAGGCGTTGGCCCGGCTTCGTGGCGCTGCCACCGTAGACCTGACAAGGGGGGGGGGNGGGGGGGGGGCGGGGCACGACGAGACGGCGGGCCGGTAGGTACTACGTAAGGTAGGACGGAACGAAACGAAGGACGTCCGTGGACGG